TGTGTAAACAGCCAGAGTGAGAAAGAGAAAAAATAAGGGAGTGGGGGGTGAAAGGCAGGCAGCAGAGAGAGAGAGAGAGAGAGAGAGAGGGATAGAGAGGGAGAGAAAAGAGAGTGAAAGAGAGAGAAAGAGAGAGAGAGAGAGGGATAGAGAGGAAAGGGAGTGAAAGAGAGAGAAAGAGAGAAAGACATCGAGATAGAGAGCGAGAGAGACAGAGAGAGGGAGAGAGCGAGAGAGAGAGAGAGAGACAGAGAGAGAGGACTATCAGCATCTGCAGCAGCACAGTAGCCCTGGGGGAATAGTGTGAACTTTTGAACCCTAATGGCAAGCAGTCGCAGTGATGCAAAGAGACTGCTCCTGGCTCGTAATGCATGCGAATGTGTATGTGTGAATGTGTGTGTGTGTGTGTGTGTGTGTGTGTAGAAAAGCATGCAGGCAGCAAACGCAAGGAGGAAAGGAAAGGAGAGTGAAGGCGAATGAGAAGGAGTGGGGGGGTCATTAACATGTTCCTCGCTTCCTCGCAAACGAGCGACCGCTATGCAAATGTCATGAAATCCATACACCGATGAACGCAGTGATGAATTCATCTCTCGGCAGATAGTGGGGAGGATTCATACAGTTGGATGGTTATCAGCAGGTCCAGAGGAACTTCATGAATGATGGGCATGTGGAGGACAGGAAGGCCCATCATTCACACGGACCTGGACTGAGAGCAGACGGGTCACAGGTTGGCCAAGCAGAAGGCCAAAGGGCAAAAGTTCAAGCAGTGGAGAGATAGCACTCCCAAAAACCAACATATATGCAAACGCTACAGGCATTAAAGTGTACCAAGAGATCTGTTGAAAGACCTGTCTCATTTACATTACAGTTTCACATTGCTGACAAAATAAATTATTTCTGTTAATAAGAAATATTAGAAATTGTCAGAATAAAAAGGAAAACAGACTAAAAAAAGAAATACAAGTAAAATTATTAGACTTAAAATGTCTTAAAGTGAGTCTTAAACCTGTTAAAATATATATTTGTGGTTAATGGACGTATAATTCTCCATAAACTGCTACTGAATGTGTCTGTTTTTAGCTGGATAAACACATAGTGCTACACTCGCCTGCCTGCAGTCCAGGTTACCAACAGTAATGTTTGGCACATTATTTAGAGAAGAACAAGTAAACAGCAACTGCTATTTGGAGGCTCAGCCAGAATGAGCAAAAAATACACTGGTGTTATCAGTTTGCCAACCAGTGAAAAAAACAAACTACAGAAAAGCAGCAAACTTTCATCAGTTCCAACTTTTTCCCAATATGATGCTGTTATCAATTTCTACTTCACGCTACTTCACAACAAATACAACACTTAATGTTCTTGTGTAACACCAGATTACAGATATTAGTTTTTATTGCATATTCTTTTGAAAATGCACCAACGATTGGCGTTCGACTTTAAAGCAATTATTTTTCCAGTGGCGTTACAACAAACTTCATCTCCCAATTCAAACTCATGCATGGGCAAGTTGGCAGCGTGAATACAACTGATTAACCTGCAAATGGAGCATCAGTCTGTCAGCTGCCATTGTTTTTCCTGCTTCACCAGCCAAGAGATCCAGACAGTTCACATTCAAAAAACACTCCACTTTTAACAGCTTTTTTATAGTCCCAGCTCAAATGACAAAAATGATATTATATTCTATTTTCTGCACCATGTAATGTTTTCGTTGCTCTGCAGTGGCTGCTTGTATTCGAATACACCTCACTGGTTCACAGGTCTATTGTTTTGCCAGGAAGTGGTTGAGAACACAAGGGCGCGCACTCTGACGACTGAATCCTAACAGGAAACTCAGCTTTTGCATTATAAAATATTATACAACAAAATATTGAGCTTTTTCGATAATCAGATAATACTATCTTTTTAATTGGCTTCATGCAGTTTTATTGATTTTCTTATCTGGCTCTTTTGTACAATAAATCAAGTTTTGTAGACATCGAAATTTCAAAATATGAATAAAAAATATTTTTTAATGACATATTTTAAAACAAATGTAGATGGCTCTTTTTAAATCACATTAGCCAACACCTATACCTGAGTATAAACCGATTCCACTGTACAGACAAACAAAATCACAGTGACCTGAAAGAGGAGAAAGAGAGATGTTTCAAATTCGCCATCTTTTCTGCACACCCTCAGAAACAAAGCTTTTACTGCAGCACTCTGTCATCGCTGCAGCTTCTCAGCAAATATCCCCAAGCACCCAGTGGTGTTCCCCAATCAAAGAAAAACAAACAGGCCATTTCCACTTGGTAAACTTGACCTGCAAACAGCATGAAGGGACTAAAAGCCCAGCATCTCCACCCGTCTCACGGGGTCTTGTCTGTGTGTCTTGTCTGTGTGTGATTTTGTATGCCAGAGGGAAAAAGGTTTTTGCAAATATTTTGTATATCGGCAAAATGTGCTGGAATGGCAGAATTCTTGCTCTGTAAAATGTAGTGTAAAAGAAACACACTGAAACATCAAGTCCTGGCGCCCTAACAGCAACCAGGGGAGGGCGAGAGAGAAGGATGAAGATGGAGATAAATAGAGAGAGAGAGGTGGAGGTAGTTAAAAAGGGCAGACGTGGCCGGGGTGAGGCTGCAGGCGCGCTTAGGTCAACGGTGCGGTCGGCGGGTGAAACTCAGTTCACATTACCATGCAGACACCCGGGCTAACAATGGAAGCTCCATCTGTTCCTGTCAGCTATTACAAATCTGGTGTCACCCAGTCCACTGAAGACAACAGGCCACCGCATCTAATCAAACGGCACAGGCTCCTCCTGCGTGTAAAAGCAACATCGACTTCACACTCACTCACTCTCTGGTTAGGGAACAGAGAGCAGCAAAAGGCGAGCAGTCGATTACCATGGACAATACATTCAACTAAGTCGGAGGGTCTTTTGTATACTGTAGCACTCATAAATACTACAATTAACCTCAAAAGGATAAAATACTAGAGTAGTCCTTATGACAAAATGCAGAAAGGCAATTATTTTCACAGCTGAATTAATCAGTGGATTTCAGCATTAAAAGCACTTGAAAGAAAATTTCAATCGTCGCCATTGAGGATTTGTTCTGCTAAAAAGTCACTGATTTCATTAAGTGGTCACGCCGTTATTCTGCACAAACACTCACTCTTCAGACTTGAAACAGACCGCCAAGCAGAAAAGTGTGAGCCATTTCTTTCAACTGGCAATGAACAGAGGATGAACTATGAACTCCACATGCCCTTTCACCGAGGACACAGGCTATTCACTGAACAAACATGGCCACCGTCTCCCAGAAATAAAACAGGACAGCTTTGTGAGCTGAATATTTTTCCCAAACTGAATCAAAAGCGACAATAACTGATCCAAAATCAAATGTGTGTGTGTCTGATTAGTTGTTTAGTGTGAAGAGGCACCAGTTGGTTATAATAAAAGCAAAATGCAAATGCAAGAAGAGGAAGTGCTGCATAATTGGCTATGGCTCACATTTAGCAGTGACTATAGTGAGACACAATGTTTGGGTTTAAACAACTAGCATGATCCGCAGTAACAGACGGTGTAGTTTGTAGTTTACACGCGTCACATTACAGCCATGAGGGGAATTTTTTTTAAAGCATTTTACATTTGAGTTTGTCTGTTTCCGTACGCAAAATCATCCTTATCATTTTCTGTTGTTCTGTGTTAATACCATCTGCCGTGAGGTGTTTACTCTGGATTTGAACGTTACAGAGAATTGCATTTGGATGGAAGAGTTCATTAAGCTGTTTCCAAATGAGGGGATCTTTTGTGACTACATCCAGCTGGCATCAAGTACTTGTATCACAATTGTACAATGGCCAACGTAGTGGGAAATTCCATACCAGGTATTCCTGGTTTAACTTGTGAGTTTAAAGAGACACATGTAGAGTAGATTGGCACCTAAGGCAGCCAAGTCAGTAATACCCACCTGCAGCATGTCACGTCAGGGGCTAATAGGTAGAACACAGAGGCAGAAATACAAAAAAATCTGAAAGAGGGCAAGTCAGAGAAGGAAAGATAGAGCGAAAGATTGATAAAGGCAGAGAGGGATAGAACCCACATGGCCCCCTTAGGTACAGTGTTGTATTTCAAACCCGGTTTTGAAAGAAAAGAGGGGCTTGGAGTCAATCAATCACTGAATTAGCCTGCAGCCAGAAAGCCACCTCTCTGTGTGGGCTGCCTCCATGTTTCCACAGAGTGCAAGCTTGTGGCTCAAGCATACAGACCAAGTCAGGAAATCGGCCACTGGAGGGAGCTCTAGGTCACAGATCAGGCTTTTGGAAACCAACCATCAGAAAACCCTACCTGCAAAAACTGGCTTGGGGGCAGTGGATATGAAAGGAGGAGTCAGTGATGTCACTGAACCTGGTGAAGCCGTAGGACGCCAGCAGAGAAGGGGAATTTCACAGATGTGGTGTACTTTCTCAAATTAACAGGTCTTGCAACAACATAAAGTTAAAATGTCGGCTGCATGCTTCCTGTGGAGAGGTCTAGGTGCGCCTACAAGGACCTGATGGTCTCTGTGTTAAATCTGTACTGATTTAGTTCTCGTCTGTGGGAATACTACATCAGCTCCTGTGGTTTTGACTCCCTCTGTTTTATCTTTTTCTTGTTTAGCGCAATATTGTCTGCACATTGTCACTAAGATGGCATAGGACATGCACCGATTTCTTAGATGTGACATTTTATTTAATTTTCCATGGTGAAATTGGATCATACGACCTGAAAGTGACAAAAAAGCTGAACCAATGTTTTCTGTTCAAACATATGATGGTTACTTTTATATGCAATAAATGTGGTGACAAGACGCCTATAGTGACATTTTGCCATGAAAAAACACCACACTGGAAATTGGGGCCTTTTTTTAAGCCGAGACCTCTGCATTGCGGAAATAGCCACAGATCACTCTCTCTCTCTCTCTTTCTCTCTCTCTTTCTCTCTCTTTCTTAAGGAATAGGAATTCTGAACTTACTCTCTGGGCCTCCATCATCCTGGTAGTCGGAGGCTCCTGAGGCATCGTCTGATGGGGCAGAGCGACCCAGACTGGAGCTGCGGTTGTCATCAGAACCATCGTCTTCCCTGAAGTCCACTGTATCAAGGTTGTATGTGTGAGTATATATACATATACATATATATACTTATGTACATATATAATAAAATATACAAAATTTAAATGAACACTTGTGAATTTTAGCTTATTTTGTGCAAAAATAAAGTACAGTAGTTTTCCTGACAAAAGCTTCAGAATTTTTATAGGCCTTATATGTACTCTACTTTACTGTCCAGTAGTAAAGTACTTTGGTAATGAATACTTAATTTAACTTACATGGAAGGGGTATATCCTCAGGATATCTGTAAAAATACAAATCAGACATTCATGTACAGGTCTTAACACTTCTCAGCATCCATTTCCTGCAGCGACCTCAAACCACAGGCTTTCTGTAGCAGAGCTGTACACAGCAAGCGACAGAGCAGTTGTTGTTGTTTTTTTCAAGAGCACCATGCAGAACCTAACACATAACGTTTAATGTTTTTAGGGACAAAGACTGTTCACTTTACCACTTTAAGATTAATGTCCAATTATTTTGACGAGAAATAGTTATTCTGTGAAATCTTTTTAAAAAATGCAATAGCTATTTAAAAAAAGTGCCAGATTAAAGTCTGGAAGGTGACACCATTAAACTCAATGAGTTTCTACAAATGTAATTTTGCAAACTCTTTAAAGCAATTAGAATAACAATTAGGGATCTCTTGTGATATTATAAACAAAGCTTTGATAATGGTGGTGTGAGATTACACTGCAAAAAAAAAGCAAAGTAGCATCTACTGCTAAGGACCAAATAGTGTCTTAAGAATTGGAATCATACTTTGAAAGAACAACCCTGAAATTGTTCAATATGACTTCCCGCATCTCTTCAGCATCTTCACTTAGATTCTCATCGCTAAGGATGTCCGATACATACAGCAAACAATCTGAGGAAACATAAAACAGAAAGTGTGATGGTTTAAAATGTGGCCTGAACAAATAGTCCAATTTGTTATGGTTATGAATTATGTTCAACTTTCAAATTAAAGCTTTTTTTGTAAAAAGTACAACATGTACCAGCTACAGTATATCTTCAAAAGAGCAATATTTATATGTTTATATTTATTTTTATGAAGATTATCACAATTATTTATTTTTGTTAGGTCAGACTGAGATAACAGTGCGAGTACTGTATCATGATACTGTAGGCAAAACAACCTAGACTGCATTATTTATCTGATATAATTTCTTAAAACCACCTGCACAAATGCACTGGCTAATGCAAATTTCTCATAGACCGTGTCTGCCTGCCTCGCTGTTTATGCAAATATAAAACAATGGATAGGTTTGAATAGGTCTTCTTTGTGTGATCTTCATTGGTGTCCCTCATAACCGTGGTGCACCTCAAGGTTACATTTAAGCCCCTTCCACTATAGACTATTGGTTATTGAAATTATTTAGTCATTAAAAAAAACAACATGTTTGACACAGGTGTAGGTTCTAGCAACCCAGGATAAAAATTACATTTTTCATTATTAAATGAAAATAAATGTTACACTATAATTATTTTATGCACACATATTTTAGCATGGATTTTTTAGTTTGACAGTCATTGTGACAGTTGTTATTGTGCCTGCCTTATCAGAATCTCTTTATTGTCATATGCACCAGGGAAGGTGATACGAAATTTAGTTTTGTACGACCCGTTCCAAGAAAAAAACATGAATAGACAATAAAAACAATACAAATAATTGACAAGGGGGGACAGGAACAGGAAGGCCAGGACGCAGCCCGTGGTCAGCGCACCCTTATGCATCTGCCTTAGGTGCAGAAGGTTCTGGGTTTAATCCCCAAAGAAACTTTACTTTGATAATTAGAAAATAACTGAAAACATAAATTATTTGTTCTGTGGTTTTACTTCTTCAGCTTCGTTGTACCCCTGTGTTACAATGACAATAAAGACTATTCTATTCTATTTTATTTACATGTTAATATTGCTCAATCCTAATTTTTATTCCACATAATAACATCAATATGTATTTAAAAGTGAAATACAAGTGGCCTTACCTTTCAAAAGTCGCTTTATATCTGGTGAGATTGATCCCATCACTGTATTTTTTTTATTTTGCACTTTAAAAGCATACGATTTTCTTTGTGTTTTTTAAAAAATAAAGATAACTAATGCATATCCAGCCTTAGGCAAAGCTTCAGCTCTTAAAACAGAAACAAATTCTTGGCATGCACACAAAGAGCTATAGCATCAAACCACCTGCACCATTTTGAACTAACTTCCGTGCATGCACCTCGATTTGCAAAAATTGGGAGGAGCAACTACACAGCTGACAACTTCCTCTGAACACTGGTATAGTATGATCTGATTATAACAGGGTGACAGGATGTGTTGTGTCAGATATAAACATATATATATACAGATATAATGAGCACTGTAAATAAAGCAGAATTGGTTAAAAATTAAAACCATCCCCCGCATGTGACTGATAAACTTCTTTTTAACTAAATAAGCAGCGAAATTCCTCACATTTCCTCTCACAAACAGTTTTTTTTTACTTATTATACAAAATGTTCTATGTATTTTTTGACAGTGTCAATTAGTAGCACAGTATCAAATGCTGTTTTCCCCCCTTTTAACCCTGTATATACGTTCAAACGTGCAGATTAAATGACTTAAAATGCTTTAAGTGGAAAAACAACCTTTTTATCACGTCGGTGACGTGTACATGTTACGTGGTTATTATCACAGGCATTAGGGCCTAACACCAATTGACTCACCTGGTGAAAGGGGTTTTTTTGTAGCATGGGGAGCAGTTAGCATAAAAGCCAAGTAGCAGATAAGTTGTAGAATCGCTATTGTTTTGTTTGTTTTTCATTTAAAAGCTGTTATTTGATTCATTTGTTGTTTATTAAGCCCAAACAAACTGTACTATTACTTTTTAACGTTTACCGTACCCACTGAAGGCACATTATTAGCCATTAAGTGAAGCTAGCTGTTGTTTCCCACAATGCTACTGAGTAAGTATATACATATTCATTTGCTGTGCGTAACGGAGCTCCGCTTTATTTGGTTGTAAACTTAAAACGTCGACGTTTTTTGTGTATTAATGAGTGATACGTTCATAGACTCATTTCCTTCTTATACTGTCACGTCGATAATTTAATTTGTACGAGTTGCCTACCAACAAACGAGGTACGTTACGTGGTATCTGTTTACAACAAACGTTGGCGTTCTATTTTAAAAGTATAATGTGAAACGTTGAAGTAATTTTTTTTTTCAATGTCATCTAAAGCTAAATTACATTACATTTTTCATAACCTTTCTTTATGTGCTGCGTTCAAGGGTCCGTGGTTTCTTTTCTTATTATATAAAAACGTACACAGTTTATGTCCCTTTGCTAAAAACGTGTATTGATAATGCGCTTACATTTGCCGCGACTCCAAAAGCTAAGCGATCTGTGACTACTTGTTAAATATTTTACATTTTACTATTTTTACTTACGTAAAAGCGGTTTATTTGTTTGTACTGCAATTACGACGTTTTGACATTATATAATAACGTGTTGCGTTTACAGCCCATCCTCGATCCTGTAACAGTGTAAAATGTAAAACTAATTCCGAGTACAAGGGTCATGGTTTTTGTTTCTGACTTATAATAGCATAACGTTATACATCAGGGTTTCACAACTGTTTTGGCAATAAAGGTGGGACATTTGAATGTCAAGAGTGGTGGTCATTATGTCATTATACTCTGCTAATTATACAGAGGTTGCAGGTATTAGTTTTTTTTTTTTATCTTTATGTTTTGTAAGTGCCCACACTGTTTTTACGGTTCTTTATTATGTTGCATTCATGGCCGTCAATCTCCCACTCAACTTAATTTAACTGTAAATCACATGTTTATTATCTAAAATGAATAGTTTCTTCAGCCTGGGTAGAATTTGGTTTCATAAAATGCTCTTAATGTACATTTCTCACCTTTCAGTTTGTGCTGCTCTCCTGTACTCATTGTATATAGTGAAATTGTAAATCAGTAAAATTATGTTTCAGTGGACGCATTGCCATAATGGCTTTTTTAATGTGGAAATTTAGTGACATAAAGCTGGCTTGTGTATAAAGATAAGGAAATATATGTAACAGTGGTCACAACTGATGCAAAAGCAAAGATGGCCAACAATAAACTATACACGACTCAGTCCCTTTTTTAAACAGTTAAGCATCATCCTCCACCAAGTGGGTATGTGAAATTCTCATTTTCACTCTTTAAATTACATTATTTACCACACTTGTGAAAGCTCTTTGATTGAAGCTGAGAAACTAATTAGGACATTTCTGACAACACTTGAATGCAGAAGCACTAAATTGGCCCCTCACTATATCTGACAGGCCATGGATAAATGGTTTAAATTAGCAGCAAGCTGAACATCAGTGGCTTGGACTGGCCGGGGCTTCCATATCCAGCGCTGACATGTGTAGCAGAGGCAGCAGTGGAGCTAGTAATACTAATAGAAATAGGGTGGACTTCTCTATTGCCTTATTGATCCATTATTACTGAATGACTACATGTAAGGTCATCAAATAACCGAAGCTCAATCAGACATTGCTCACATCGACAGAATACTCTTAGTATCATTCTGTGCTGGGTTGTCCTTATCTTATGTCTGTGTGTGCCACTTGCACACAAGTATGCAATGTGTGTTAAGTGCTCACGAGATAATTAGTCTATATCGCAAGCTACCCAACATAGACACAGACACTTGCACGCATGATGCTTGAATACTCGTTTTATGAGCTATTGGTAGTGATATGATGCATTCTTTTTAACACATCTTTAGGTTTTGTTTAGGCGTTCTACAGCCCTGCAGTGATCTCTAGTCACCCATCTGTGATTTACAGTCCTAAAAATTACCCTGCTGCTACTAATGATCTTTTTAATTATTGAGTAATCTGCCAGTTATTTTCCCAATTAATTTTACCTCCACCATTTAATATATTATCACAGCTGCTGCAGCTCTGTTGCATTTTTCATCCTAAATAAAACCTTTTTTTTCTTACAGCAAGTAAGAACTGTTGAAGAAAAAATTATCATAAAGTGTTTCTTGAGAGCAAGGTGTTTTCAAAGCAGTATCTCTGAACATCTTAGCTTAATTTAGAAATGTGTATTATATCAGGTGCCTAAATTTTAGATAATTTATGCATTTTGCTGTCGACCACTTGAGTTTGTCCTTTAAGATATTCTTCTTTCTTAACAGTTCCATCGTCACAATCTTCTCAAATGCTCTGAAGCAGCTCCACAGAGATATAACAACCTCATCCGTAGGTATGTTGTTCTTCAGTTACGTGCCTCTCTTCTCATACTCCAAACACAGTTACACATTTATGTCCAGAGAGACCTGGTTCATCTAGTTTTTGTTATACACAGGAAGGAATAACTTCCACATACATATTGCCTGCCTCAAATTAGTTTGTATAATCAAATTCACAAAACACACCTGTCAATAGACTTAGACTAAAAATATAATTACATCATTATCAACCATTAATCATTCACTAATGTTTAAACAGTTCTTCTAGGGACTCATTGGTTACTTTTTTAAATCTCTCTGTTATTCTGTACAATATGGATCTCTTTGAGCCTCTTGGTTGCATTTCTTTTCTTCAGTTCCTGTGATTTTTGTAACTTAGTCTTGTGGTTTGTCTGCATCACATATTTATAAATAAGCCTTATTGGGTGAAATTGTTTTGTTCTGTTTATGTAAATTTAAGGTAAGCTTACTGAGTCAGTATGTTTAATGCTGTGTTGATTTTGGTATTAAGAGATTGAAAAAGCAGTTGAAACTAGAATCTATGTGTTTCTTGAAAGTTCCTTTTCGATTTCAGCGATGTTTTCTGTATTATTATAAGTGTTATTTTTCTCTATGCCCTAAAAAAGCATGTCTCATGATAGCCCTCTACTCTGTCACTTCTCTCCAGGAAGCCATGGGGTCAGGGCGAGTTGACTCCCATGTCAAAATTGTCCCTACGTTGACCTGCGCCTGACTGGCCTCCCAGCAAAAATCCCCTGTGAAGGTAAGAGGAACTGGGGTTCCCTCCCCTGGAAAAGAGGTTCCCTCCCCTTGACAGCTCCACAGAGCCCCAGCCACCTGCCTGCTGGGCCAGCCCCATATGAAAAGGGAAGCTCTTTGTAATCCGACGGGGATTACACCACCCAACAATGCACCGCTGAAAGAGCGACAAAAGCCCTGTATCAAACGCCGCTAAGGGGGAGCAAGGCTATGATCTCCCACTACTACCAACACTGACTCCTCTGCCACCTCTCATCTCCCCAAGAGGCTCTACCCCCCCTCTAGCATTTGCTACCTCTGTCCTTCTCCTGCCCTCTCATCTCTAGGATCTGGCCTTTTATCAGCGCATTCCTTTTCATTTGCATTGCGGTGTGGGGAGGGACAGCAGGTCCCTCTGATCTGCCAGGAGAGAGAGTCAGGAGGATCCTCAGGGCATGGAGGGTGTGTGTATCCTGCCCTGCAAACACACACACACTCGCATCGCATTCTCAAGATAGGCCGTGCAGAAGGACAAACACTGAAGCACCCATGCCTGTCTTTCAGGCTCTGTCTTCACCTTTGTCCTATCCTTTGTTTTAAAATTGGTTGTTGTGCAGCTGGGGAGATTTTTGGTGCTCAAAATAATTGCAAAAAATGTGCAAATTAACACTATGGAGTAAGCAAATGATTGAAGATTTACTGCAGATTCTCCCATTAATGCTCATTCTAATAACCTTCCATATGTCACGTAATAAATATATAATAAGTAAATATGTCAAGTCAGTCCTCACACTTGGCCCTAATCTAAATATGCCATAACATTTTTCAAAGCCTGTATTAGAAAGGGCTAAGAAGTGTTTGTCCTGATCGTTAGGAGCCTGTTGTAAATGTTTGTTTTTGCTCAGGAAGATAAAAAAGAGGCAGTTTACTCTTCAGATTTCCTCACAATCACTGTATTCTCAACCCACCCACTGCTCAAACATACATCAGTTGTCGGGGGGGGCTTTGGTGGCGGCGAGGTATAATGTGATGATAGATTGAGGACACAAAAGACAGAGGAGCAAATGTGTTTCGCTAAATCTACAACCTTCATTCACTCTCACGCTGGCTGACTGACTCGAAGGGGATGGTGGTGGGTGTGTGTATGTGTGTGTGAGTGTTATCTCGGCATGTATTCAAATCAATGTTGGCCCTGAAAGCATTGAGTAGGAAATATTTCAAATTATATTATGCTAGGATATATGAGCCATTTCCAAATATTAATTCAGGATTATTTGAGGTGTCTGTTAAGGACAGCAGTTACAGCCAGCGGTGTGTTGACGCCACTGACGGATTACGTTCCTCTATTACTTGTGATGTATGAATGTATGAGAGAAAACTATATTTCATGACCAAGACATTGTCCCTAGGGGCAGTAGTTAAAGAAGAATATATGTATTATCCCCTGAAACAACTGGCCCTTGTCAAAAGGCCGGGGAGAGGAGAGAAAGGAGGAGGAAGAGGAGGTTAGTGAAGGAGAGGAGATGGGGAAAAAGATGCATAGCACCACTGAGCGTAGTAGAATTGAGAGACTGGAAGGATGCCAGAAGAATGTGTCTGCCTGAGCTTGTGATCATGCACACTGCTGCCTCTCCCTCTGTCCAGTTAATTGGAATACAAAGCAGAGTGAGGTCGATGGGAGAGCGGTGCTGCTGAGGAGGATAGAGGTGCAGAGGAGGGGAGGGTGGGTTTGCTGTCTGTCTCCAGCAACGCTCAACCTTCACTCCTCGCTGGGAATTGACTGTGGAGCCAGCAAGCGAGACCGACACACTGTCACTGTTAAAATGAACTGTCACCTTGCATTTCTCAACCTCCTGGCAGCATCGAATTGGCCGCTTTGAACCATGTGACGTGACACTGATTGAGTTCGCCCCCCTCCCCCCTCTCCACTCCTGGGCTCCTGAGGAAGGAGCAGCTTTAATTTGGAGTGTTCAGGCTCTCCATTCAAAGCATCCAGGCAGGGGCTCGTCAGAGCTAAAGCAGCGAGCATTGCACCAAATATGTATCTTTCGCCTCAAACCTTTCATGGGTTCTCCATTCTTTCTCACCACCCCTCATTATTTCTTTGTACTGCTTGGTTACGCTGCCTCTCAGCTGGTCTTGTTTTTCTTACGGCGTATAGTCATGGCGGTCTGACAGGCACAGAGGAGGAAAACTATTAGGGGTAGCCATTTGGATCCTGGAGGCAATCCCAGGGAGTATTAAGATGTTAACCCTGGCCAAGTCACTTGTCTCTCTCAGTTACAATGTTGATGGAGTGGGGAAAGGATGCAGTTGCAGGGGGACCCATGAGGATGCTGGGGCTTCAGGTCGACTGCTGCTTACAGATCGGGCAGAGCCAGACTAGACTGGGGGATGGTTGTCAAGCGTCTCCCAGGCTTGGCTAAAAAGAGCCTCTGTGCCACAACAAAGAAGGGAGAACGTGTGCCATTCAAAGCTAGGCTGCATTTCTTATCTAGAATTTCCTGAACAATAAGGGCAGACAAATTGTGGACATGAAATAAAGGAATAGATTTGTAACTCTTCAAGGTTGTCCAAAAAATAATAGCAAGGTGAATTATGTGCAGGGCTTCAGTCGGAATGTGGTCACTAACCGTTTGGCCCTCTGACCTTTTTGACTAAAAAGAAACACTAAAGCTCAAATCATCAGTAATAACACTACAAGCAAACTTAGATAATTTTCATATCTTAAGATTAGGTCTTAATTAGAGAATGTACAGCTATTCTTTCAAAATATTTCTGAAAGTATCCAGTATGAAACAAAGAAATGTTCAGCTATAAAGACCAATAATCATTCAGCTGCATATCCATTTTAGATTGACGTGTTTTAGCCACTTCATTGCGCACACAGCCAGGTGAGGAGACAGACCCTAAAAAAATGTTTTTTTAAGTTTAGAAGATTCTGATTGTTTTTTTATATTCCGACATAATTGTTTGGAATTGCAGTACAGCAGAGATGGCCTTCATCTCATTTGACTTGTTTTTATTTATTTTTTTGTGTTGATCATTTAGTCAACTTGTCCATAAAATGCAAGAGAATGAAAAGATTTTTATTTTTATCCACAAACTAGTTGCAAGCAAAACACAGGAGGAGCAAAAAATATTTAAAAAAAAATTAAAATCTATATGTTCTGCATAATTATAATATGATAATGCTAATCTATATTTGACTTTGACTTTACATTTATATTTTCTGTTTTGAAGCACTCTTTAATTAAATTATTCAATGGATTTGAGTGACTGCAGACATCCTCATTCTTTAATGACTGGAACACTTCATTGATTTTTTTTTTCATCAGGAATGTTTAAAGAAAAGAACCTCAAAACAGTATATGCATATTAGAATATACAATTTCTTTTTTGGACACTTACAACTAACAATATGTGTATTGGCCCATTTGTGTAAAAACTAGAACTTTTTAAAACCAACCTAACCAACTGAATTTTTTTAAATGTAATTTTATATTTCACTATAAAAAGCCTAAAACTATTTATTACTAAATTCAATAGTCAAAGCCTATGTTCTGAGGCTTTTGCATAAACTCGGAAAAAAAGTCAATTCAATATTCAAAGGCTTTTGCATAAACTCGGAAAAAAAGAACAAGAGCAACATGGACCTAAATTCAACCAAAAGTATAATCGGATATTTGATTGAAATGCTTTATATACAGATTAACATTGATATGCGAAAACGTATATAAATAACATTTAATAATTCTTTCATTTTTGTTGTCTTATTATATACTTAAGTGTTAACCATTTCATGTAATTAAAAAAAAACATTTGTTCCCTTTCAATTTTGTGTAAAATCAGAACTGTCGCCTGTTAATGATCTGGTTGCTAACCAGTTTATTAGTTGACTTATTGATGCAGCCTTAATGAAGCATTGTCCTTTTCCAGGTTCTTGTTTCCTGCAGTACAGTATTTCTTTACTCAGCCTTTATAGACTAGGTGCCGCTCTCAGGCCTAATGAAGGTCGATGATTGACATTACAAGAAGGACGAGAAGAGTCTCATGACCTTATTCTGACTTTTGTGTTGTCTTATAGAATCTTTATTAATAAAAAATATTTGTTTTGCTCTCCAAAAATGTTACCCAGCAACAATGCAGGTGCTGCGGTATTCTCTGACCATCAATGCATATTGTATGTGAGATAGATTTAGTTTTGATGTTGGTTATTAAAAAAAAAGACTGCAGCTGTGTCGGTTATCAGCTTCTGAAATGTCTCTTCTGTGGTGTCTCTGTGATGACCAACCCCCCATGGCCTTATGAATACTCTATCTAGTTTTCCTTTGAAGCCCTGGGTCCCTGCAGAGTGACATGCGACAGAGGAACTGGTAGAAAACCATGGAAGTGAGCCTTGCAATAGACTTGTAAAAGAGCCTGCAACAACTGCAAACAGCATGGGGTACAAACAGCATTGGGTTGACCTCGAGCGGGGAGTGGGGGGGGCAGCAGGCTGGCTAAAGATGTGCAAGATATGTGAGGACAAAGAGTTTGGCAGTGGAATCTATTAATAGTTGTCATACTTCTGCAGTCGGGATGTTGGCACTGCAGAGGCTCTGTTCATTTTTGTGTCGGATCTTTGCTGTTTTACCTCGTTGGTTCACAATTTTGCTGCTCCTCCTCTTCTTGCCCTACATTTTCTAGCAGAAGGAAAAGATGGCTGAGCTGATCCAAAGGTGAAAAATACCCTCCTCCTCTCCCCCAGATGAACATCTGTCTCTGTGGCGTTGGCTGCACCGCAGTCTCTGACACCTCCAGATGGAGAGCCCGCAGGGAGTGCTGAGGTATTGCCGACAGAGATGGCAGGGATCACACCTCTGGAGTGAAGTCCCACACTTGTTTTCTGCACCATCTCTCTCTTTTTGTTGTCAAATCTGTCACTATTCACCATATCGACTCTTGCCCCTGTTCTTGGCCTTGTGACTCATCGGAGGTGGAAGCTTTTTCGCCGTGTAAAGAAATGTGTGACAACAGACCTCTTAGCCCTTTTCTAATTTACAGTAATGGGTCGTATGGTATTTCAACTGTAACTTCTATTCGCGGCCGTGCATCAATTTTTAATACAGTTGTGAGGGACCTGCATACTCATGCAGATATATTTCAAATGATTGCTTATTTCCATTTCCTAGAAAGGTGTTTTTAGACGCTTGAAACTGTTTTCAAAAAAGTTCTCACCGGCTTCCACATTGTCTTAATGGGCCATAACCTTATTAGACTAAATAGAAAAAAAGCTCTACCTGCAAAGAGCTGAAGTGAGAGAGGCCTGGAGTCGACTTCTGCGAGCCACTCTGGTGTCTTGACAGATTGACTCTGCATTCATTTGTGCCTGAACTCTGTGTGAACCTTAGCTTTAGGAAAAAGGACACCAACAGGCCAGTGCTGCTGGGGCAGAAACTTGTGTGTGTGCAAACTCAACACCCAGTGCAAATATTGAAACTTCTGCCCTTCTAGCAATAGATGAACCCAGGTGGTCAGGTCCGACAAACGTTTGGCCAAAGGCGTAACCTATTTAAGCACGGAGAGGTTAAATTTACTAGTTCAACCTCTGCATTTCTTTAAATGGAAAAAAAATGTGTGAGAAAAAAGCGCACTGATTTAAATTGTATAAAATAAATATTGATTTTAGTGTGGTGACCTCTGTCAGCTGTGTCTGAGCAGAATTTGGGTTGCAAACCATGGGTTTGACCGGATCCCTGGAGTTTGTTGTCATGTTTAGAGCCCCTGGAGGTATTTGGAGGTGAAGAGGTCATTTGGAACCACCCCGTGTGTTGTGAAAGATTCCTCATGTCACATTATGCAAGGATGCTGTGCTGAGACTATGTATGGAAGAAAATATAGAGAAAAACCTTTTTTTTAAATCTTCCAGATTAGATAATAATGTAAAATGTATTTAGGAATAAACTCTGTCTCACTGTTTCCATTCATCACTCAAATATTCTTCTTTGTTTTATAAACTTTATTAAATTTAATCATATCAACAATTTTGAAAAAAAGAAAATACCCTGTAAATAAATAGTGCAAACAGTGACACTGAAAATTTGGTGTTTCAACACAATACACAGCATGATCATAGAAAATTTAAAAAAGGGAACATGAAGACATTTAAAACAATATTTTCAGCTTTTCTTTTTTGTCAGATTGTGCCCTTTAAGCACTTCCGTAGACACGAAGTATATTTACACACAAAAGTCAATTTTTCAGTTTTGTTCTCTGGATTGATGACTGGTGGAGATTTTAGTAAATTCCCAGGCTTCACAGTCAGATTATATATATTTATTCTTTGAAAAGTCATTTTAGGATTCTGAGTCTTTGCCCTTTGTCTTTGGAGAGGTGTCCGGGCCGCAGAGTTTCTCCACAGTTGTGGTCGTTGAGCTCAGCAGAGCGCAGCCGAGTTTCTCGCGTTTCTTCTGCTTCATCCTGCGATTCTGGAACCAGATTTTCACCTGCGTTTCGTTCAGCTCCAGGCTGGCCGCGACCTCCACCCGCCGAGCCCGGGTCAGGTACTTGTTGAAGTGGAACTCCTTCTCCAGCTCTGTCAGCTGCTTGGTGGTGAAGTTGGTGCGGATCACGTTGTGTTGACCAGGAACGCCAAACTCGGACAGAACGGCTGTGGAGACAGGGTGGATGGATGGATGGATGAGAATGTAATGAGTAAAAAGATGGAGTTATGGATCTAATGCGTAATGATTGGGTGACATTTGGACATGTCGGAATGAATAATAATGTGATTTAAAAAACAAACAAACAATATTTGCAGGTTATTTTAACTTGTTAATTTAAAACACGTTACGCACGTTTTACGCACAGCAATTTTAAGGATCCCGTTTAATGGCTAATTTACAACTGAGATTTTCAAATTTGTGTCATGTAAACAAACCTGTTTTTGGTGGATTTCTCTTCACTTTCATCCAGTCGAAAGTTTTAGACGTCTCCTCTACAGTCTCCAGATCCTTCTCTTTACTTTGGGATGGTAACCTTGTGTAAACACTCTCTGCATAGTCTTGTTGCCTCTGGTCACCGTCTCCAAAATGCAGGTACGGGCTGCCGGTTGCAATCCCGGGTCCACAACTGTCTCCGTTGTATGGCCCTATATTTGCTCCAAGTGGAGAAACCTGGGGATGGATGAAGTTCCTGTCCTGTTCGGTTGCAAAGCCGTACTGGTGGTGGTGGTGATGGCTGTAGTCCAGAGGTGGCCCGTACATGGAGTTCCCTGATGTTGAGAACTGCAGGTCCAGGTTGACGTGTGTCTGGTGGTGCAGAGGGAGGCTCGGTGTCTGGTGGGGCGCGGAAGTTGCGGCAACAAAACGGGCGTCTGGTGCGTAACTATCACTTGTTGCGCACGAGTTGGACGACACGTATCCGTGGTTTATATTGTGGTATCCAGCTTTGGCACTGAAAAAGTTTGCGCCCCGGTTGCAGACCGGGTAATCTAAGTAGGAGTTCATCCTGGAGCCTCGGCCTTGTGTGTTTGTTCAGAGGTGATCAAGACTCTGAGCGGTCATTAATCGCAACTCCCTTTTGCCCTAACCTTCGAGGTAGTATGTCAAAGCTGTAAAACTGCCTTCCACCCTCATATCACCTTCCTGACACACCATGTGACCTGCCAAACGCCAATGGCAGAGGACCTACAGCACTCTGTCAAGTCTTCGGCCTCGTCCATCAAGAGGCTCACATTTACATGACAAATGCTTCAATCAAACTCGCTCATCCATCTGATAAGAACACAAACATCGGGACAAATTTTCAGGCCGCTGTGTTGGAGGGGAGCCCAGAGTGTCAAATGTATGTCATGGGTAAACAAACAAATACGTATAACGGTGATTAGTTAATAAAAGAGGCTTTCTTATAACACAACGCGTCAATATTGTCTTTACAATAATCCATTCCCTACATTAAAACCATTCTTTTTTGTGTTAACCTCTTATTAATGGCCTGCGCTGTTCTTGTGGGTTTATTAATTTCTCCTTTTGTGCACCAAGATATCGACCACAGCTCCCTTTTTGTTTAATCTAAATATACATTTGATCTAAGTGCATTGGCTTGTTAACCAAAAATACTTCATGCAGCTTGACTCCTGCAGACAGACTGTTCTGAACAACTCAGTGTTGTAAGAAGAGGGGGGGAAAAAAAGGGAAAAGCAGCGGAGTGAATTCAGTGATCCATCATGCGCTCTTTTAAGGATTGACACCTTGTGTGGCCCACTTTGCCCATAAAAGAACAAAGACGCGTTTAAAAACCACACAGTCCTCTTTTTTCCCTGCCTTCTATCGCTCTTACACTTGAGAGTTAAAGACACTCACTATAATGTGATTTCTTCTTTCAAACCCTATCACGTCTACAGCCTGGCGTTAGGAGACTGTAATTAAGCAGCAGTTAATGTGAAAGTGCGCAGACTTTAAGTGCTAATTAAGAGTTAGCCACCAAAAACAAAATCACGAATTTTATCCAACATTTTGAGCGAATGGATGAATATTTACTCTTGAGGATTGTTGTCGTTCAGTTTACAACAGATGAAGTTTAATTTAGGGTGCACGAGATTGGATATCTTTTAACATCGGGACAGCTGTATAAAATTACTTGGGCTTAAAATTCTCTGGAGTGGATATATTTACATACAAATAAATAATAATATTGAAAGCTAATATTCAAACTCTCGTTGCAATAAATAAACATTACATTTTCTGTGCTTTCCATAGGATCAAATGACGATGATCATGTTGGCCCAGGGTTTCATTGGACGTTGTCTGCTACAGGTGAGTCAGTTTTGGAGCTTGCATGATTCTGTCTTGAGGTGAACAGCTCTGTGAGAAATATGAGCCGCTCACATTCACATGCTGATTCGCCGTGTGTGCGCTGGGATGCGTGTTGTATTGCACGTCGAACTGCGGGCCGTGTGTAAAGTTTGGAGCGTAGTATTTGGTGTATTCGGCCGGAAATGACAGCTGCTGCTGCTGCTGGGACTCCAGCGGAGGAGAGGTCTGTTGGTAGTCCGCCCCTAGATGGACGTAACCAAGGCTGGACAGAGTGGGGCTGCCTGGGGCGGAGGGGGAAGATGGGGTGGGAGAAGAAGAGGAGGTGGTGGTGTAGTTGGTGCCGAGGCCTTGCTCCCTCTCGTCCTTCTTCTGTTTCATCCTGCGGTTCTGGAACCAGATCTTTATCTGCCTCTCCTGGAGATTGAGGAGACTGGCCATCTCCACCCTCCTTGGCTTGCACAGGTAGCGGCTAAAGTGGAACTCCTTCTCCAGCTCCACAAGTTGCGCGCTCGTGTACGCGGTGCGCGTCCGCTTGGAGACCGGGGACGCGCCTGGACGCTTCTCGTTGACGGTGCAGTCTGTGGAAACTGAACGGTTGGACAGGCAGTGGTCAGTGGGTGGAAACACTTCACCAACGAAGAGACTGAAACAATATCATTTTAATTATTCTCATAGTTTCACTGCGTGGGCCGAGTTTATTTTTTATTATTTTCTTCATGGTTTATTTGTCTTGTCAACTGTTTGTAATATATAATATATAATATTTGTATCTGTAAGAAATGTATTATAATAACAATCCAAAGATACAGTGAATGCAGAGGGGTTATATATTAATTGTAAAACTATTAACAGAACAAAAATGTAAATCTAAAATTAAATTAAATTTAAATGCATGAAGTTACTTATTAATACGGATCCTTCAAAATTAAAAAAAGCCAGACTTACTAAAAGATGACTACAAAATACGAAAGGTAAAAACTCAAGGTATTAGACAAATAATAAAACTAAAATGTACCCAAAATAACAAAAACAAATATAGAAGTTGTTTTCAAAACCTGACTAAAAGTTAGCTTATAATGACAGCAAAGACGTCTAACAAATTTAGCATACATTTCATTAAAAAGGTAGATTAAAAGTGGAACTAATCCACAAAAGCTAAAACTAAGCCAACGTCTGTTTATTTATATATAACAAACAAATAAAACCAATTGATTCATCAATAACATTTTGAAGTTGTAAAATATCGGCCATATAAAATCTACAAAAACACCAAAAGAAAAAACTTACCAGCTAATGAGTTAGTCTGAGCTGGAATAGATCAGCCCTAAAGTTCAAGTACCTAATGGTCTGACTTGTAGCTACAGTAAGACAGAAAAGCTTAGACTAGACAAGTGATACTGAGGGTTTGCCCAGAAACAAATTGATATTGAATAGAAATATTGTTAACAAAAAACTTGGGAAAACAAAATTTCAACAAAAAAAAAGCCAAAACATCCATAGCGCAAAATATCAAATCCATGTTTATATTTGGTAAACTGTATCTGTTCAGTATCTTTTGTATCGGGGATTACTGTAAAAACTGAATTTGAATTTTTTAGAATGGTACTACGGCCTTTGCAGAAAGATATAAACGGAATAAATGTAAATGTTAGAAGAGCAGTTTATAATGACTAATTAAAATAGGCCATAAATGAACCAGGCGTCATTATGAAAACACTGTCTGTCATGTATACAGACCTGAGCTCCTCCTGCCGTGTTTCTGATTGGACTGTCTGGATTCCTTCATCCAGGGAAAAATCTTCCTGCCCATGCTGGGGTTAGGGTTCTGCTGCTTAGACCTCCTGACTGTCGTCTCCACCTGCGTCATTTTCTGACAAACATAGCCGCTGATGTCGCGCAGGGAGTCGGCTGCCTCTCCTGGAGATTGAGGAGACTGGCCATCTCCACCCTCCTTGGCTTGCACAGGTAGCGGCTAAAGTGGAACTCCTTCTCCAGCTCCACAAGTTGCGCGCTCGTGTACGCGGTGCGCGTCCGCTTGGAGACCGGGGACGCGCCTGGACGCTTCTCGTTGACGGTGCAGTCTGTGGAAACTGAACGGTTGGACAGGCAGTGGTCAGTGGGTGGAAACACTTCACCAACGAAGAGACTGAAACAATATCATTTTAATTATTCTCATAGTTTCACTGCGTGGGCCGAGTTTATTTTTTATTATTTTCTTCATGGTTTATTTGTCTTGTCAACTGTTTGTAATATATAATATATAATATTTGTATCTGTAAGAAATGTATTATAATAACAATCCAAAGATACAGTGAATGCAGAGGGGTTATATATTAATTGTAAAACTATTAACAGAACAAAAATGTAAATCTAAAATTAAATTAAATTTAAATGCATGAAGTTACTTATTAATACGGATCCTTCAAAATTAAAAAAAGCCAGACTTACTAAAAGATGACTACAAAATACGAAAGGTAAAAACTCAAGGTATTAGACAAATAATAAAACTAAAATGTACCCAAAATAACAAAAACAAATATAGAAGTTGTTTTCAAAACCTGACTAAAAGTTAGCTTATAATGACAGCAAAGACGTCTAACAAATTTAGCATACATTTCATTAAAAAGGTAGATTAAAAGTGGAACTAATCCACAAAAGCTAAAACTAAGCCAACGTCTGTTTATTTATATATAACAAACAAATAAAACCAATTGATTCATCAATAACATTTTGAAGTTGTAAAATATCGGCCATATAAAATCTACAAAAACACCAAAAGAAAAAACTTACCAGCTAATGAGTTAGTCTGAGCTGGAATAGATCAGCCCTAAAGTTCAAGTACCTAATGGTCTGACTTGTAGCTACAGTAAGACAGAAAAGCTTAGACTAGACAAGTGATACTGAGGGTTTGCCCAGAAACAAATTGATATTGAATAGAAATATTGTTAACAAAAAACTTGGGAAAACAAAATTTCAACAAAAAAAAAGCCAAAACATCCATAGCGCAAAATATCAAATCCATGTTTATATTTGGTAAACTGTATCTGTTCAGTATCTTTTGTATCGGGGATTACTGTAAAAACTGAATTTGAATTTTTTAGAATGGTACTACGGCCTTTGCAGAAAGATATAAACGGAATAAATGTAAATGTTAGAAGAGCAGTTTATAATGACTAATTAAAATAGGCCATAAATGAACCAGGCGTCATTATGAAAACACTGTCTGTCATGTATACAGACCTGAGCTCCTCCTGCCGTGTTTCTGATTGGACTGTCTGGATTCCTTCATCCAGGGAAAAATCTTCCTGCCCATGCTGGGGTTAGGGTTCTGCTGCTTAGACCTCCTGACTGTCGTCTCCACCTGCGTCATTTTCTGACAAACATAGCCGCTGATGTCGCGCAGGGAGTCGGTTAGGTGTTGTTGATGATGGAGCTGGACGCTGTGCGTACTTTTCTGCATTTCCACGAAATGTGCAGTGATAGGGGGAGGAGGGGGGACGGGTTTCCGACCCCCACACTCTTTTCCTTTTGACCTTCTGACGGCTGTGCGCTGGCAGCCAAATGTCACATGGCAGCTTTCCAGAGAGCCCTGGGCTGGGCTGCTGTATGGCCTGCGAGAGGGTGCAGGAGAAAAGACGGAGACAGAATCAGGGTGGAGACCACATAATCCATCTTATCAACTCAATAGTAACGTTGACATGAATAGCGAGCCTCTTCTGAGCGGAGAGGCAACGAAAAAACAAGAGGGTCCCAGGAAAAAGAACTATAAAAACAAATTTATTGCCCGCTTTTTATCGCTTTCTCGTGTGTCTTCGATTACAAATATTTTGCTTTTATATTCATACGATGTGGAAAATTATTTTTACACACCTTGTGGATCCATGCAACAGAAATACCAATCACCAGGGCTGTAATTGGGTAGCCTTCAAATCATTTTAAATGACACGTTTCCCACATGATCCATTCAATTAACACAAGAATGACAATTTAAAAAATAAGACAATGAAGAAGAAGAAAAAAATGAAATAAAAAAAATCCGCGAGCTCCGCATAGAAATTCAAATGCTACTACAAATATATCACATGACTGAATGTCAAACCAAAAAGATTCCAACCGCGGTTTTTCCACATTATTCATTTATTTATTCCCAAATTGGAAAATAAATGAAAGTCAATCAAAGTAATGCACATCCTGTACATTCAGGCAAAACAGGGGATTCTTATTATGGGCTGTAGGTTGGACAAAATTATGAGTCAATGTTTACAAAATCCTCACCTACATTTAGTAAATAAAATACCCCCCACCCCGCTCCCACTCGAAAGATATCTCAAACTGGAACTATCATGAAACCTAACCCAATCTTTGACAGTATGTCCACAAAAACACCACGTCGTGGGTGGAAATAGTTTTGCTAAATCTGACAAATTGTTTTTTTCGGTTGTGCGAAAAATAAATTAAAATACTTTTAATATACTGTAGAAAACAGACCAAATTATTTATAGTCTTTTGTCAGAGATGGCTTTTCTTGAAATCACATTAGGCCCGTGACTGTAAACAAATGAAGCCTTTATTCCATTAATGGATTGTCCTGTCTGTTACATTTTCAAAGGGAAAAATAAATTAAATGTTTTATCACAGTGAGTTGAAAAGCTCATCCATCAAAATAAAATACTACACATGTCCATTGTGCACTGCTGCTGCTCCAGCTGCTGTTGCTGCTCGGAATTGAAAAAATCGAGAGAGAAAAAAATGCAGTAAAATCAAATGTAAAAATGATATGGCTTCAACGACGATCCTAATTGGACTAAATGAAATCAAAAATTAAAAAGCAGTAGTTTTGGATGAATTCGGGAGCAGAGAAGTCTGGAGGCATGCAGCTCTCTGAACTCTGGATGAACCGCGTCTGCAGGAGTCAGCCTCGTAAATCATAAAGACACATAACCCACAGCTCCACACAACACAACACAACACAACACCACGCCACACAACAGCCATTCTTACCTTCCCCGCAACCCACATTCACACTTATCCCGCAATGAATCCCGATCCTCAAGGAAAAAAAACAGACGCCTCTCACCTTGTTTTCGTAGATTATAAGCGCGATCCCTGCGGGAGGAAACGACTCTTACACCCGCGTCACGCTGCGTGGACGTGCATTAGGAGTTGGTGGTGGTGGTGGTGGTGGTGGTGCTGATCAAGTGGCTTTGGGGCGAAGCGGAGTGGACAATGTTCCTGCAGCTCCCACCGCCTTTGCATAGCATTTCTGTACACCGTGTGTGTGTTTGTGTGTGCGTGCGTGAAAAAGAGAAACCCCTTTGCTGATCCTGCAGACCCATGGATCCACGTGTGCTAATAGAAAGAAATGATAAAGATGGGAGAAAGAGGACATTTGTTGTCATTAGATCATGGCTAAGCAGGAGAGAAATGACACGACGTAAAAAGCAAGGGAGTCTACACTCTTTGCAGCTCATATTAGTCCAAGTCTTTTTCTTCAAATGTGTATTTTAAACACTCGAGTTATCCACAAAAACTTATGGAAGTTCGGACAAAATTTGAAAACAATAAAAGACTCAAGATATAGAATCATCACGTGCACAAAGCATGTTTACCAGTTTAAGATGGGCGAAGAAAAATCCTAAAATGCGCCTTGAATTTCAGAAACAATCAAAAGTTTTGTAACGATTTTGCCGACACCCATTCCTCAATTTTCTTGTTCTATAGAAATAAAACTGAGTAAACATTTTGAGCTATGTTCTTTTTTAAGCAGAGGAGTAATGTCAAAAGAAATAGTTTCCCTCCACTGAGCACTAATGCTAGTAAAATGTTGCTATTTCTTTGTTTTACAAATAACCCTGACGCCTTCCGGTTTATTTCCTGCTGCCCAGGTGTCTCTGGGCACGAGTCCAGCGCCTGGAAGAAATACATTCAAACATCTCATTTTGGACGAATGCCAGACCATGGCGATAAATAACGCAGGCAAATGTGAGCAATCGGTTTTGGTTTTGGTTTTTTTACTCACCGAGTTGTTTACGTCGTGTACCATGTAATGCTTTGCTTTATTTCTAATTGAAATGAGTTATCAGATGGAGTGATTTTGAAGCAGTGAGAGGGCAGACAGACAGAGGTCAGCAGCAGCAGCATCCATTAGACAGTCTGCGTCCAGGAGATGGGGAGGAGGATGGAGACTGTAGTAATGAGGCCTGGTGGCCAGGCTTTGGTTCTCATGCCGCAGTGGGTCGATGGGAGCTGCTTTGATCACTCATCTTCACCGTTTTAGTCGATCGCTTTGATTGGCTGTGAAAGGTAATATTTAACTAAGTGGCTGTAATTCATGCAAAAGGCTCCACCTTTGATCCGCGAAGCGTGCACCTGCCAAAGTTTGGACAAAATCCCAAACGTGTTTTAAGCCGCGTCCAAATCCTGCATCAATGATGGATTGCAGGGACGACTATAGCTCTATTACGATTCGGTAATGTCAATTTGTTAGGTACACTGAAAAGTAGCGACCACGCAGTCCTGGATGTGTTGGAAACTGTCGTTCAAATAATCACGTTTATTAATGCTTGACAGGGATAAACACGTTCATTTTAATAGGTAATAACAGCTTTCTGCTGCAGTTTAAACAGTGTACGTGTACGCTCCAATGCTCAAATCTGATCACGATGGTCATTAATAAATGGCATACAGTTGCACTGAATTTTTAACCGCCCTATTTAAAGCAAAACAATTGCTTCAGTAATACAATTATTTAAAGGTACACAACTGTGGGCAGGTTTCACCAAAATATAAAAAAAGGAAATAAAAAAATTAAAGGATTCATTAGGCAATTAAAAATGTAATTAATTTGAGTTTTAATGGTGTATATATCAACTGAAGTATGCATAAATTCCTAAATCAGCTAAACGTTGCCTCAAGATGTTCAGTCATATGTCAGCAATATCTCAAAGTAAATGTGTTCATAACTTTGTTAGCCATAAACACATCTAAAAATTTAGATGACCAAAAAATAATAAAAGAAAGTGATAATTAATTAATATTAGCAAAACAACAACAAAAGTTCACCAAATACTATAAAGCCAAAAGTTATAAATTATACCAAAAGTAGTCTAAAATTAGCCAATTAGGAAATTAATCATTAGATAACCAGAAGTCAATGATAACAGCTAAAATTAAAAATGGCTCTTATCTTTCTTGGTGTTACTGTTAGTAAGGAAACATTATATTATACAGCTGTTCTAAATTCTTTGTACTATTAGCCTTATCCTTAGTGCCGTTAATCTCACAACTAACATTTACATTTCTAAAGAAAAACCCAGCAGAGACATCAGTGTTGAGTTGACAGTTTGAAAATGTGTAAGTTGCGTTAGGAATGTTTGATAAAGTCGACACAGAAAAGTCTAAATATGCTGTACAATATACCAATGACAACTACAGTTCCATAGTTGCCATTTGAGTAGGACATCATCCCCAAAGTTGCACTTTACACATCCCATCAATAACTGTAGGACTGCTTGTGTGATCTGTGATGGACACACACACATGCTCACAGACCTGCTGACAAACCTCTCTTGTCAATTAGCTGCAGGAACCACGTGTCTGCAGAGGAGGGGATTTATTGTGCTGAATCAATACATACAGACAGTTGAATCAACAATGGCAGCAACTTCATTTCCCACTGAGATGCCATGCAAATTAATACTAACCCATGACTTGTATTTGTGAAATAAATGACATAGTTAGGGGAGGGGGAAAAAATCAAGTCTTCAATACTTTAAACTACCAACAAAGAAAACATTAGTCACCAGTAAAATCAACCTTTTATGAACAGCATGTCGATCTTTTCCTGTGTGCAGTTCTTGAATAAAATCATTTAGTGAAGAGTAACAAAGAAGCAAGATGTTAAGGCCTGTCAGGATGTCCTTGCATCTTTTACAAAACATCAACTAATTCCTAAGTGTCACATTTAAACATTTTAAACCTGTGTGTAGTCACTGACCTTGTCTTCGCTCCTCTGTTGTCAGCATAGTAAATATACATCTGCAGCACAGATACTGTTTTCTCTTTCTCTCTCTTTCTTTTCTTCTCATCCTTCTCCATGCAGCCACAGTGTTTGGAGCACTTTGCAGTTTGAGGTGCTCCTCACATTTCCTTGCACACTAACTCCTCCTCATCTATACAGGCAGTGGCAGTGAAAAGGAGAGGTGACAAATGACGTATTGAACAAAGGCCTCATTGAGGGCCTGTCCTGCAACATTCACAGATGTCATATTCTCTGACAATGTCCAGCTAAAAAGGAAAAGACTAGGGGGAAACACCCGAGGCAGACGGTTGGACCTATTTAAAGTAGTGGTAGAAATGAGAACATTCAGCAAAAATAGTCATTTGTTACTCAAAACGAAACAAGAAGATCACTCATCTTTTGGCTTTTGGCTTTTAGCTAAAAAGCCAAAAGACAAGATAAATTAAAAAAACCAACAATGTTGGCCTAGTATAGATAAAAAAAAGTAATATGACTGAGACAAAATATCAGTCGAAATATAGGGTAAAATTCTTTATACCAAATTTTATAAAATACTTCAAACTCAAAGAAAAAATGCCAAACCACATAAACAATAGCCTAATTGTGGTAAGAGTATCTACAATGTAGTCAAAATAGAAGTCAGCCAAACGATGGCTTAGAGGCTACCAGAAATGGCTGACAATATGAAGAAAACATTGCATATAAAAAGTAGTGAAGATAAATCAAAAATAGTGTAGAATATTACCTGAAAACTCAACTTTAAATATATTTCACTTTATTGTTTTGGAATTTTTGAAACACAATAAAGCCTTTCTTCACCACACGTAAAAATACCAACATTTGGTACGTTTAACTTCAAGACTATTCAATTATTTATTTCCTTTTTGAGGTCAAGTGTCAAAACCTACATACTCCCTAAGACACGAATTTGCGGCTAATGCTACATGTACACAAATTCGGATCTACAGGGTATATATAGGTGACAAGTCATGCAGCGTCCTAAAAACATATGTATGCTGGATAAATATGCAGAAATATACAAAACAATACATCATCTACAATCAGTATGTTTTGAAAAGATGTACACATATATACACATGGTACACATGAAAATTAATTCAATACATGTATGTACTCGTACCACACATTAACACAAAAAGGTTTGGTAAGAATGTAATGTACTTACCACTACACCTCTGGTAGCTATAGCATATTGTATGTGATCGTACCATTGACGTTTAGGCTAATACAGGATTATTAGAAAGAAATGCTGTGGTCAGAATCTTACCAGCAAAACTCCAGACAAAAGCTTAGACATGGTGTATGTGTACGTGTGTGTTTGTTTGACTACAGTTTAGACTATTCTCTTGTGGTTGTTAACCTTCCTCAGTAAAACATTTTTTGTATTATTCCATTGACAAATTGACAAGAGTATTGGTTGCAAATGTTTGCAATTATTGAATGTGGCTTTTGTTAAAGTGCTGAGAAATACACACCATTTATATTCAGCCAGCATATATGCGGGGGTCCTTGAAAGTGGGGTGTTGGATGAAGATACTATATAGACTGACGTTGGTTTGTCTTTAACTTCCCTGTGGCTCCACCCTTAAAAATGTTTGACTTGTGAATCAACTTGATCGTCATATGTGATCAGAAAACATGGTTTCTTTCTGCCGGTGTTCAAGCATGTGGGTGTTGGTGGGGAACCCATCAGTTTCATCCTCATAAATGTTAATAAGTCATCAATAGCTGTTTGAAATATGAATTATTTATTGATGGCTGTTAATAAGTCATTAACAGTGGCCGTGAAGGTTATTAATCGTCTTTCATCTGTCTGTAGTTACAAATGACATAAATCAATAATTCATAAAAGTATCTCATTACACTGTATTGCCAGTCAAAGTGAATTTGCTCTGTACCTGACTACTCAAAAGTTTTTATGGCTCACCAGGGACCTAAGAGGTACTAAGTACTGATTTATTTATCATTAATAAAGCCATTAGTTGAGGGCAGTACCAAAAACATTTCCATCCAGCGTGTCTGCATATGTTTGGATGGACGTTTTACATCCGCACCAGCTCATATCCTGGGTCTGTTTATGAGTTTGTTTTCTGTTATAGGTAATATATGAAATCATAAACAAGTTAATTGCACTTTACACTCTGCGTTTAGTGCACATTATGAGCACTTATCGGAGTGATTCCACTGTCATAAGATGGAGTACAGTCAATATGCCAAGAATGAAGTTTGTTCTTATAGGCATCACAGTCTTTTACTGATTCAAAATTATATGTTGGCCATATAACCTGAGTTTCACCTCTCCTTATATTCACAGCAGTAGAAGAAGTTTTCAATGAGCCATACTTAAATGTGGAAATACTCGCCTACGCGCAAAGGTCCTTGAGCGAAATTATAGTAAAATAAAATCAAAATAACAATCTAGTTAAATTTTTGCAGTTTTTTTAGATGACTGATGTGCAACCTGCGGCTCTGGAGCCACGTGGCTTCTGAGCACCTTGACTCCCAGTCATTTGTGATGTTGGTCTGTAAATATTACATCAAATCAGCCATTAAGGTTTTAATGTGTTAGACAGGGTTGAGGACAGTTAGAATCTATGACATCATCTAAACCTAGGTTGCACCAAACTATAGAAGCTTTAGTGCTTTAGTTAAGGGTGGCGCTAATCTTAGCAGTCATTGCACATTTCACCAGTCCCCTACCATTGCGCCGGGGAGCAATACTAGGCTGCAAAGAAAGAATAAATTGTGTTATTTTGATTGTTTCATTGTTATTATTTATGTTAATATGCATGATGTCTAAGGATATTTTCATAAGGGTAAAGTCAAGGACTTTAAAAATGTCATAATTGGTACTGAAAGTAGTAGTAGTAGTAGTAGAAGTATATAAATATAAATAAATATATTCTTTATATTATGTATATATTGTATATTACTTGTTTCAGTGATGAGGAAATAAATTTACATAGACAACATTTATAAATGAAATAATTATTCTGAGTGTATAGTAAATTAAATTTTATTTTAAATTAATTTATACTTGTTTTGCTTGATTTTGTTTTTTTAATTTTTGTGTGTTGTTGGTAAATGTTTTTGTTCTGAGGTGAACTGAAGAGTCACAGCTGTGTCAATGTTTAAAACTTTAAACACGTTTTCCAACCACATGCATTTGCGAGGGCATGTTTCTACTGCAAATGCTGGACTAAAATGCAAATACTGAAGTACAAGTAGTTGAAAATGCACTTAGCAACAGTACTTAGACTCAATTATGATAAAAAGAAATCAGATTAACTGGACCCAGGCAGTCTGGCCGACTGTGGAATTAAAGCAAAGTCTGCATTTTAAATGTAGGAGTCGGTACATTAGAATACAATGTCTTAACCCGTGTAAATATTTAAATCCACAGTTCTAAACCTAAAACAGTGTCTTGTCTCTTTACAGCCCACGTGACCCTTTTGATCAGAGCTGGGAGCAAGAAAACCATCCATCATCTGGCTGACTGGTCTGAGGCGCCCTCTGCTGGAGAATTAGCTGCACTGCAACGAACATCAGCCAAGAGTGGAGGTGAAGTCAAACACACACACACACTCTCACTCTCACACCAATACACACACACAAATCCAGATGTTGAGCGTACATGTCGCTATAAACAGCCCCCCGAAAAGCGTTCAAGGTGACATTTGTTCCACGTGTTTTATCATTATGATCGCAGTAATCGCGTCACCGTATTGGTTCTAATGGGAAGGGCGGTGGCTTGAAATGGTTATTGGCACAAAGATTTGTTTTACTAATGTAACTGTGGAATAAACCCACCACGTGTGTGTGTGTGTGTGTAATTTTTCTCTGAATATTAACGTTTCAATTGTTATTTATTTCAACGGCCGGAAATTAAGCTCCCTTAGTAACTATAATTTCATGTATCTGAATATATTTATATATAGTACAATTTAAGTAGGTGTTGCGTTTTTAAATTAATAACGTCTGAACATTTTACGAGGAAAAACTATGAATGGCGACATCAACTGCAAACACAAACAATGAGTCATTTCATCAGATATTTTGATAAAAGGTGGTAGTATTATTATCATTAATAATGATAATATCGTGTTTACTATGTTGTTGTTGATGGTGGCGTTCTTATGACGTTATTCTCTTTGACCTGTTGGACGTTTGAAATTACAAAAGAATCAAAATTTTGGACGTAAGTCATGCAGATCTATGAGTTTCTTAAGGATTTTGTCCTGCTCCAGGAACAGGCGGATCCTTCTTTTTAAATTTCATATTACAGATTTGCCATTTTTTGTAAATATATATATTCCAAATAGTGCTCTATTTTGTATCCTTCGTAGCACACGTACACATCCTTTCCATTTGGATTTAATACAACAAGTATATCAGCTCCAATGCCACATATTGGTCACAGGGCATGTTGCATGTTCTGAACTGCACAGTGTGCAACTGTGAACTGTCCGGTTTAATTTGGTTGTGGCTTGGCAACAACTGCTGATATGTTGCCCCATAGAGTTCACATGTTGGCTAATACCTCGAGTATCACGGGGTCACATAGTGGTCACAGCGAGAGCAGCACACGTGCTGTATATGCCACACTCTACAATAACCAGAGCTGTGTCTTAGGTGATATAGTCCAGCACATTCATATTGCTGCCCAGAGTCCAGAGAAAACTCATGAACTTTCTTCCCTTAAATTCTGGAGTGATGAAAATGATTGGATTCGGGTTTTCAGAATATCTCAACGTTGAATTCAAACGTCAGGCTGAGGAAACCGTTGTTATAGGAGCACCGTGTCCACCAGATGAGCTGAACCAAGGAGTCTTTAGGAGCAATGGTTCCAACTGTACAGGATGCTGGCTGTCAGTACGTTAATGAAACTATCTTCTGCACAAATAATAACATGAACTGACAATTTAGTGAACGGAATCTTCTTTAATATTTTGTAAAATACCCCCGTGTGAAATTATTTACACCCTTAAAATAATATTTTACATTCCGACCCTTTAAAAATCAGTCGTAACAGTTTCAATGCCACGCGTTATGTAGTCTTAGTATTTTTTAAAATTCCTGTTCAAATGTGTCCAATTGAACATTATTTTATATCTAAACGGTTCAAGTCTGTCTCTTTCCCATTGCATTAAATTTTAAATTAATCACTACATTAATTTAATTGTTTTATTTTAATTTACACACATTTCAGGTGTTGTTATACTTAGATTTTTTTTTCCACATCAGTGATTGCGGAAGGTGACTGTGCAAAAGTCTGACACCATCCATGCAGCACTGCGCTGAATCCTCCCCATTCTGGCCGAGGCATCTGCGGCTGCACAGTGCGCGTCGTCTCCTGACCCAGCGATGATCCCCGCCGCCATGAATTATGCATGAGATCTGGGCTACACTTTACCCCTATCAATATGCAATACTCATTACACTGCTTAAATTGCCACTTAATAGTTATGAATATGTGGGAAATGTCTGGGACCCTTATAACCCACCACCAATACCTTTGACTTTTTATCTATTCTCTGTTTTAATTTGATCCCGAGATTAGTTTGGAAAGAACGGGGAAAATACTGCACACAAGTGTAGAGTTTTTCAAAAGGTGACGTCTTTAAGGTTGCTGGACACGGCAGTATATCTGGTTAGTAGTATTTGCAGTACAGGCTGAGCTCTCTTTCTGTCAGAGCCCGTGTCCACCTCTGTGCTGTCCGACACTTCACCTTTGGCCGCTGGGTGACTCTGGAGAAAAACATAAATCACTGCACAAGCGCTCAAGTTCGTACCATGGCAGCTCCACAAAGGCGCTACAATGGAGCGGAGGCTCAGTGTGGTGCAGATTTTTACCCCCCTTCACAACCGCCCTCACAAATCCTGAAAAACCTCTGTTTGTGCAAAACTAACAGGCTTGAGTTTTTTGATTTTTGTCTAAAAATCTCCGATCAAGTTGCTTTTATCCTTAAGCAGAAAACGCGATAATTAAAAAAAAAAACTCTGGATACTACTAATAATGATAATAATAAATATATTTTTATGCTTTTCTGCAGATAAAAAATATATAAAAAATATATTTAAACAACTGTAGTTTCAAATTACACCAATAATTCAAAATACATTTTTTTATTTAACACAATTTTTAAATATAAATGAAAAATTTGATTTTTTTTAAAATATATGTTTTATGAATTTATACACTTTTCCCAATTGTCCCAACAGCCAAAACGAACTAAATACGACTGGACACCACTTCCTTTCCCAGTCCAGCCTTTCCAGTCCCATCCATGCAGTTAAGCCGTCACTTTCATTCAAGGTTGTGAATTATATAGTACATTGTCTACTCCCCAAAACCATAAAACCAACTTTATGGACCTCACGTGACTTTTCACAGTCTGTAAGTAATATAGGCCTATACAATCTTTGGTAAGGAGGGATTTTTTACCAACTTCTGCCCTGACTATATACCTGTAAGACAAAGCCAGGCTCGGTTTTTGGTGTTGAGATTTTTCTAAATCGTCAAAATTCACGTCGTGAAATTGCCAGCACGTTTCATGCTGCAGTGAGAGCACACGAGGTAAGGTTTTCAATTTCTTTCTGTAGGAAATGCCTCCAAGTAGGGCTGTAAAATATTGTTGTTCAATTGGCATCCGAAATGTTCCTGCAGATTAATCATTAATTTGTCTGAATCCCGCTAAGAACCGAGCAGAATTTGTTCCGCACCCGGTTTGTTGTTGTTCAAAAACTCTTAAAACAACCCCCGCCCCATATTATTTTAATTGATAACAGAGTGAGACACGTTTAAAGTAATGGGAGAAACTTTTATTTTTTTTCAAGCGCTGTGAGTTCACTTACAAATACAAAAAGCTTATTGGCGGAAAAAAAAAAGCTTACATCACTGCCTATATATCCACAGAATAATTACCCTTTGCACTAAAAATTTATCACATTGACAGGTTGAATACATTTGCATTGCTCATAATTAGCTCTAAACAATAATCATAATAATAACAGATCCACAAAATGTCCTATAGAGCTACAACCGTTGGCTTGTTATTTATTTTTTTTATTTTTTTTTTTTCCTATGTCTGAAAGTTGATGAGATCTGGCCACAAGATATTACCATCAAAAGCTGTTAAAAGTTACACTGAAGCGCTTCAACTGGCCCCGGAAATACATTACATTCAATGAAGAGCAGCATATGGTTTGAAAAGATTTTTTTTTTTTTTAACTGTACAATGGATTTTTTTTTTGTTACTCCTGTTAGACCGTGGAGAAGTTACAATAAAGAGCTCAAGTTTAACACCTTCAAGATAAGAGACAGACAGAGAGAGAGCAAAGAGCATGGACAATTAATAACCCCAGTAATATTTACATCTTCTTTTCCAAGTAGAACATCTAAGCTATCATAGAACAACGACACTCAACTAAAAAAAATGTCATTTTAAGACCACTGAATACTTATTTTTCTATCACAATGGCATGCTGGAAGGTGCTGCGCTTTCAATAGCTTTACAGTACTCATGGATTTCTTTGTTTTCTTTTTTCCTCTTTTTTTATCATCATTTTCAGCATCATCATCATTATTATGATTATTTTCATGTTTAATTTTTTTCCCCCTTCCTCCACAAAAAGTTATTCAGTTGTGGAAGGCGCTCGCTCCTGTCACCAGGCTCATGCTTTTCAGTTTATTGTCCTTCTTCCACTTCATCCTGCGGTTCTGAAACCAGATTTTGATCTGTCTTTCGGAAAGACACAGGGCGTGGGCTATCTCTATCCTCCGCCGTCTGGTTAGGTACCTATTGAAGTGAAACTCTTTCTCCAGCTCTAGCGTCTGGTAGCGGGTGTACGCGGTTCGGGCCCTTTTCCCATCTGGTCCAGTCATATCTACAATTTTTTTTTACAGAAAATCCAAGACAATTAGGGACTGCACTATACAAGAAACAACACAGGTCCAACCTCACGACTGATTTAGATTTAAATCTAATAATAATATTAACCAGTATTATTACAATGTATGTTTGTTTGGGCTTCGGGATGTTGCGACAGACAGACAGGGGTCACACACCATGCGATGGGGCTGATGCAAGGAGGTGATGGAGAAGCATGCATGTAACCAGCACGACACATAACCACACACTCAAAAACTACTCTTTATTGTTGTTTCTGTTATTGTGACTGCCTGTGTTTTCTAAAGGTGTTTCCCCGAAAAGCACAGCCTGCACATTTGGGCCAGATTTAAAATCACCCAGAATCCGTACGATACCACAGGCACAGTGGAGAGGGGCTGTAGCGGCAGTTAACCTGCACCCCACCAAAACCAAACAGTTCACCTATCCACCAAATTACACCCTCCATACAGTCGCTCACACACACTGCCCCTCTTTTTACCACCACAATCATCCACACCAAGCTGCTCACTCATGCAACACTTCATGGGACAGATTTATGGAGAAGCCACCAGCCTTCACAAGTAAATATTAGTAGACGTGTGAATGTATATACCGTGGCTTATGTGCAGTTTCCGCATCCAGGGGAATATTTGTGGCGTTTGGCAATCATTTGTTGTAGGAGTGGATGAAGTGGCGTTGGGTTCCTGGTGCTGCTGCTGCTGCTGCTGCTGTTGTTGCTGTTGCTGCTGCTGTTGCTGCTGCGCCCGTGGTACCGTGCTAGACGCGCCGCTGCCGTGCGCTCCGTCCTCGGTCTCGGAGGCGACGGTGGCGTCCTCTATCTCTGTGAAATGGGCGCTGTTGCTTTTGTTGAGGCCGTTGCCGCCGGAGTTCGCGCTACGGTCAGACGGGGGAGAGGGGCTTTTTAGTTCCAGAGGCTCCCCGCCCCCCCCGGCGCGCGGCACGGGATCCGGGGAGGAGAGCGAGCAGTTGGGCGTCTGTCTGTAGCGGGCGTCCGGCCCGAATCCCCGGGCATCCTCTCTCACCGCCCCGAAGTGGCTGCCGGTGTTGGTGCGGTTCACGGTTAGGTCCATGCCATTGTAGTTGTAGCCGAAAGACCCGGAGTGCATGGTGCCAGGGTCTCTGAAGGAACCGCTCACAGCGCCGTTAGTCCCATAATTTAGTAACTGATAGTCGGAGCCATTTGGATAGCGCCCTGAGAACGAGTTTACAAAGTAAGAGCTCATTTGCTTGGATTTTTAAAGCCTCGATTTGTAGATCTTTGTCGCTATAATCCTGTGTGCTTGCACGATTTATGGACGCAATCATGAATTATAAGCAATGAAGCCCCTACTGTACTTTGCCAGGTATGCGGCCAAATATGGGAGAGCGTTCTGGAATCACGTGCCTTTGTTGACCAGTCGTAAATCCTCACTGATGACTTCAAGAGGTAATTCATGCTCCATGGTTACAAATGATGACGAAATAATGGTCGTTAGGCTCCAGTCAATGGTGCCTCCCCGCTGCGCTCCGAGAGCCGTGCGGGCAGATAGCGCCATCTTCCGGACAGCGGTGGTACTGCAGCGGCGGACCGCGCTGTCAGGCCGCTGGAGCCATCCATCATTTATGTAACGCAGTGAGAGTGCAGGCCACAAAAGGCTCAGGTAACACATAACAGAGACTTATCAGCACCACTGTTGGCAGCTTAACGTGCACTGTGTCAAAGTGGAAATTAAATTTATCTTCACACCAACTTTTATGAGGATTTATGTCCTTGTGAGCTCACAACCAACACATTAGAGTAACACAACAACAACAACAACAACAACAATGGTATCGATACTGTTGATATTGTGTGCTTTTAATATGACTTTAATTTCTCCGAGTATATAAGAGACCACAAGATTTCCGATATACATCAAAAAGCCTTTATTTTTATGTACAATTTCCTCAACAAAAATATTGCACACGATATCCAGATGTGCATTGAACACAGGTTGAACAGCAATAAATAACATGTAACATTTTTAATGTTTTCAAATGTACAAAGTAAAGAGTGGATGGCACAGCTAAAGGACGACAAAAGCCTATAGACATTTAGAGAACAACGACACACGAGATGTACAGTAAAGGACGAAGCCTGTCTTTTTCTAAAACGTCATGGCAGAAAACAACAACAGTAACAACGACAATAATGATACAAAAACTCAGTAGGCCTGTTGTCATGAGGTAACGACATTGTCCCAAACTAAACACTCGAAATTATTTACATTTTGGCGGATTTTTGCATAGTCCCCTAAACAAACACACGAGCACAAGGACAAACGGAGGAGGACCTGATTTTAACCTAATGCAGACATTATTACCGTGCAGATACTTGGAGGTCTATCACTCTACACGTCTCTAACATGGCATTTGCAGCACTTTATCTACAAAGAAATATTACATTTTCTTTTTATTATTCTGGGGGTGTGCATACAAACAAACGCACATATGCCTTTTTAATTTTGCCACAGTGTTCATTTAGCTCTTTTTCTCCGCCAGTTCCTCCTCCTCCTCGGGCGTCTTTGTAGGATTGAGGAGTTTGTTCTCCTTTTTCCACTTCATCCTGCGATTCTGAAACCAGATTTTGATCTGTCTCTCCGTCAGACACAGGGCGTGAGAGATCTCTATCCGGCGCCTCCTGGTCAGGTAGCGGTTGAAGTGGAACTCCTTCTCCAGCTCCAGGGTCTGGTAGCGGGTGTAGGTCTGTCGGCCCCTGCGGCCACTGCTGCCAAATGGGCCTGAAAACAGGCAAAACGTAGTCGTGAGTTAATCATTAATATGTTAGCCTCCAGTGAATTTCCAAAGTGTGGGACAGAAAAATCTACCTGAAACTGCACTCAAAATCTGTAGTGGTGTATCTGGAAAAATAAATAAAATTAGTGTTTTGCAACTCTAAACCACAAGATAACGACATAATATAAAATGTGATGTGTGCAGAGCGTAATTGGGATTTAATATTTGCTTTATAGGCTGTTTATGAATACATTTGTATTAAATACATTTTCATCTTATTACGCATGTCTATGCATGAAATGCAAAGACTCGTACTATTGCGAATTTTCTATTAAGTCAGCACAGTCTCCTATTTATATACTTTCTTAAATTGTCTCTTAATATCATTTCATTACGCCATACAAAATTATTTAAAAACAAATAATAATACATGCTACTGGAGACGTAGTGGCTTATATTTAATATATGGTGCGTAAACGCGACCAAACAGTTGGTTTATTCCCTATATAGTATTTATTACAAACACAAAAGAATAACATGTCATCATAACATTTATCAACAGTATATACGTGAAGTTTACAGTGAATTTAGGATTTTTTGTGCATACTGTTTTCTCTGTGGTCTTTTTTCAAAATAAATTTGATATTGTGTTTTCACAACTGATCTTCTTAAAAAAAAGGTCCAGTTTACAGATGCCATGTGACTGTCAAAGTTTGGAGCTCAGATGATGTAGGCCCGGTCTGTATGTGCGTACATGTGTATGTGCGTGCACGTGTGGTCGTGCATGCCGTCCTATATGTGGCGGTGATGATGCAGTAGTGTAAGCCCTGCAGGCGCATGAGGGATCCGTGCGTAAACGCAGCCATTTGTGGCCATAAAAGCCTCTAATCACTGGTGATTTTCCTTCTGAATGTTATGGCAAATAAATAAAAGTGTAAAAGATGCTGCGTTTTGAAGCTGACAGGTAACTATGAGAGGCTCAGGGTGCGCTCTTGGCGCACTCCTGCGCCCCTTTTATCCCAGGCACCGGGACAGGAGCAGAGTTCCAGCCTTGTACTCACCGGCAGAGCAAGCGTTCATCCTCTGCATCCACGGGTAGATGAGTGTGGACGACTTGTCGTCGAGGCTGCCGCTCATACTGACACTCTGCTCCGGACACTCGGCAGCTTTGCGCTGCTGGTGCTCCTGGGTGACGAACAGAGGCTGGTCTTCGCGGCTGGAGAATGCGCAAGAACCCTCCGCGTCCTTGTAGAAAGTCCCGACCGGGTTGTAGTCGCAGGTGGCTCCGCCGCCGGCCCTCCCGTAGATGGCCGCGGCTGCTGCGCCCGTTTGCTGGTAGTAAGACGCCGGGTAAACCTTCTCCTGCATGTTGGCTGCTCCATATGTGGCCGCGTTGGAGTAGTGTCTTAACGGATCCGTGTATCCCGAGGAATATAACGGTATCTGACCCAGGAGAGAGTCCTGTCCTCCCGGTAGAGACACGGGAAAAGTTGAGTTAACAAAATAGGAACTCATTGGGTGGACAACGGGGTGTATATACTCCGGAGGAATATGATTTGTTGTCTTTTATAGTCCAAGTGCTTTTGCCATTACTTTATCGGAGATTTGGTTTTTGCTGAGAGGGGGGGGGGGTTGTGAGGTGCCACTGAATACAGAGGGGAAGTGTACCACCTGATCAAACGCTGGCCAATCACAGCTGCCTGCGCTTGCACTACAGCACCCATGGGGGGCTCTTGTTGCGCGCAGGGGTAGCTGGTGAGTCCAAGTGAAGCGCTCCAGTCTGTACATCTTTACGCACTCTCTCTTATGCATTCAGAAATATAGACAGAGACTCGTGTGAAATACAAAAGCAACATACAAATGTAGAAAAGTGTAAAAAATAACACGTACGACAGAAGGGTAGAGTGAAAACAGTCTTTTATCATAACACCAATGCAAAACTCTGCTCTCCATCTATATCCCATTCTCTCTCTCTCTTTCTTTCTCTCTCTTTCTCAGTCTCTCTCGCTCTCTTTCTCTCATCCCCACAAGCACACGCACGCACGCACACATACAGTCACTCTGCATACAGCAAAAACATGCCAAAGACTTTGCGGTTACGCACAAATCGTTGTTCTCATAGCTCCAACAATTGTTAAAGCTCTGCCGTAGAACAAAAACACAAAAACACATTTTCACTAATCGTCCGCAGTTGACGTCATCACCGTGAAAAACTTTAAACAGACAAAAAGAGTCAACAATACTGTTCTCCACTCTCTGTCTAGGAAGCTATAGATGTTCGTCCCAAACATGGATTCTGTAGCACGTAAACGTGCAATGAAGCAGGGAGACCAGGGACGAATACACACTCACACACACTCCATCATCATCCTCACCATCTTCACCTCTAGTGTCACCAGGAGGACACTAAATCCAAGTGTAAACATCTGCCACACAGGCGTGGATTAACAACACATTGATATTTGTATTTTAGTGTAAATGAAGCTGATTAAGCAGATGAATTGATCATCTTTAATTGATTATCGACTGTCGGTTTAATAACACTTGGTTTTGTCTTTGGAAATGTCAGTGAAACGAATATTTATAGCACGAACGTTGAATGTGGAGTTTACTTGAATTTTCACTTATCTCATGAGATGGACGTGCAACAAAGAGTCGGTGAATCGACAGTGAACTGAGTCTAAGACCATCTGATAATCCATGGATCCTGTTGAATTCGTTCTGTCTTCTGATTCCCAGATATATTGTGCTTGATGTATTTATGAAATTATTTTGTTCATAAGGATCGAAATAAGACAGTTTTGGACAAACCATAAACAATTTCCATCATTGTATGAAACGAATGACTAAAGAATTAATCGAAAAAAATCAAAATCGACTTTTTAATTAGTTCTTATGAAAGAAATCGGCTAAAAAGGACTCAAGGACTAAAAGTGATTGTTTGCCTTTAATGTTGCTCTGCTTTGTTGTTTTTAAATTGCTTATACAATTAAACATTTTTCCGTATGTAAAGGTTTCATCAACACGTGTTAAAATTCATCCTTAAAAAAACGTTATAATTATAAATTTAATTAAGTTATATTTGTTGGGAGTAATGAATTATAATTTGAATAAATGTCCTATTTATTTTTATTAAATTATTGAATGAATAAACAGCTCCTCCCAACCAGGCCGCAGCCTCTTATTTATCCTCACCACTGAAGTTTTTTTTTTGTCCCTTTTTTAAATGCGACTACTTTGAACCAATAAATTAAGTCACATTTTTAATCTTTTTGTATTTTATTAATGACGATTTGGGGAAAAAAAAGGTTCCAAAAAAGCCACACACTGGTGTGTTTTTTATGTCCCACTCATAAGAACCTGCGTTTAGACGCAGACAAACCATAAAGCGCCAGACATGACGCATAAACGTTGCATTTATAGTTCACGTTATTACTAGTTTGGTTCTTTACTAGATCAAGACACAAACAAATGTAGAATAAAAAATAATGAAACAACATAAAATGGAAGAATAAAACAAACAAAGCGGAAGGTTTACATGGAGCGAGGTGACGCGCCGTGCGCAACGAAGCGGGAGGCTGGATTTAGGAATAAAATGAAAACGTCGAATCAAGTCTAGAATAAGAAAAGAGGAAGTGAATTGTGTTTTTTGTATTAATACGTGTCTCTGATCTTTCAGACATAACCGAGAGCAGGAGTCCGGGCCTTGTCTGATCCTCATCCCCAACATCATGATCTGGCCTGCAGCACAAACATCCAGTCACATCATTGGAACCTCCAGACCTCCAGACCAGGGTGAAGGCCTCAGAGTCACAGAACAAAAATGTGCCTGTTCTCTCACATCCTCAGGTCAGACACCGCAGCCTGATGCTGCAGCCTCTCTCTCTGTCTCCCTTACCCTTTCTCTCTCTCTCTCTTTCTCTGGTTAAACGCAGACAGAGCAGCTGCTGTCAACAGACAGCACACAGCGACGGGCGAGAGACAAACGAACCCAGAGGAAGGTTTGGATTGGATTATAATTACCCAAATCATCCAGACTAATCTTCCCATTTTCCCCTCGTGTAAACATTAGGCCCACAGTGACAGTGGTGTAGACACAACAAGAGCTGCAGCGGCGCACTGGAGCTCAGTGCGCTGTTGTTTGGAAACATGGTGCCCTTACCTTTGTTGATAATCCATCATCTGCAGCGTGTGTGCCACTCCTGCGCGGCTCCTCTCTGCTCCTTTCTCACACGCATTCCCCGCTTCCTCCAAGTGATTTGGTCAAAGTAATCCCATTCAGCAGCAGCAGCGTCACCATCATCATCCAGCAGTAGCTGATGGAGACCATTTTCAGCCACATATAGCAACACAAGTGCAAAATGTCACACTGACACTCACGCAGGCTGAAGCTTCGGCGCAAAAAAAAAAAAAAGACAAAAAAACCCCGCAGCGTCCTCCACTTTTTTGGAGGCGAACTTCACGCAACCCAACGCAGCTCCTCTCACCAAAAACATCATACGAGGAGCCAAGAAAAAGAGGTTTGTGTAACGACTGTTAAGTGAATGAGCAGTGGAAAACAGCAGCTGCGATATAACCTCATGGGAAATAAGTTCCCATTGCTGCTGTCCACATGACCGCCAGCGACCAATCCTGGAGCCGAGTGCGTCGTAAACTTCCATGGCAAAGTTGTAAATTTTCATAAACAGCAGTCGTTTTTGTGCTCCAGACCCTCTTTCTCATCGCCATCTTTTATTTGCTACACGGTGTGAAGTGTTTTTATTGCGCGTGTGAAAAGGAAAAGAGTGAGAATGTGGGAATGGAAGAGAAGAGATTGGGTTTTTTTTCAACGTTGACATTGGATGATGCGCACTTGGTCCTGGTCCACCTTTGCAGCCTGTGCTGGTGTGTGAACCAGTCTGAACAAGGTCTGTATCGTTTTCCGATCACAACACTGTGTTACTACATATGCATTAAATATCGCGATTATTATATTTACAACTAAGTCCTACATCATTTTTCTCTTTTTAGATTCACGTCTCACATCCTGAGTCTGGTTTTCTCCAGTATAAATGTTGTTTCCCACTTACAGCCAGTCACAATCACTAAGAGTGAAACCAATTCCCTTAAAGTCATAGCAGATCAATTTGGCATTGACCACACACACCACACACACATAGTCTTGACGAGGGCGGCGTAAGGTCACCAGAAACTTTCACCTTTTCTGTAGAACAAACTAAAACTGGAGCCTAAACCGAATCAAGTCCTTCAGACAGGAACTCAAATGACTGGATTCCCCTTGGAGCTCAAAGCGTGTTTCCGTTGGCTTTGTTTTCAGAAACCATTCTTTTCACTTGGTGATTTCCATCAACGGTGAGGATTTCCGACATTTATAGATGCAGTAAAACCATAAATTCCTGAAATGCATCAACTGGGTCCTGCAATTTGAGGATTTTTTGTTGTTGTTAGTTAGTTAGTTTTCTCCCACGATGAAAAAAAAAGAAATCCCAACTTTCACACAAATGTTTAGATAAAAAAATAAATTTGAAACATATCAACATCGAATGAAATTCAATCCAGTTAAGAATTGATGTTTGAAATACGAATATTATTGACAAAATGTTACAAACAAAATATGTATTATATATTAAATTACCTTTAAAAAACAAGAGAAAGTGTAGCGAAGGCCTCTGGTTGACATCAAATTAGATTTTAACAATTCGAATTAGTCGATTAATTCCGAATTGAATAATAATTACAAAAGAAATATTTAAGCTTAAAAACGTCAATATTATTTTTCATAACAAAAAACCTTTACGAGTCAATTGTTTTATCATGTTTTTCATATATTTCTGCTCCGTATTTATTTATTATCAGCGTATTAAAAGTAAAAGCTTTTTTTTACTGAACTTTCAGAAACATGTTTTATTTGTATAGTTAATGTGTCATGTTATATGCCTTCGTGGCATTTTATGTTCAGTGTAATTCCCTACTTGATGCCACAAAGATTTCTTAGACCTTTCACTTTCTTTCAGTTTTTCAGTCTGTGACCAAAAACCAAGAAACCAGAGCAAAGACGCAGTAACACTTTATGGCCTCTACCCGAAACTCTCAGGAGGCAGAATCACCATTAAGACTATTTACAGATCCAAATAAAATAAAAAAGAATTAAACAAAAAAACTAGATAATTCGTTTTTCTATTCAAATAAGAACTCCATAAATGGTACAGAATATAAAAAATAAAATCCCTTGACTTGTTTTTCAAAAAGATAGTGCAAAAGTGTTTTTTTTAATACTCGTCAGCACAAAAGCCCCTGAGGTAAAATGAATGAAAGGTCTTTTTAAGTTGTAGTTAATATTTATATATATATTCTAAGTGGTCTTGTCAGACCTTCAGACCTAATATCAATTAATTTGAGGTAATATAAACTTTTTAATGTTAATCCTTGAGATTCTGATTTATTTTTCAGATAAAATGGCTAAAACTGGATTAAACTGTGTTCAATGAGGCCTGTGTTATTTTGGCACTAAATGTAAGGTTCGTGTCTGACATCATTTATCCTCAGTAAACTAGAGTTAACATATACATACATATATACATACATATATGTATACTTATATATACATATATGTATATATATATATATATATGTATACACAGTGCTGCTTTTCTGAAGAGATGAGCAACATAAAATTCAAGTGTCTGGATTTATAAACCAGACATAAACACCCATTTCTCCCTGCAGGATCACACTCCAGCTCTGGGTGTCTGAAGGTCTCCTCAGGGGCCTTTACTCAGCTGGGGGCCCCTCCGAGAGAAGTGAGAGAAACCAGGCCTCCTGATCAGAGGGACCCGGGTAGAGACCACAAACAGACTCTGCAGGGCAGCGGGGTCGTGGGACATGTAGGAGCAGCGTAGACCTCGGTCAGGGACGTGGGCTGTAACTCCAGGACGGGACTTGCTGATGGAGTAGGAGCTTCTCCTGCCGTCCTGTCTGAGAGCCAGGGAGCTGCTGACTGAAGGAGGTGAAAGAAAAATCCCAAAATCAGGGATGGACCTCAACATAAAGTAAGAGGAAACAAGGTTCGTTCTGTTTTGCTGTCTTTTAATTATGTGTTTAATATCCGTGCTGTGTGGAAACTCCCCGCTGCTCTGTGCCGTTCAATATTAAACTAATTCCTCACTACGCTTCTATTATTAAATGAGAGGAGACGATGCAACAATAAAAAGAGCCATCTGTCCAAATTAATACTGCAAGCTGATTACTGTGATTAGATTATGGTCACATTTCATCAAATGTTAACATGACTCATGTATTTAATTTTACCATCAGTTTTTTACAATTTAGATTCTAAATTAGACTGAATTTGCTTCTTTATTGATCTTAACCTGTTCTGTTTTTATAATTTTACATTAGACAATCATGACAGCAGTTGTATAATTATTTATTCATTTGATTTAAAAATATTGATACATAATAAATAAGGAAGATATTGATTAGTAAAAGTAGATAAGATAATTAATAGTTTAAGTCTCCATATTAAATCATTTTTTACAATTCTAAAATTTCAAATAAAAATAAAAGACTTTTAAATTTTGAGATTCAAGTAAAAAAATGATGAAAAAAAATTAAAGTCAGAAAACATTTTATTTTAAAATTGAAAAATGAAAAGAAAAATCAAAATTGACCCACAGTTGTGCATTTTGTGGTTTTAGCAAATGTATATTTTAATGATTTCAATTTGAGTGAGAATTGTAGTCAAGTTACAATTGTTTCAAAATTGTGAGAGTGTCAAAAAACATATTTCTTATTTTTATTCTTTGGATTGAGTCAGAACTGTGATAAACTTGGATTTTGACTTTTTTTCATAATCCATATTTTTTTCTAAAAAATACACATTTAAACTAGATTTGTTTTTATTTATATTAAATGCATTTTCTAAAACTATAAATAAAATGTAAAGTGGTAAAATAGTATCTAAATTTAATGTCTATCTGATTTATTCCCTGGCTTATTTCTGTCAATCGTTTTGGCTGAAACAGGAACCTTAAAATCTTGTTAAGAAAAATGTTAAGAAAATGTCTATTTCAAACAACATATTCTTCCCCCGCCCCTGTTATTTGATGCCTGACTAATTCTCTGAAACACAACTAAAAGACACAGAGTGTTTTAGATGGAGCCTTTGTTACCTGACCAGTGAGGTCTGTGAGCACTGATGGTTCTGTGAACCTCGGCCGCTCTGCTGCTCTGACTCCCAGCCTCGTACCTCAGGCAGCTGCAGTCTTTCACACCCCTCTGGTCCAGGGTGGGCCGGAGCAGCCACTGCTGACTCATGTGGGAGAGGATGTGCTGCTGCAGGACAGCAGGGAAAATTATTTCATCTCAGTTAATTTTTAATTCTATTATCCATACTGCACTGCTACACTGCAAATGATCACTGATAGCAATTCAGCTGAATAAGGCAATATGTTCACTGACAAAGACTATGCAAACACTGATTGTGTTCCTGTGCTGTTCGGCCATTCGTTTCCAGCCAATTCATCCCAGTAAAAAAAAAATATATATAATGTTTTTTAATTTCCATGCAGGCTTTAAGTAACATTTTTGCAGAATTAGAAAATGTAAAAACCTTTAAATTATCATGAAAACATACACATTGCATTATTTTAACAATTCTAAAACAGTGACATTAAAAATGTCAATCTACAATTTATATATTACTGATTTATATTAGATTAATAATAAATCATATGAAGGGAACACATTGTTTAATTGTATATGCTTCACTTTAAGTTAATTCATTTCAGAGACATTTTGCATATAAATAATTCCAAAAGCATCTTCTCTTTATTTTGTTAAGATTTTTGGTACTGCACACTTTTACACAATTTGTATATTGAACATTTAATAACATAAATATCTTTAAATAATTCACAAATTAATTTTACACCATTTATTTCACAATTTGAACAGTTTTCTTTCTAGTTTCCTGCATAGCAAAGCTTTTTGCACGGTAACGTTTTCATGTACATGATGCTGCACTAATTTAAAGATGAATGCTAATTGATAAAATAAAGGTTTTCTATTTTTTTTAGATAGATATGATTTACATAGATAGATGGATGGATAGATAAGTAGAAGTAGAATAATATAAAATATGTCCTTTTTTGGTTAGATGTCTTTGTACCTGTTGTTGAATCTGGTGTGAGATCTGTGTGGAGGGGTGTTGGTGCTGCTGCTGCTGCTGCTGCTGTAGTCGCAGTCCGTGTGAAAACTGTGTCAGAGGATCCAGCTGAAATGAAAAGAGAAAACCAGTCCGGTCTGGTTGTTTTTGCTGCTGAGTTCCTGTAGATTGTCTGTGTGCTCCGGTCTTACCTTGCTCTGCTGTTGTCTCTGCTGATGGCTGCAGGACTCCTCCAGGACTCCCCCTCCCTGGCTTTGGCCTTGCAGCAGCTGCTGGATCTGCTCCACCACCCCCAGATCTTGCAGTAGTTTCTTCCTCTGGAGAAGTAGATGGACTCTCTCCTGCTCCTCTAATTTTCCTGCTTCTTCCTGGTCCTCCTCCTCTCTCTTGTCCTCATCCTCCTCCTCCTCACATACTTGTGCAACTTCAGGCTCCTCCGACGGGCCAGACAGAGGGGGCTGCAGAAAAAACAGAGTGGCATTTGATTCAATTTGATTTTATGGCCTCACTCTATATATAACCACTGGTTCACAGCCACCATATATTAGCAATAACTGTCAGTGAACACCTTTGGTAACACTGTTTGTTTTAGGGCCTCGACAGTTCAACATTATGTGAGAGGAATATTATTCCAGCTAATGTTAAATGTGGAACTTTACGGTGACGACGGGGTCACACAGACTATGAAGCATTCATCACTGGGTTGGAGCTGTTTTACTCCCCCTTGTGGTGTACTGCGGGTACTGCACACGTCTCACCGCTTGTTGGTCACAGTATAGTGGGATCAGCGGATGATGCCGTCGCCAATGCTGCTGTTGCTGCTCCTGTTGTTGTTGATGTTGCTCCTTTTGACGTGATGCTCGGGGTCGGAGTTTGACTTTCTCCCCTGCTGTCTCTCCCTGCAACTCTCTCCTCTGACTCCCCTTTTGCTCCTTCTCCTTCTGCTCCTGCTTGAGGTGGAGCTCCTGCAGCTGATGCCTTCACAAATAAACACATTTTATAACAAGGAAAATAAATGATCATTATTATTGTTTACATTATTTACCATATAATGATTCTGTGAAGGACTACAACACATTTACGTATTTTTATAATTGTATGTGAATATGAAGTATAGAAAGTTCCTAAAATATATGTTGAATGGTTTTATTATAGGGTTAGGGTACATGAAATGAAATCATCATGAAGATTTAACATTGTTTCTTAATCTACAAAAAACAGATTTCACTAATTGTGAATTGCTATTATAATTGTGAATATAATATATTATTATTATGTTTATGTGATGTATGTGTGGTTACTTTCTCTGTGTAGTGATCTGACTGTACTGTACTGCCCCTGTGCTGCAGATACCTGACACACTCCTCTCTGGCCTTGGACGCTGCCGTCTCCTGGAACAACGATTTGCTGTGTGTGAAGTACTTGTCGTATTTCTCGCCTCCATCCCTTGGATAAATCCTCTTGAAGCCCCCCAGGTGTTTGGCCTCATACCTCTCCATCTGTTCCACGGTGGCTGCATGGCACTGTCGCAGCTCCTCTGACCTGGTGATGCACACACACACACACACACACAGAAAAACACTTAGCTGAAAACACACACAGGATCCAGGACTGACCTCGGAGAAACCATTTGGTTGTGGTGGGACCATACCTGGCCTCTCTTGTGCGGTTCTGCTGCAGCCTCTCTTTCACCCTCCGTCTCTCCTCCTTGTTGATTTTGCGGCGGTCACATGCGCCCAGGTTGATGAGATTCATGGTGTCGTACAGCAGTGCGTCCTTCACCTCACGATCCAGCTGTGAGTCGGTGGTGAAACTGGGAGAGTGGTTCACCTGTTCGCACATACGCCAACATGGACATGTGTTGTTGTTGTTTTTTTTAGTTTAAACATGACAAGTTCAACAATTCGATTTCAACCACTGACACTGCTGTGTTTAATCTAAAAGGAAATAATCTTTAAACTCTAATATCCTTTAGTCTTTAAAAATACAACACATGGTTTAGTGAAAATGTATATGAAAAGTTGATGAAAGATTAAACAAAAAAATCTAAAAAAAAAAAAAAAAGAATTACAGAACCCTGGTGATCTTCAGACAGAATTTTCTCTTTTTCTTTCTTTTGCAATTGGATGTTGCAGGACGGAAATATTTGCTAGTAAAAAGATAGTCAGTAGGTGGCAGCATTGTGTAAAGCTATAACAAGCTTGAAGAAGCTGATGGTTTTAGTGACACCAAGTGTAAAGTGTGTTGTAAGAGGTTTGTAAGGAGTTTGGAAACTGTGCTGGTTTGATTCTGATTTTTTTTTTTCAATTTGAATCCCTCAAAATATTTTTGTGTTTCACCTCCAGGAGCCAGGGTCGAAGACGATGGTCCAGCAGGACATCAAAGCCCAGGATCTCGAAGCAGGCGCTGCCACTGGTGTGGTTCGGAAAGCAGGTGTGATAATTATGTTTGAGGACAGGATGAGCAGAGATCAGTGTTTTAATGATGATGTCCTCAATGTCGCCCCACATTTTCTCTGTGTTGCATCTGATGGATTCCAAATATCTGTTCAAGGTGGACAGTTTTCTGTATGAAATGAAAAAAAATGAAAGGGAGGAAAGGGAAAATGATTTTCAAATAGAGAATCTTTAGCATGGTTAGCTTGATATTCCACAATTGAAATCAGGATAATTTGACCTTTTGCTGCCAGTGTCCTCATCACGGACAAAGTTTTCACTGTTTTTGTTGATGGAGTAGTTGGTCAGATGCATACACACGTCACCCTACAATTAGAGTCATTTAGTAAAAAAGAACACTAACATTTTCTTAACCTACTTCTCCTCCTATTCCGTCAACATTTCTTACCAAATTGCTTTGTAGTGGTTCATTGTACTGCGTGGTGCAGAAGCGAGCCAGGCCCTCCTTGTACATGAGGATGCTGAACGGTTCACATGACGTCACCAGCACGTAAATACGCAAGTCAAACTTAAACCCATTGATTACAAAAGGCTGAAAACAAAAATGAAACAAACACATTGGTAAAGTGAGATCTGACTCTAAAATTAGGTTCTGTTAGTCGTGTCCTCACCTTGGTGACGTAAACCTGGCAGATCATGTGTTCCCCAGGTGGAACGTCTTTGCTAGATTTGGTGATGAAGATACCTTTGCCCTGGCAGCCGGTGTCTGGTTTACAGATATACGTCTTGTGTTTTTTGACCCTGGTATAAGCTTGGAAATCACTGTAACTGCAAAAAGCCACAGGTACTATTGGAGTATACTGCATTACACTGAAAAGAACAAAGTAGAATAGAAAAACAACAACAACAACAACAAAAAACCCAGAAAACTGACTCTGCAGGAAGGCACCAAGTTCTGGGGAAGATATTGTAGTCTTTGGGGAAAAGCTTGAGCATCCGATTCATGTTTCTGGCCAGGGAGTCTTTACGGCAGATCTCGTTCATACCAGGAAAATGGTTTATTTTCTATGGAGATAAAAAGTAGACGCCAGTGTTAAGCTTTTTGCATCTGAGGTGTCATGTCCAGCAGCTACATGAATTATCCAATGATGTGACATGAGAATGACACAAGAAGGAGACATTACAGAGGGAGAGTCGTCTGGTCTTCAATGATCCATCTCCAGGAGCAGGAATCAAATTACCAGACAATTATTTTACAGAGCTGAGTCCAGTTCAATTAGCTGTTTATGGTGATGGCAGTAATGTGGCTGTGGCCGGGAGCAAATTCAATCATATACCTGGTAACGCTTCATGTCCTTAACACGCTCTAGGGACACGGAGCAGTCGGTCCAAAGCAGCGTCCAGTCCTCACCGTCCGCCGCCTCTCTGAGGCCATACCTGCGAGCAGCTCGACGCACTGAGATACATCAGAGGGAAAAGGGTTTTTAGATGCTTGATGCCAAGTGATGTGGAAGGTTTTTCCCTGGCATCAGAATTAATATTATTGTTTTTAATTTCACGCTATGGATGTTGCTTCCGTTCCAATTAGGTAAAAGTTGTTGCACTGTTGTCATTACTACACTGTGTCTTGCAGAGGTTTCATGTCACTATTTTACCAGGTGTATAATTGTAGCTGGAGATGCTGGAGGACATTAGCACCTGGAAGAGTCTAGCTGAGAAGAAGAGCGTGTCAGACCTACCACTTTCATATTTGCAGCTGGCGAGGTTGATCCACAGTCATCTGGAAGAAAAGAGAGAGGAGGAGAGGGACAGACATCTGCTTTGCTGTAAGCCTTAAGGAGCCTTAAGGACAAGCCCTAAAGGCCTGGCTGCCCAGATGTTTATGTGTTTACCTGTAATATATGATGTGCACAATAGAGGAGATCCTAAATACCTCTTTTTTCCTTTTTTCCTCTTCCTGATGGTTGGTGGAGGGGTGTCAACGTAGGCTTCACTTTGACTTTCACCTCCTTCTCCCTGCTGCTCACATTTATCACCGTTAATGTCTGTGTTGTCCACAGGTAGACCCATCCTGAAGGAAATCATTTCATACATCACATACTGTTTAATATATATATATATATATATATAGTGGTCTAAGTTACACTAATTTAATGAATAATGTTGAGCCAAAACCTTATTGCCACACTGACTTGATTTTCACTACTCCGACTTCACTATTGCTTATTTCAGCATACCTTAACTGTTAGGTGCTGTCCAGCCTGATAATGAAACTCAATCAAACAGAACCAAGTATATGCTGTAAGCGTGAGTGGAATCATGTTTCCGTTTCCATTTCTCTCATCAGGTGAGTGCTCTTCCTGTCACCACATTGTTTCCTCACTGGTATTGAAGAGTTACCGTGGCAGGATGGATACAAATGGAGGGGAACGGAGCAAACACTGATCCACACAGACATGCACAGTCCAACACCTTCACTGATGTTCTGCTGCTCTACATAATGTTTAAGTAACGGCAGTAACAACAGGTAATGGAAGCAGAAACTGTTACTTCTCTGTTACTGAAAAAATAGGTACAAATCCAACTGTGTCATATTTTCATGTAGAATATGTTTGGAAAATCATTGTGATGATTTCTAAGGCAACATTAGCCAATATTAATCTAATCTAAAGCCTTATCAACCTCTGGACTTTAGACCACAAAATTTAGACTAGTTTTACTATTCGGATAGAATCTAGCAGACTCCTAAGTTATCTTTAAGCTGTTTTCAGCTAACCTTTAATGCTGTCACCTCTTTACTCTTATCTTTTTTTGGTTAATATTTTCGAACACAGCTACATTATAATCTAGTTTTTAAATTTTTATTTATTTTTATCTATCTTCTATCTATCTAATGTAAAGCTATTTTTAAATTCACATTTGGTTATCTTTTTTGCAAGAAATTCATTTTCAGCTAGTATATTGTTTTTGATATGTGTCCCTTGTTTTTGCTTTATTCCTCACAAACTTTCAGTTATCTATTATTTTTAAGTTATTAATCATTTTTCCACAGTCTTTTGTCTAATATCTTGTTATGACCTGACTTTCTTATAGCTTCCTGATACACTTGTAGACACACTTGAGTCCCTTGACCAAGAACATGCCAAAAAGCTCTTGAAGGTTTTGACAAACTTAGGTAAGTTTAATTTAATAATTTATTTAGTTCTTTGTCTGCCAACGTCTGTCTCCACTCTGACCAAAGCAGAGCGACCAACCCTCCTTACAGCACCGCCTCAGCGGCTCTCTCTGCCAATATCTGGTGTCTTGTCGGGTGAAGGTGAGTTCAAGTGAACTCCAGGAGTGAGAGAACGTTAAGGAGGGATATCCCAGGCTCACTGTTGTAGGTTAGAATACCAGGTAACCGTATTCTGATCAAGTGAAGAGGATAATCCTGACTGTGAGCGAGGACACAGGATGGAGACGCACCACTGACCCCAGCCCAGATACAGTTACAGCAATTACAAGGATTTGTTGTTTCTCCATTAGTGTGTAACAAAAAGACCTTTGTCATTTTTGTTAAGCCATACAATGGCCTCTAAACTGGGAATTAACAACACAAAGTTCTGGTAAAGGTCTTCAACTATTTAAGTTGCATTTGCAATTTCTTTTTTAATCAGATAACTGTAGTTTTGTTGAATATACTTGAAAGTGTAACCCAAGAAACTGACCAGTGTGAGCTTTGACCTGAGATCACACTTTTCAATAGAGTCTGAATGAATACAACATGTGTCGCTTTAGAGGAATGTGTCTTCAGTGTGACAGAAGAAAAGACTAACTCAACTGGACTACAACCAAATCTAAATCAAACATATATTGCAATTTTTTAAAAATCTCAAATTTAAAATGTGTTGTTTAGTAGCCAGATGTTAAATTACAACTAAATGATAACTCATTTCTTAAGACATTGGCCACTATTTCACACTATTAACACATACAATCCAGTGTCCACAATGACTTAATAATAATCTTCCAGGTTATTTAGCTTTGGCTGCAGTGTCCGCCAATGTGAGACTACTGCTCATACTGTGCATCAGGTGTAAGTTGTTGTTGTAATCTGTTTGTTGGTGCATCAGCACATTATTGCAGTTTTACATTTATAGAAAATAAGTCAACAGTCAGAAATATTTTTAGAGCCATTCCACTGACCCAACAACATCTTTTAAACTGCGTGTGTCCTAATAATAAGGACACAGTTAAGGCTCACGGACATCCTTTCAGATGTGACTGTTACTCACCTGCATCGTTGTGCCTACATTTGCTTGGATCAGGTGATGGTTGACCAAGGCTATACTGCACCAGCAGTTTCCTTTTAGACTTTTTTAATATGCAGCGTCACTCCTCAGCAGACAAAGAGACTCTTCTGTATCTGGAGTTAAAAATAAAAAAATACACACGTACTCGATAAGTATCAGCACAAGGATGTTTCTGTTCAGATTGACTTACACACTCCACAGGCATGCCTGCAGGTGGATCTGGTGACCAATTAGAAACTGTGTGGACCAACACCTGATCCAGGCTCTTGACATGATGGACAGAAAACGAGCAGGAGACCTCAGCGGGAAGGTGGACGCTGAGGCACAGTCCCTGATATTTGTTCATTGAAATCGGAGGAGAACCTTTCAATGCCTCCCTGCTGTTAAACCAAAATCTTTGCTGAAAGGTGGTGACAGTGTGTGGTGAAAAGTGAGCAGGTTGGACATTCATCCTCCACAGCTTAAGTTCAACAAATCAAAATGATATTAATTAAAATAATGAACAGAAGGCAAATGATAAAAGATAACCATGGATGTAATATATTTATAGCATATGATCAATCCAGACGTCTGGATTGTAATGATCTGTAGGATCACACAACAGCAGTGCCTTGATTAATGACTTGTTCACTATGAATTAACCATCAACTGACACTCTATACCGTTGCCTACTTACTAATCAACCTTTACTTGTCATTGTGATGCTTTAAAGATCAGCTGCTAAGATTCCAGCACTATTGTCTGTCATGCGAAGTCATGGGCTTTTGGTGGTATTTAATTTGTGTGTTTGCGTGACAGTGAGAGAGCAGGGTGGATTACACCAGCTGCCAATGACAATCTTTAAATATCTGTCTTGCTACAGTTAGGGCTGTGTGATTTGTGTTGATTTTAGTTTATTGAATAAACAAACAAAATTAATACCAAAGGAACATATATGACACAAATAGAAGAAATTGGTCAAACTTACATATACAATATTTCAATGTTATTCAGAATCAGAAGTAACACAATTAAAGCAGAGCTGAAAGAAGGCCTGGAAAGAGTAAGGCGTAGTTTGCCTGTTTTTTCAGTGACATCTCTTTTCCCAAGAAACTTTTTTACTGTGAACATTCCAACAGAACGAAGTTCTCCTCGTTGTTAGATTTATGTTTATGATCATGTCTCTGGGACAATTTAGTCTATTATTTTAAGCTTCATATTCTATGGCCACAGTTATTGTTTTATTAGAATAAAACAATTATAATCAAATAAAACATTAGGTTTGCATCAAATTTAAAAAAAAAAACACGCTTTGTTAGACTGGACATTGCAACATTTCAGTGTATATTACAGGTTTCGTGTCGTTGCCGTGGTAACGGGATGCCTCGAGTCGACATGGCTAGCTAAATTCAACTTTTAATGCGATTAAATACCAGACATTACCGTTACTAAAGTTGTTCAGCTTGACCAGCACTGACCAAACAGACGTATGCACTGTCGGTTCTGTCGTTGTTTCTGTTGATTTTATTCCCCTTTGGCGCGTTCAAGTCCTTGTTCGGCGCTCCTTAGTGTTACGCATGTAAACGTATACCATCCCAGAAGCTACTCAAGCTCAGCCAATCAGAGACAGTGGCCCATGAAGGTCTTTTCGACTGATAGGCTATTAGCTCACCGATGATTTATGGTACACCCGACCTGAGGCATCACATTTGTGTTTTTATAGTATTTTATAGTATAGTAAAGTTTCCTAGGATTCCTAATATTTTGTTTTGTTACTTGAGCTGGAGGACTTGTGAGCTGTTGAAGTTTTAAGCTGTTTAAATGTACGTACTACGGCTTTTAGCATACCTTTTACCAATCCGAATCAGAAAAAGAAAAGAGTCTGGCTCCCTCCAGTGGTCATTTTGGTGAAATAATCGCTGTCAAAAACTTGACTACAGTTCCCATATTGCAACTTGCACAAATACCATGTACATTTTTTTAAAGGAATAGACAAATAACATTGACGTGACAGCATTAGGGCCGTTTGAAGTCAATTCCGGGTAAAATTGTGGTACTTTTTTATGTCCTTTAGTATTTTCCTAGCGTGTAGTATAGTTTTGAAGCATGTTCGTCACTTTTGGTATTTATATCATTTGAATATCTTTTGTATAATTGCATTCGCTTATTTTAATTCAGTGAGATATATAGTTATTTTGTGTTTGTTTATTCATTATGCTGCTTGTTGTTTATTTGTATTTTGCTGAATGAACAGCTTTGCATGGTTTTACTAAATACTTTCGATATTTTAAAACTTGTGATGCTCAAGTAACACAACAGTTTTACCACATTAAACCTTATTTTATAAATCATGTACATTTATTTAAAAAACGTTTTATTGATACGTTTGATACTTAATCATAGCAATTTTGTAGGTGTAATTGGCCATGGTTTGGGGAAAAATAAATAAAATATATATCGCGGGACTAAGGCACTAGCGTTGTTTACCATAACTGCAGTTCCGGTGAGCAAGTGTCCGAGTCATCCTTGAAAGCGTCACAGCGTCAGGCCAAGAGCGCTTCGCGGCAAGTGACAGCCAAGTGTTGAGTAAGTTTATTGTTTTCCCTCAAAATTGTGTAAATTACTTGTTTCTTTTTGTTTATTGCCACACGTCATGCATCAGAATCAGCTGTCTAAGCTTAAACATCCAAACTCGGGCTTTCTCGTTTACTTTCGGTTTCTACTTTTTTGTTTGTTTGTTTCCCAGTAAATGTCAAATGTTTAATTTTTAATATTGTTGTTACGCGAACTGTTAGAAAACAGTGTTAGTATGACAGAAGTGTGGCAAACTTGATTTAATGACTTTCACACCCACGAAAGTAAGACAATAGTTATAGTTAGTAGTTTCACAATACTACGTAGTAGTAATTAAGCACTGACAACAGGAAGAGGAGAATACCTTTCATAACAAAAACTGTTTGACATCCCACCTTATGAAAAGTTTACTGTCCCGCAGAAGCAAAAACGAGGGTTCAGATTTATACAAATTTTGCCTGCAATGTTTGGGTTGAATAGCAGCTCTGATCTCTCAGCAGCTGATGAGCTGATGGAGACCCCTGTAGAGGTCGAAGCATCAACAGAGCCCTCAGCTCCAGCCTTCTCTCAGGTCATCTTCAACAACATCCCTCACTCCTATCCACCTTCTACCTCCATCACCTGTGACTACACCCTCACAGCAGGCTTACAGCCTAACTCCAGAGACTGGGTGGGCATTTTTAAGGTGAGGGGGAAAAACATTAAATTTGTTGTGTAAGGTTTGTGGGTTTGGGTTGGGTTTGATTTCTTTACCTTTTTTTACAGGTGGGATGGAGTACAGCAAAAGATTACCATACCTTTGTGTGGACAGAGCCCTCTCCTGATGTAGAAGGACAGGGGTCAGTGGTGAGACAGGCTGTTTTTAAGGGTAAGGAAGAGTTTGGCTTTGACTGAAGGTTGGTTTGTGTCTTTAAGCTGCTCGGGTCATGTTATATGTCAGCAGGTTAAGTATGAATCTGATCTGCTGAGACAGATTCACAGTCAAACCGCAGACACATTTGTTTTTGGTGCAGGGCGGTTTAAACAGGAGGCATATTTTAAAAAAACACCAAAGTGCTGCCCATATAATATTTTACACAATAATTTAGTGCTTTAGAATTACACAAAACTATTGGTTAGCTCAGATCAAACCAAATCTTGCCCGTAGTGTAATTATATTTGGCCGGCGAGCTCATATCAAATGTGAACTAGAGTTGGCCTGCCAGTATATAATGTAGCTCCTATATACTGGCAACATTTGCAGTATTAGCGGTGTATGCCCTATGTTATAGCACATACATTTTGTTTTGTTTTTTGTTGTTGGCCTGTGAAAAAAATATTTAAATTAAAAAGTAACTCGAAAGGCGACAGATAAAGAGACATAACAAGAAACAAATACCACTGATGTGTGTCTTATTTCAAAATTAATTCCTCATGTGTTTGTAACATTAAGCTTTGGTTTTTCCAGATTCAATGTTTAAGCAAAACTAAAGTTTGAAAAAAAAACCTAAAACTAAAGTATTAAAAAAGAAAAAAGAAGGGAAAACATGGCCAAAAAATCTATTAATATTTGATGGCTATGTTTCTTCCTGGTCTTGTTACGTCAGAATACTACCTGCCAAAGGATGTGATTGAGTTTTACCAGTTCTGCTATGTCGACAGTACTGGCCAAGTGCGAGGAGCCAGTACTCCATTCTGTTTCAAAAACACAGAAGAGCAAAGCACTGAAGGCTGTCCAGATGATACAGACCTCCTGGTTATTACAACACAGGTACTGAACACAGAGAGTGGAAAAGAAATCAATGTTTTTTTCTTTTTTCCTGAAAACAAACATAGCTCTTTGCAGACATCCTGTGTCTTTTCTTGTACTATAGGAACAGGTGGAACAGAGTAATAATGAAAAAGCTAAACTCCAAAAAGAGTTGGATCACACAAGAGAAGAAAATGGAAACCTCAGGAGAGATTTAAAATTAAAAGATGAGGCGGCGGCCATCTTAAAAGTACGCATAATAGGTTTACAACATTATGGTAGTAGAAATGTTTGTTTGCTCATTGTGCAACAGAGAGAACAGACTAACTCTCCCAGGCAGTGAACTTTGATATCGCAATGTCATTAATTTGTGCAGAGTCTAAGTGAGCAGAAAGAGAAAGAAAAGACTCAGCTGTTCACGGAACTGGAGGAAACCAAAGACCAGAATCAGAATTTAAAGAACACGGTGCAGCAGCAACAGCAGGAAATGGAGCATTTAAAGGTTGGCTTTTAATTTGTTTTTTCTTAAATGCTTAAAAACTGAAAAGCGACTGAAACTTAATTGAAATAAAATTTCACATTTAGGAGGAGCTACTGGTTCAAAAATCAAAGCAAGAAGACACTCCACAGCAGAGTACTGCGTCATTGTGGGAGATGATGGTAAAGAGAATGTCATCCTGTGGTTAGAGGCTCTGACAGTGTCATAAATTCGTCCTCTTCTGTAAAATGCACCTTTTTTCCCCAGAAACACAGTCAGGAAAAGTGCGATCGGGCTGCCCTCAAGATCAACCAGCTGAAGGATGAGCTGGAGGTGGCGAGGCAGAAGGTTGATTCTCAGAGTGATGAGATCAGACTGTGAGTAAAGTTTTATTGGTTTTAGTTTTAAATATCAATCCTATCAAACATTCCAGCTTTATCATGATATTTCACTCCACCCCAGGCTCAACCACAGCCTCAGAGAAAAAGAACGAGAGCTGTTGAAAACAACAGACAACCTTCAACTTCTACAGGTTAAACCTGTTTACAGCTAGATTTGCATGTATTTCTTTTTTAATTTTTACTCATTGGTCTGTGATTAAGTTTGTTTTATTCACTGACAGGTTGACCTTGACTGTAGTGAGAAAGAGAAAGAGAACGTGACTACGGAGCTGCGGAAGATAAAAGCTGCCACACAGAGGATGGAGGACATAGAGAGGGAGAACAGGAGGCTGTCAGCGCAGGAGACCAAGCAGGAGTTGTCCATGGATGAGCTGAAGGTGGCAACACATACAAATACAAAACAAAGTTCACATGTCACACAAAGCTAAATTGGCTAACAGTGCTTTGTCCATAGGAGCAGTGTCAGTCTCTGCTCTCCAAGCTACAGAACTCACAGGCCAGTTTAGCTGCCGAGAAGGAGGAGAGCAGAAAGGCTAGGACAAAAGCTGAAAGGTTGGATGGAGAGCAGGAGGAAATGGGAAAGCAACATGAGGCGTTGGCAATGAAATTTGAACAGGAACAACGCAAAAGTAACAAGTTTGAGGTAAGATCAAGCAACAAAACAAATGTGTTCTCCTCCCTTCCCCTTCCAAAACCTTACTTCCCAAGCAGAGGAACCTGAATTTACCTTTTCTCTGTGTTGTCTTTCAGCTGCAGTTTAAAGAGGCTCTTGAATCCATTGCAGATAAGGATATGATCATAGAAGAGAAGGAACACATGATGAGGCTCCTGATGCAGGAGAAAGACGAACTGGCTGGAGAAAACCAGGTACGAACACACAAATGTGCACACTGTTTAAAGTCAACTCAATATACCTGCTCACCCTCTACTGTCTGACATTTTCAGAGTCTCAAGAATGACATTGAGGGCCTGCGCAGGGCTTACTCCGACCTCCGTGCGGCTCACAACGCCCATGACGCTCGACGGGAGCAGCTGGATGAGACCTTAAACTCTGGAAACACAACAACCAACCATAGTGAGCAGATTCCTGACCAGCCAGATCACTTGTATGAAAACATAGGTGGGTAGGACTTAATCTGATGTACAGATAGAGGAAGAGAAAACAGTTTTTCTAAATTGTATTACATTCTTTCATCAAGTTCAACTTAAGCAGATGATTCAACTATCCTGCTTCAAGGTTTATGCTATGTTTTTGGCTAACTATTAGCTATTTTAAGCATTTGGTATTATTAAAGCTATTTAGTCAGCAACTGTTCCCCAGGTTTTTAAAGCTTTTTTTGTCATTTTTATATCACTTTACCTCCTGCAGCTAATTCTGACCTAACATTTTGTTTTCTTTGGCTACATTCTAACTGTTTATGCTACAGTTTTTTGTAATGTAACTTATTTCTATGAGTTTGGTGTATTTTGGCTTTTTAAAAAAACAACAGTCAGCTACAGCTTAACTATTTTGGGGACAGTTTCATTTATCATTGTTGTCTTTATCTCTGTCTTGTCTTTTCATGTGGACTTTGCCTTTTTATAGTTTTTATTTTGTCAGAGTTATGGTAAGTTAGGTTTAATGTCTAGTTCTCTTTGACTCATTTAGTTTTTGATGAATTTAGTTTAATTATTATTTTAGCAGATATTCACCTTTCTTGAATCCTGCAATACTTCCTGGGTTTGTGAGGTATTTCAGACATAGAGTTCTGTCTTTTTACCTGAAGTGGACCTGGTATCATTGCTATGTTCAATATTTCAACAAAGGAAGCTGTTAATAAACATGTGCTGGTGAGTCACTAAGAACAAATCAATGAGATGGACGTCTCTGTGGAAAACCCCTTTTTATTGTTGACATCAGGGAAGACTAAAGTTCAACTGGGGTTTGGACCAGTTTGATGTTACCATAACTTTGTTTTGAACTGACCTTTAAAGGACAGTACAAAACTTTGATTCTGAATGTAGTGCTCTTCTTTTACATTGAATATTGAATGCTCCATCTTTTCTTGCAGATGATGTTGCAGATCAAGTGGAAGAGGTGAGTCACATTACTTGATTGTAGAACGAGAGCTGGAGCAAATTAAAATGTAAGTTTCATACTGGCTGCTGTTGGAGGAGCTAAAGAAAGAGCAGTTTCCAAATTGTATCCACACATTTGACCTGAGGGCATCTCAGTTGTTGTTTAGAGTTTTATTTTAACCACCGTCTTAAAACACAACCTGCCCCTATTCTGTTACCGCCTGTGATGACCCGCGCCTATTTCTGTCCACCCGCAGTCGTTGGTGTGTCGTCACTGCCAGGAGAGTTTCCCCGGCATCACACAGGAGGAACTGGAGCAGCACGAGCAGAGCCACAGACTGTGTCCGTGGTGCTCACTGGTCTGTGACACCATGGAACAGTCCGTGTTTGAAGACCACGTCTACAGCCACGAGCTGTGAGGTCTGCAGTGGGGGCCAGAGATGTGGTCCAGTATGATATGACTTGGACGTCTTATGGATCTAGTGGCCGTATGCTGTATACACTCTATGAAATGTGTTATTCTGCTCATGGCATGTTAGTATTTAGGAGTCAAGTTGATGCCAAAATGCTTTAGCTGTTAGTCTAAAAAAAGACAGATTCATTATAGAATGTGTAGAATACATAATTTCAAATTAACAGGCAACTCCTTACAGCTCGACCACAATCAATGGCTAAATCTGCAGTTTGTCCTCTGATCTACTTTATTCATTCGAGCTCTTGTGTAATACCACGTTTTAAGCATCTATATTTAGATTCAAAAGTTTTCCAAGTATGTTACACTGCCATCAGGTTCCTAAGCTCTTGGGGGGAGACACCTCCTCTGCAAACACCACGTGCAACATTATCTCTGCTCAAATATTCTCACGTGGTTTTAAATGGCCTTAAACAATCACTGCACAGATGACTAATCACTGTCTCCTCTATAGTTTCTGTGTCCTTACCAGGCACCAGAACGCTCATTTTATGAATTTACATTTAATTTATTTTACATATGCGCCCTAATCATAACATACTGTAATATCAGAGTCAGCTTACATTTAACTCTTCTCTATTCCTTCTTCATTTGGTTCAATGTTAATGTCAAACTGATTAGTTTCAAATGATAAGTAATCCCTGTCTTTTAAAAGACCACTGAAAGAAAATGGTTGTTCGTTTAATGTAGTGACATTGCTCTTTGTCAGTTTTTTCCTGTATTTGTTCTTTCCATCCCAAGCAAATCAACGAGTATGAGCTGTCATCAAGAAGAAGAGAAAGTGAGAGATCAGGGAGGGGTATGGTTTCTTTGTCAAAAATGTATTTTTCTTTTTGACAAAATTTTAAATTTATGTTTACAGCACCCTCCCCAGATGTCGGAGAGCAGTTCGTTTTACTTAATCAGCCTTAATATTAAACAATAAATTTCCATAAATATTAAAGTTTTAGTCTTATGAGGTGAAAAAGACAGAATATACATTACCTATACCTATTTAAAATGCAACAAAGCATTATGGCTATTTTCAAAAGAGTCAATCTCTTAAGGTTTGTTGATTACATATACTTAATTAATTAGGCTACTTAATATCTTAAATTACTTCAAAATGTATACTACAGTAGGAGTTGTGTTTGTTATCACACGATAGAAAATAAAAAAAAGTCTAATAGTGTTTAACTGGGTTCTCTCTGTTTATGTCTGGACAAATCAATTATTACCTGTTTAGTTTATTGAAAAAGAATTAACATTAACTAACAATTTACCATCATAGCCACATCACATGACATTTTACACCGAGTTTGATATCATGTACAATGTAATAGAAATAACTGCATTCATTATCTGTGTTACACCATAAGTACACTTGATGCATAGAAGTTCCCGAGGAGATTCTAATGAGCAGAGTTTTCACTTTGCTCAGACTCCAGGCTATAGTAACCGTGCCAGCTCCCTCACAGGAGCCGCACATTTTGTTTACCAACATGTCTCTAAAACTGTCAGCAGCTCTTGTCCAGGTCAGCTCCATCGAATCCTTTTTAAGGTGTCATCTGACTAGCCTCCTCTGGTGTGATGTCACGAGATGAAAGCTCGGAGAAGAGTGCCGGCAGCCAGTACTGGGCTTCTCCAGCTGACTGAGAGTCCAACCAGGCCAGGCCTTCTTTCAGCAGGTGATCCTTGAAACACAGGGACAGAATGGAAACATATTGTTTTAGATCGAGTGTTAGAACAGTGTATGTGTATACGTGTTTGCCGTAACAGAAACCCAAATTGCGACTGCACATTGTTATGTATTAATGGCAATTCACAATATATTTTCTTAAGTTTTCTGCATTCATAGGTTCAATATAACGAGTAGCCGTTCTACTACACCTGTCACATTTGATCGTCTAGATTACAGACATGCAATTACTCTAAAGCAGCGGTCACCAATGTGGACTACCTAAGGTGCCTGTGGGGTATGTTCTCAAAATAAAACTAGTCAACAAGAGGGTCAAAAATTATACTGTTACTGTGCATTTTCATTTAGTTACACTTGCAATGATACTCAAATGGGTGCAATGACGATGGTAAAAACAGTGTCTGCTATTGTATGTCCCACAACTGATTATTATAACATTGTTCGGGAAGTCTGTATCAAACAAGTAGCTCTCTGTATTACTAAGTGCCCTCGAAGTAGCTCTCAGCTTCAAAAAGGTTGGTGACCCCTGCTCTAAAGTGTATAAGAGTTGTAGAAGAATCCATATTCAACTTTTACTTTGCACATAATGCTGCAATAATATAAACCATTAGTTCTGCTTCTTACAAAAGTCTGGCCATGAAGAATTGAGGCCCAGTTCTTTAGCATGTAATACACTTCAGAATTGTATAAAATACAAGTTGAAGATTTTGTGACAGATGTCTCAAGGGAAGATCTCCAATGCTTTTTAAGGCCTTGAGTCACCCAGAATAATAAAAGTCAAATTTAAGCCCTAGAAAACTTACCAGAACGTGACAAGCTCGTTCTTTCTCCCATTTGAGATTCTCCTTGATCTCACTCACTGTGACATATCCCTTTTTCTAAAATAGAACAAAAATATTAACAGATTTATAACTACATCTGAAGAAGTGTCATTAAAAGGTAGAATGTGATGCTGAGTCTCACCTCAGCCAGCTGTAGAACCACAGTATGGTCCATGTTAAGTTCTGCTGGAACAGACTGCACCAAGTAGGAACCTCCCACAGGAATCATCCCGAAACCATTACCCATCACCTTAAGTTTCTTTATGGCTCTCACCAAATCATCTCTGAGTGGCACATAATCCAGATATGGCATTTAGATAAAGGTAACAATTCAACATTATTATAAATAATATCAGAGATAGTTACTTGACTAAATGGATGGTGAAAAGGTGTGTGTTAAACAGTGTGGTGGCTAACAAACAAAAAATATTTGACAAGTGAAACTTACTGGCTCACATCCTGAGCATATTTGCCTCTTCCTTTCAGTACTCTGTGATGTAGTTCATCCAAGGTAATAAGCCCTGAAAGCAAACATTGGGTGATAAACAATACAGAACAAAAACAACATTCATGACATTGTGTCATTAATATAGTTGCATTCACAGACCTCCATTTCTGTGTTTCAGGGCAAGGCACACTTCAATAATCTGCACACCAAGCTCATAGTAGAAGTCTCCAACTCCAAGCATCTCAGACCAAAAACCTTTTCCAGCTATGGAGAAAAACAAAATAATTTGTGAGGTAACCTCTGAGCACAACAAGTGATAACGACTTTGTATAGACAAAATAAATCTCACAGGCAAGCGGGTCAACTCCGATGGTGGCACACATTTCCTGGAACTGAACCCTGAATTGAGGGTTCTTTCTGATCTCCTGTTTATGCTTGCTGGCAAATTCTTCCAGGTTCGACTTGAAGGTTTCTAGCTGCTTTGACATCTGTGACGCAAATCAGTGCAAGGCACGTTTAAACAATAATGATCATATATACACGACATTGGTATGGCATATTTCCATTTCTTTAGCATCTCTGAGTTTAGGAATATAAATCAAAGGAATTGGTTCGTGCCGACAGAGTTTCAATTTAAGCTAATCTTCATGTCATCCTGACAAAATAACTTTGTTTACTTTCCAAGCAACCAACCACAACCAGTCTTTGGCCGGACGGCAACTTATTTTTCTCTTAAAAATACAACATATTTGTAGTATCACCTGAGCAATTTGATCCTCTGCAAGGACATTCCCTCTCTCCTTGTACTTGGCCTGAGAAAATAAAAACATTTTACGAATTAAACTCACTCGGCTCTCCTCGGGAATACTATGAGTTACGTTATTGCTAACCACTCCTACACGTCTTTACAAATACACAGCAATTCAACAAAACAGCTCTACCTCGGCCAATTTCTTTTTAGCAATTGCTCCTGCTCCAACTCCTCTTCTCATTTTGCCTAATGTCCGGCAAATACCACTATAACACGGGTGTATTTATGACGGAATGAAAAAATAAACGAGATTGCAACTTGCGCGAAGTTTTTCTGTAACCCGAAAGGCGTCAACATATAAACATTACTAAAATATTCCGGGATATTTGATGACAACCGAATGGAGAGTTTCCATTTTGAGTAACCGGAAATAAACAGTGGCGGTCCTCTTCTTCGACTGAATGTTTTATTGTCAGTTTGCATTGCTGCCACCTTTCGGATATATGTTGTAATGACTAGTGCGTGTCAATGCACTTCCACGAAAAAAGAAAAGAAACGTTTAATTGTTTTGATTTTAATATTTAATACTTTACTATACATTTCAATATACGTTTATTACTCTCATTTCCTTTTTGTATTTAGTGCAATAAATATAATTTTTAATCAATTTGAGGCATGCAACACACTAACTCCAAATAATGTTTCTATGTATCTATGAGTGGAAAAAAAGACTGTTGCTCATCTAATGTGGATATAAAACCCAACCCCAAAACACCAATCATACATTTTTAAGCAAATTTAAAGAAACACGTGATGTTTATTATTAACGGACATTTCAACTGTACAGGCGAGTACAGGTTGGGTGGATTCATGATATGAAATTGTGTTCTATCTCCCTCTGCTGCCATCTTTTATTTTTAAATCCTACAAAGCACAAGAAATGGCCTGTAAACATATTACGCATGCGCAGTTGTAGGCGCTTTAAAACGAGTCTGAGGAGGGAACATGAAGACATTTGCAGGTGGTCTCGGTTTTTAGAAGAGGTGAGTTATAAAAACTCGACGTGCAGTATAGAAAAGAGCCGTGTGCAAATAGTGTTTTTATGACGTCGTGATCTTGGTCCCGTTGTTCCTGAGGCAAAAATGACTGGCGGAGATGCCCGGTTAGCGTTAGCCTACGAGCTAGCTGTTATTGTTTTTCCTCAAAATGGAGGAGAAGCTGCCGCTGCTGTCTGTGTCCTACAGCCACTCCCGACTGCTCGTGGTTTCTCCCGTCTACCCCAGTCCGTCTAACATACTAACTTTATCTCGTATATAATGGCTGCGTCTTGGCATTGCAGTGCGAAAGCTGTTTAGCTTGAATTTTAAACGTAGCGTGGGTCTTTTTACAACAGTAGGCTGCGTCGTGTCCATGCCTGTGTTGCTGCAGTTTCTATTGGTTTATCCACATTTAATTAATTCTAACCCATATTGTACTTGCTTGTATTGATGGGTAATTTTCGTAGTAATTTCAATATTGTAGGTAATTGACTTAAAATTATATTAGCGGTCTCTACATGAACTGCCAGCTAACTACTAACTTGATACAACTTACATATACAACTCTTTACAAATTCTTACAAGAAACCTAAAATGATATTTTAAAGGGGGGTCTAAATTTGATTGATTTCGCAGTATAGGTTATAACCACAAATCAATGATCAAGACTTTTTTCTTGTTTTGTGTTAAAAAAATTAAACAGACTTTTGCTCTGCTTTTGTGAATCTTTAGCTTTCATCAAGCCGGCAGCACATTTGGTGGGTCTTTGCCTATACTTATTAAGTTTTCTCTTTGTAACTCAAACTTTAGGAAAGCCTTAAGGTCATGGTTTTCAATTTGTCTGCAGGATGAAAGTTGCCTGGTTCACATGGAAACCTCATTGCTGTGGTATCACAGAGGGGCTGCAGGATGAGAAGACTCTGTGTTGTTTATGACTGAGATCTTAGCAGAACACCAACATCATCAACTTTGACTTAACTCTGCTGCTACTGGTGTCTACATGTTCAACAAGACGTGCACAAGGGCCAAATCCTGAGCAAATCTCAGGTCTTAGACCCTGATTACATGACAAGCAAAGTTGACCTCACTGCCCTGGTTGCAGAATTAGTTAGAAGAAACAAAAGTGTGGGGGTGTTGTCCCCTGTCAGACCAATGGGGGGTGAGGGAACCCCAGTGAAAGGTAAACCCCTCTCTGTTGACAACATGGAAAACCCTCAGATGGCTGTGAACAACAGCCCCAAAGATGTTGGTGCTGACGACAGTGCGAAAGGCGTCGTCTCTGGGGTTGTTGGCACCGCATCCATCGAACTCTCCACTGAGGGCAAATGGAGGAACATTAGAAAGACCCCCGCCAATCCACACACGCAGGCCAACTGCCTCCGACAGATTGTCCTGCTGCAACTGGACCTCATTGAACAGCAGCAGCAACAGTTGCAGTCCAAAGACAAGGAGATAGATGAGCTCAAAGCAGACAAAGAGACGGTGAGAACACTTGTACCAATGTGATCTTGCTGTATTTGCTTGGATTCTTTTAAAATTACATGTTTCTCATTGTCTTTCTCTTCATCGCAGTTGCTTGCACGTATTGAGCGTATGGAACGTCGCTTGCAACTTACAAAAAAGGACCCACCTCGTGACAAGCGCCTTTTTCAGCCATTGGAACCATGGACTCCAGATAAGGAGGACATGTGGGACCTGGATATAGAGGAGACTCCTCAGTCCAACCAAGGCGCTTCTCTTCCATTCATTCGAGGTGGTAAAGGTCAAAAGAGGTAATTTTACCCGTTATTGGCAAAATTGTCATTGCAATGTAAAGCAATTTCTATGTCAGGTCATATTGTTGCCTTTTTTTCTCCTTTGACTTCACAGAAAGTCTTGCTTTGGGGATGTGAAAGCCCAGAAATCTCGGAGCAAAAGTGCCAAACTTAGTCCGCAGAAATCCGATATTCCACCCGGCTCACCCACACACAGAGAACTGCGCGCGAAAGACACGCCAGAGAAGACGGTTCCCACCAGGTCTGCCACAGAAAAGGACAGTTTGCTTCCATACAAAGAGGAGCTTGATCTAAACCACCAGATAGAAGACCTGCCCTTCATGTCGACCACTGAGATGTACCTCTGCTGCTGGAATCAACCTCCCCTCTCCCCTCTGCGTGAGACTTCCCCAAAAAAGGAGGAAGAGGTGGCCAGTGAGTGGACTCCTCATGTAGTTCATGATATGCTGATTGTTTGTAAGCCTAACCTAAATTCCATCACTAATTAGTCTGTCCTCTAATGTCCTGGTCCATAATGAACTTTATTTTTGTGACTCTCCTCTGCTGCTCGTTAGTTCCATCCTGGAGAGAGAATTACATTGAGCCTTTAGCGGACGACGAAGAGGCCGTGAACGCACTGGAGGTAAGAGTTTCTGAACCAGAAATGCTCGATAATGCCATCTTTGTGATGTTTGAAAAGTAATACAAGGCCATTAACACAAGGCCATAAAACAAAATAATTTGTCACAATTAATGAAAAAATTATCTTTGTGTCAAGCCACTGGATGACGGTGTGTTTTTGAAACGGCACGCAAAGCTGGAGTTGGATGAAAAACGAAGGAAAAGGTATGACAACAATACACATCAGATCTTATTTTACTATTTAAAAAGACGCAGGAAATACTAAGTTTGAAAATATAAATGGTAATCTATTTTTTGCCATATCCTATGTTACATTTAGTCTGATGTTAACTCTGTTGTCTAATAAAGATGTTATAAAGATTTTTTTTTTGCAGAAAAGAAAAATGCAATGAAAACAATTTGTTGTTATTGTAGACATTAAACCCATGCTGTATTTTTAATCATTTATGTTAAATCTATAAATCCTTTTTTATTTTTTAGATGGGACATCCAGCGAATCAGGGAGCAGCGCATGTTCCAGCGGCTACAGCAGCGCATGAACAGGAAAAAAGTGGTGCAGGAGACTGAGCCAGATATTTCATCCTTTTATCCCGACACAGAAGATGGTACTGCAGGCTCTTTAGGGCAGAATCAGAACTGGCTGAAATGTAACGTGATGTATTTTAAGTAGAGAGTCCAGAAATTTAAAAAAAAATCTCTTTTCTTCCAGTGGAGACTATAGTGGTCACTCCTTTTTTGCCTGTGGTTGCGTTTGGCCGGCCGTTGCCCAAAATCACACAACAGTAAGTAGGCCCACAGTCCTCTCTCTGATTGTGTTTCATCCTGCTAATGTTTGTGATTTAAAGACAACAAGAAAAATATTAACTCTTTTAAAGTTGACTCTCAAAACAGATGAGGTTAAAACAACAGTGAGGTCATAAGTCACCGCCCTGGCAGATTGACTGCAGTGATTGGCTCCAGCCCTCCACAGTCCTGGAAAGGGTTAAGAGGTGGGGGGCTGGATAAAGATAAATCAATAGAAGTAACGATGAAACTTCTAAGAACAAAAATAAGTGTGTTGTGGAGGTCACATTAGTAGATCACCTTATCTGTCTCTTTATGAACATCATTGTCCCATCATTGTAATCTGCCTGGAACAATGTGATAATGATCAGTGATATTCACCCCGAACTTTAATTTTTTGAAATATAATTTCTTTTCTACCAGGAACTTCGAGCTGCCCTGGCTGGACGACCGCAGCCGATGTCGCATTGAGGTGCCCAAAAAACACACACCTCACCGGACCTGTCGGAAGTGAGAAACACTGGTCATTGTCAGCAATATAGAGAGATATTGGCTTTGTCTGCATTACACAATGCCACGTTGGTCATGTTGGCATACGACACAGGTCAATCGGTTGTTGTGTAATAACCGCTGTTGCTTTCAGTCTCCGGAAGATTGAACGACTCTCCAGCCTCGATTTGTCACCAGAGAACAGCTGATCTCCAGCATAGTATTAAAAAAACATACAAGCAAAAACAAAAAATCAAAAAGAGACAACTGTGTCTGTAGGTGTCATTTGTATATTCAGTCTCAGACCCAGCTTCTTTGCTTGATACTGAAAGATTGAAGTTAGCAGTGGGCGAGAAAACACGTCACTTTCTTCTTAGCAAATAATGTTAGTGTTCAGCGACGTGACTGAGAGATGATCAACCAGAGTTGCACCACTCATCCAGAATCTGGCTGGATTCAACAAAAGTGAATGTTTAGTCTGATTCTAAATGCATAGACAGCTGATAATAGCAGCTACATAAGAGATGTTTTCAAGTTTTGTTGCCATATAGATTTTAAAAAAGAGCAGTAGTGCTAACAGCTTTTCCGCTCCTGGCAGTCGCATCACTCATTCTTGGCATCAAAGTGAGAAAAAGTCAATATCTGACTGTGTTGTGCTATGTATTGCCTATAATTGATGTTTGCACACAACTTCAGGTGAGGTTATATCAATGTTCAATGTGATCTGTGGAGTTTTGAGCCTCACAAAGCATGTTTTTTAAGAAAAGAAAAGCAGATACAGTAGTCGATGTAAATCGTAAATGCAGCCACCATGGTTGTAAATCACTGTTTTGTGTTCATTTAAACAATGGCACAAAAAGTTCTGTTTGGGTAAAGCCAACATCATTTTCAGTGACCTGTTTGTTCTTTATTTTCTTTATTGCATGGCTGCATCCAAAAAAGCATGGCTGAGTCCCAGAACAGAAAATCACTGCTGTTCAGTGTGCTGCAAAAATGGAGGGAAGAAAATGCCTTTGGAGCCATGACTTGCTCTGCTCTTATACTTTTCCATCACAAGGGAATCTGATGAAAAATCTTACAATTAATCTTTGTGTTTTCAACACTTGAATCCAGTAGATATTACACAAAATGCTGATGCATTTTTTTATGATGCTGACATTCAAAAGAACAATAAATCTCTGCTAGCTGTAGTTATAGCGATGTACGCCAGTAGGCTCTTCAAGCGCTTCCAATTAATCTTCTCATCTCTGAATTAACCCGTTACAGTCGCCGTTTTTAGCCTTTGCTGATGTTTCCTTGCTGCATTTTCTCTGAAATGTGATGCACCAGCTCTTCTGCAGCTGGAAAAAAACTAACAATCTTCTCGTCATGTACATAGCTCTTGGAAAACCAGTGTATATAAAACATGGCTATAACATGGTTATTTTTTTATTATTTAATGTCAGAAGTGTGGAGTTCATCCAATATTGTTCTACAATTGTTTGTTGACAAATTTGCAAAGTTTAATTTGTTTTGGAATAAAAGTAACTTCTCTTTGATACACAGATTTGGCCTGATTATAGTTGTTGTACGGCTAACAGAATTTTAAAATGTAAAAACACATCTTTTCTTTTTTAAAGTTAATGTCGATGATGTTTAGCTAAATAGCAGTGAATCCGCAGCAGCAATCTAAAACTCAAAAGACAAATAAATTGACATAGGTTTAAAGATCTGGATGAATTTAAGGTTAGCTATTTAACCAATGAGCTGGCTTAGTTATTATGCAAAAGGGACAAGAAATTATCAAAAAATAGGACAAAAATGTCATGTTATTTTAACATTGCAGAAAGAACAAACTTCTGTTGAATTATTCTGGAAAAAAATGTTTATTGATCAACGAAAAAGGCAAAAGAAAACCAGGACACCTCATTAGTCCTTTGGTAAAAATCCTACTGATAAAAATCAAGCAAATTCAGAGACAAAATCTTTGATGTATGACTCACACTGTAGAAGATTGTCTGGGTCAGACTTACTGGGAACGGCAGCAGTTTTCCACAGATCCATGTGAGGGGTAACGTGTTCTGCACCCGCCCATCAATGTATAACTGTGTTTTAATTTAATATTATCAACAAGTTTCAACTGGTAACTTCCAGGACAATTTGTGAAGAATTTCTGGATGGCCAACGGCTCTCAATGATACAGTCTGAAGTTTACATTTCTCCAAAAGCAGTTAAAAGTAAAATGTTACCTCTGCTCATTGTCTTATTATTTATGTACTTTTATACAATAATCCTCATCTGTAATTTTGGTTGGAGAGCCAGTACTAGATATTTATTATAACAGAAAGGCATATATTTATTTAACCGATGATGATGATGTTGCAAAGAACACCAGAACTATGTACAAAAAAATGCTCATTCTTCCATGTCACCCATATCAATTCCCCACTTTTATAATAATGTCATCCTTTAATGTGGCCTTTGTGAAAGGTGCAATTTGTATTTAGTGTCCACTTAATATGATACCATCAGACTAGGTATTTACACAGAATAAGAAAAACAAAACTTTGAACAAAAGGTGTTCGGCCAGTTTAACTTTTCACACCCATTGGAGTGTGTTTCGACCTGTACTGACAAGCACTGTGTGTATCAGATACAATGTGTTCTGTTCAGTCCCTCCGCAAGTTGTTCAGCCGTTCCTCCAGGTCTGCATCCGCATCTGCCAGAGCAGCCTGAGGCTCAGCCTTCTTTCCTCCAGCCACCGACAGATTTCCTCCAGGAGCTGGAAGATCTGGTGGGAAACATAAAAGTGAGTTAAAGTTGTTTTTTTGGTTTTTTTTACACAATAATTATACTTTAGAATATATTAAGATTCAAATCTAATATTCATTAGTGAATGTACTGATCTTACAAATCTAATTTAATCATTGGTGCTGTTTGACAATTATAACTCACTTCCTCTGAAAGAAAAACCCGCAATACTCCAGGTGATACTAAAACACTGTGTATGATAATTTGTGGCATTGCAAAGTGTATTTGATCTGAACTGGTGAAATACTTATCAGTACACAATCTACACACGTGCTAAAATAGAGGTTTTCTTACTTGATAGTTCGTCAGACAGATTCAGACCCAGCTCGTCAAGCACTTGAGACACAATGGCATCGCTACACATGAAACACAATTCATTAATTATTTGATAGTTTTTTGTGAATTCCTCTGAGAACCTTTGACACATCCAGGATGGATATGTGACAAAGGTGGAATAACATGTTTTACTGAAATATATCTGTGCCACAATTATGGAAAGAAATGTAAATTAAAACATGCCCAAACCTTTCTTCCTCATCATCCTCATCCCCCATGGCATCGTCAATGGCATCATTCATCATTTCCTCCTTCATGTCCATTATTTCACTTTGTTTCTCAAACTCCATCATAATCTTCTGAATTTGTGGCAGTTTCAGCTGCAAAAATTGAATCAATAGCCCGTTAATGTAACTTATCAAAATACTCTGCGCATGTTTTTAAGTGATTGTCCCACAGACCTGTCTGTTCATTGTGGCCATGGCTTTGGTGACACCCTTCATAGCCTGTGCCATGCTGTTGTTGGACTTGAGAGTCTGAATCTTCAAACTAACAGCCTGGATGTTTGCTTTCATCATGATGAACTTCTTGACGTATCGCCTCGTGCGAACCAAATCCTTGGCCATGATTTTAACTGCATCCTATGAAGACGACAAGAACACACAGCTATACGACCTCTGACCTTTTACAGCTCCAACCATTTTCTTCTATCTCACCATCTGTCCCTGCTTGGCCATTTTCTTTATATCAGCAATAATCTTTTTCTCCTGTTGCTCGAGCTTCATTCGCTCTCGGTCCAGTTCTCTCATGGCGCGGTTGAGTGCCCTTTGGTTCTGTTTTAAGATCTCCTCTGGAGTCTTTCTTTTTCCAAATAAGAACTCCATCTGGTAAAAAGGCAAAACAGAATATAAAAGCTAGCAATTCCAAAGCATTCTCCTTTTGAGGAAAGTAAATTTGAGTTTGTGTGCTGACAATGGGCGTCTGTCAAAAAAGGTTGTATTGTATTTCTGTGTAACATGAAAAAAAAACAAGGTTTGAGAATATCAGGTATTTGTAGATAAGAAATTGACCTCTCTGGTACTTACCCTACTAAGTACTAAAAGAACTGAAAAAATATATATATTAGTCAAACTGATTAATTGAGTGAAGCTTTTCTAGCACTAATATTGCTCTATCATCAGTGATTAAATGGTGTCAAACATCACACAATCCAGATTAGGATGACGTCATAATGTATTGCTATGATCAAAATTCAATATATATACAGTAAATATTTACTGCAAATATTTACTTCACTGTTTCAAAAATACACAATCTACTATACTGTATAACTTAACCAGAAAAAACTACTTTGTTTTTTGCCCTACATAAATCTATTTTTACTATTGTAATAGGTATTCTCAAATCGTCGTTTTGTTAATGTCAAATAACTAATCGGTCAAACTGAGACATTTGGCGATTAATAATAAACTATACATGTGGGTGTTTTTGTTTGTTTTTTTAAGATTTTATGAAGCAAACTAAGAGTTGATTGATCTGCCAACGGGCAGAACCCAGAAATGTAATCTCAAAAATAACATTGAAGTCACAGTATGTGGCAAAAGTCATGTGGCAAAAGTTTCAGTCATTTTAGTTGAGATTACAATCCCCTATTTCCTGGGCCATATTACTCAGCAGTTATATATGCGACAGGAGGCCCAGACTGTCTTCACAGCAGTTGTCTGTCGCCTGTTTGGCTGTCTCTACGTTTCCCTTAGTAACTTCACGGCTAAAACTCTGTTTACTGTAACAAGGAAAAACGCATCGGCCTCAATATCTCACCGTGAACCGGATTCTTCACCAAAAGACTTTAATCCAAACGGTAAACTCGATTCAAGGGCGTCTTCTTCGACAAAATTTGAAACGAATATTTGTTTTCGTTACTTCTCTTCCGTATTGCGATAGTTTCACTTCCGGGAAATGACGTCAGCTCGTACAAAACTATTTCTAGGCTTACGTCACACGCAGAAAGATCATCAAGCTGACGGTGACGAGACATCGGTTCCTACTTTAATAATAATGAACTATTACAATCATTATTATTTCAAAAAAAATATTTCTAACAGACCCGTACCTGACAGGTGTCATGCTGCATCATTACCTCAAAGACAATCTAAACTCTTTTTTGAAAAAAGATAATAAGATAACACAGAAAAGATTTTTATATTACTCTGACAACAGATTTATAAATCAATAGATTTATAAATCAATCAAAGCCTAAAGATCGTGCCCTTTGAACCTTCTCATTTGTATAAAATGTTATAAAACATGAGTTACAGAAGAACAGAAATGTCTGTTCTGATGTTTTTCTATTATTAGGCTATTTTGTTTGAAAGAATACATGTATTATTTCAGAGAATGGTCAGAATCTAGTATTACCGCATTCTTCATTCTCTTTCAGTCTGTTCTTACGTATCATATGTGTTCAACGATTGTATTTAATGTCATTATCTGTCATTTCAAAATCAACAACTTTTTATATTACCTTTGATCTGTGAATGAAAGGCAGCAGTCCTTAAGACACAGATGTGTGTGTCTTGTGAGTTGGTAAGGGATTTTTGTTAGAAATAGCATTTTTAAAATAACATGGTTATTTCAATAATTATTACATCGTGTGATAGAAGGAAAAAGGTGATCATGGAAAATAAATAAGTATTTAAATAAACTAGTACTTAAATTGATCAAGGTAGGTATTGTAGGCAAATTCTTTATTGCATTTTTAGTGATAATAAATCAAATTTTAAATCAAGGATTTTTTTTGTTTTCCTTCCCAGTGATAAGTCTAAAGCCTTTATTTTGTAGCGAGCATCAGCTATTTCCTGTTACATTCTTGTAGGATTGACATATGCGAGTAACCCATGTGGGTCCTCTTACGAAGCTTCTGAAACATTAATCCAAACTGCTAAAGAAACTGGCAAACATTTGTTCTTGGATTAAAAGCAGCACTCTATCTTAAGATGCTGCTGCTGCTGCCTTGGAGCGGTAGATCGCGGTTGACATTTTCCAGATTGAGCTGTCATGTTTCATCGTACCATGTCACAGCCATACTACAGCACGCAGGAGACGGTAGCTGCACACCTGTGGAGAAAAGACGACACAAGTCCAACTCTGGGTCTAATAACTGGAAGGGACACGAGAGGTCTGTCCAGAGTAGGAAAGAGGGAACAAAGAAGGATACTGACCGCAGAGTATCATCTGAGCTCAGGAAGTTGTGTCTGGAGGACTTCAGTACAGAAAGAGAGAGAATGCTAAGGTCGGCACTGGAACAGGAAGCAGGCGACTTTGAGGTTGTATTTGGCATCTCACCCTGTCTCTTGGCGTTGAGTCAGGGAAGAAGAAAGGTCAGAAAACTGTTTGTAAAGGATGGAGATTCTTCTCTCAGAGCCTCTTTGCTGAAGGTGTGTGAGGAGGCATTTCGTCAAGGAGTACAAATCCAGCGCGTTAGCAAGACCAGGCTGGACAGGATGACTTCTGGACGGGTTCATCAAGGAGTCTGTCTGCAGGCTAGCCCTCTCGACTACCTCACTGATGACCTAGACTCTAAACTGGAAAGGAAAGACAATCCTCTGTGGCTGGTCTTGGACAGAATCCAGGATCCAATGAATCTTGGTGCCATTCTGCGAACTTCTTTCTTTCTTGGCGTGGACAGAGTTGTCAGCAGCCTTCGAGACAGTTGTCCACTGTCGCCAGTAGTCAGCAAGGCCAGCTCAGGTGTCATGGAGGTGTTTGGAGTGTATGGTTGCAAAAACCTTGAAGACATGTTAAAGTCAAAGGTGGTACAGGGATGGCAGGTGGTTGGCACAGTAGCAGCTGATGCAGACAGATGTCAGGCTCCTGTCATACAGTGTTCACACTTCCAGATGACCAAGCCTACATTGTTGCTTATGGGAGGTGAGGGAGATGGATTGTCCCAGACGTTGCTCTGTCTTTGTCAGATCCTGCTCACCATCCCTGCAGGGAGACCTTTGTCTCCAGGGATAGAGTCTCTGAATGTCTCCGTAGCTACTGGCATTCTGCTGCACTCTCTGCTCGCATCCAGGAATCCACATAGATTAGAATTTCCAATTTAAGCTATAGGCACTGAAAGTAATTTGATACTGTGTTTGAACATTATTACGGAGATGCTTTCTCAGTTCTTTAGATTTGTCATATTGTCCTCGGTCTTGTTATGTTATTATACTTCTCTCTAAATGTCGTCTGTTTATGCTTCATCTAGTAGCATCACTTTTAACTATTCTATTCTTCATGTGTCCCCACAGCAGGTATATTTAGTTTTCACACTGACTCGTTTTAGATTTACCTCTCCTGTTTTCAGGCTAGGGACTATGTGCCAGGTCTTTGACGGCAATCTGGGATTAAATCTGTGGTGCAGTGGCAGAAAGGCATGCAGGTGGATTCAAACCATATCCTGTAAGTGGAAATCCAACTCCCCAATGCTGCCAAGTAAGCCATGGTGCGCCATCTAAAGTGTCTATATTCTATTTCTTCTCTCTTCTCTGCCACATTTTGTTTCACAAAAACATTTTCATTAACGTTAGTAGATTGTTGTATAAAACTGAGTTATGTATGTTTTCCTATACATGACCAAGTGAATAATTTAATTACTTCACAACCTTTTCTGTTCCATGCAATTATCAAATTATCAAAACAAGTGCTTAAAAAATAACCTGTTTTATTAGAATTAATAAAAAGGGTTAAAAACATGTTTTTGACATACTACACTGACTTATTTATATTGTCACTTTGTTTTAACGTCAGTTTAAAGTACATTAAAGTTTTAAGTCCAATAATAGCAAATCCTCAAACAAGTTAAATTACATTTACCTTGACTAATCATAATCAATTGCAAACATGATTAATTCATTTATTTAACTTTTTAATTGAGTGACAGACAATATATGTACATGTGAAGGAACAATACCAGCTATGAAAGTAAATGTTACACAACATGAGTAGATCTTGGTCATTTCTATTTTGTAAAAGTAGCTCTCAGAGGAAAAAAGGTTAGTCCCTGCCACAGATGTTCCTCAAGGGTCAGAAAACAACAACTATGCAGTTTGTGTTAATTAATTTTATATTTGTTGTAAGGATTACAGTGACCCTTTCCTTGTTGCTCAGTTACCCACTTAATCACCCATGAGACTTTTCTCCACATATGGGCAACACAAATCTAGCCTCCACTACAGCTTTATGTGGACCTTGATGCCCTCAAGGAGACTAAAATATTTTTTTAAATGTCATCGTGGGATGTTTCCTTTCCCACAGATACATTTTATGATTTTAAAAAAGACATTACATGTATTATTATCATGTCTGCCATTGTTTTTATTATTGTTTGTTACTTATTTTTAACATATATATGATATGATTATTGAAATGTTTAAGTTGGAACCAAAATTGCATAATTTAATTACCGTGCCATAAAATAATGAATGAAAATCATGTGACACATTAAGAATACATTTATGGATTTCCATGATGCAGACATGACAGTTTGGTTTTTCTATGCACGATTTAACACAGAGAAACACCAGCTGTTGTCAAATGACTTGATTATTGGAGGAGATTATAGCTGAAATCTTTAACGTCAAATGATTTTGTTATCTGTGCGTCTTATGTGTGATTTACTTTTAATAAGCAGAAAGATTTTTCTTGTGAAAATAAGGAGGCCTAAGTAAAATAGCCTTTAAAGCACGCAGTATATATCCTTTAGATTGAATTGTTAATTGTAGGGAGAATAACACAGTGACTATGAAACTCCACATTTGAATTTTTGTAGTGAATTTGCATTATTTCTGGTCTCTATTGACCTCGGGATATGTATTAACTGTCATCTTATTTGAGCTGCTTGAATGTCACACACAATATACGCAGCCTGTGTACCTAAACCTGTTTATAGTTAATCATCTTTCCATGTTGCTAGTTTTAATAGTCAAACTAATTGTCGATGTGACGTAAACGCATTTCTCCATTTCCACACGGGGGCAGCGTCCACAAGCATCGCTGCCAGTGAGTCAGTTTGAAGGGTGAGGAAGAAGAGCAGCGCACACAATGCACTGCACGGCTGACAAGGGTTGTGTCTCACCGATTTTCACCATAAATTTTCAATTCGGTGGAAACTTGTGAAGGGACAGCTGCGGGTCCGATCGCTTCCTCTCTACAACTATTGTCCACCAGGATTTGCCCCAAACGTGGCTTCGTTGTTACAACACCGCGACGAGTGGTCGAACTTCTCCCAAACAGTGGATTTACAGAGAGAGGGCTGCAGGAAGGAGCAGCCTGGCCCGACGGGGGCTTGGTCGACACCCTCGTTTATGGAAATCCACACCGAGGCATTTACGTTTGGGCCTTATTTTTTCTTTCCAGATGGAAAACGGGACATGTTTGGTTGTTAGTGGAGATGCACAATATTGCAGCACATGTCCAATAGCTCGGTAAAAATCGTTTAATCGGCTATTCGTTTCTGGGAAAACAGATTGTTGTTTAGCCGACCAACAGTGGTTAGCCTGTGTGCTAACGTTACGTCTTTCTTTTGATGTGATGCGAATTCAACCATTACATACGGCTATTGAAGCTTCGACAGCAAACATTACTACTAAACAAATACATAACGGAAAGCTGTACGTCGTAGCGACCGTCTTGTCACTTTTACAAGGCGCATGAAAAATAGAATTGTATTCTTGTATTGCGGGCTGCATAAATGGTTATGTATCAAGCTAGCCGTGTGTGCAAAGGGCTACGGTGCCTGTGATCAACACGGAGCTAGTTAGCATTTTGCAGGTAAACTCAACCTAACAGCTGATTTTATTCAATTTATTAGTTTGTGGAAACAACCCACGATAATTTAACAAGATATACTGGCACAACATTTGCGTTAATCCGAACACCTCTCACAATAGCCTCGCTGTTTTAGCCTACCATTTTCTCTATTAAATTGGTCAGCGTGTGTGAAAATAGGAAATCCTATATTTGCGTTGAACAAATGTAAATTTATTTGTGAATAAAGCCAGCTTACATTCCGAGTATCTTATCAGTAAAACAGTTGGACGTGTCTTTTTGTTTTGTTTACATGCGTGTAACTTATGTAGTTTTCGTTTGAATTTCCTGCTAGCGAGCTAAGGTTAGCCTCCTCTGAGACACAATCAGCCATGTCCTGACATCTGTCTGTGCCTCTGTTTTGGACGGTTCCAATTTCTGTGTGGATCCTCGTTTTTTCAAAGTGAAATGACACTCAAAATTCGGCGAAAGAAAGGCACAGATGCCAATGGACTGTCGTCACAGGACGGTGAATAAAAACAATCACTGCTTTCATTAACGCCATTTTAACGGAGGCTCTCTTCTTTGCGAGGGCCTGTGTGGTGGTGTTGTCTTTGCGGTTCGGTGCCTTCCACCGGACCGGTACTAGAATAAAGTGCCTTTGGTCTGAGTGGAAGTGACAGAGGGAGGAGCCGTTCGAACATGGAGGGCCCGAGCCGAAGCACTGGATTCAGGCAAAGCAGGCGCTCCCGTTCACAGCGCGACAGGGAGCGGCGAAGGCGGAGAGTGGACCTGGCGGAGGAGCGGGCCACATCCCTGTCCTCAGGCTCCGACAGGGAGGCCGGTGGGACCAACAGTGTGCGGGGTCCCGGTGGGAGAGAACGCCGTCCCGCTTTTGGGAGGCACAGACCTCCACGAAGAAGGAAAAGGGAGTCGGTGTCCTGCGAGGAAGACATTATTGATGGCTTTGCTATAGCGAGCTTCATCAGTTTGGAGGCTTTGGAGGTACATTTCTACATGTTACAACTAGTATTCAGCTGTCACCAGGGCCGAATTGTTCAGATTTAAGGCAGGGAATAGGGAGGACACATTTTCACACAATACATTTAATGCATTAATATACACACATGTACAATCGTGCCATTCTAAATTACACCTTGGTTCAAGTTAGACATGGTACACCAAGCACCACTGCCAGAAATGATATATTCTAGAAAGCTATTAATATACCATTTAACAATATACCAAATAACAATTCTAAATAACAATATAACTTTAAGAATACAATTCACTGAAACCCTTAACTAACAGCAGGTCCAAGACACAGTATCAGGTGTGCTGCACAGCATGCATCTTAAATTGCGCCCACTCTGATTTCCTGATTTAATTGATCCCGTTAGTGATTTCAGTTTGAAACCAATTAATTGTTCAGTCCCACTCTGATCATAGTCTTCATCATCATGCTTAGCTTAAGCGCTCTACTCAGGCCGAACCTAAACCTCAAAGCATTGCTCTGATGGATTCTGTAGAGGCCTCAATTATTCATTATCTATTTCAGTGAGGTGTTGACGAGTTGCCAAAAGGCTTGGCATGGTGAAAAAAAGAAAGAAATACATGATTATAATTGTAGATTAACAACCCCAACCCTATTTTCCACAGTACTTGCGCAGGCCATTCAATACTTGTGATTGTTAACATTCTTAGATCAGAAGTTAATGCAACCAAAATAGAGGTGAGATTGTTGACTTCATGACCAGTATTGGGTGAGTTTAATGTAATATATGTAAAATATGATGCTGTCATAGTGGGGGAAAACAAGCTTTCATGTAATATTGTCTGCTGTTAGAGTGGGTCTGATGGTGGCTATTTATGACCTCTGCATCAGGACAGGAAAGCAGCTGCAATACTAAAGCAACCACACAAAGATAATTTCTGTGTTCTTGATTTTACAGTCAAATGTCCCATTTACTGTCAAGATTAGTGGTTGTTTGCTATTCCACACTGACTCTGGGATGAATTAAATATTCAGGAGTGGGTGCCCAGGGCAAAACCGTTGAACTGAGCAAACCTTCCTTTTTTAAATCTTCCATTTTTCTTCAATGTATGTTAAAAACAACCACTAGGTTTACCAATTTTGAGAAGATATTTTGAGTTTGTCTTTCACTAGGCCAGCCTGACATTTGCCCTCCTGGATGGATGGATGGATAGATAGGTAGATAGATAGATAGACAGACCAACTTCATTGATCCCAGGCTGAGAAATTAGATTTTATAATATGATATATAATTTATTGCAATACTATATTTATTTCCAAAAAATGGAGCAATCTGAATTTTACCAAACTCATAAACCTAGCTGTTAAAACACTGGATTGAATTTAATTGAACCCATCCATTGGGAGCAGTGATTGCTTTCAGAAAAGCCAGGAGAGTGAAGGAACTGGTGCTCGCTCAATACACCAGAGCTGGCCCAGTTGGCATTCAAACCTGCAATCCATTGATAACAAGTCCAATCCTCTTACCTCTACGCCCCCATAAAGAGGCCACTGTCATTTATTCTTTTTCATTATTTTACCATTAAAAGAAAATGAATCATTTGCTTTTCTTTTCATCTCCTTTTTCAGATGGACTGCTCTCTGAAGCCCACTCAGCGCAATGATATGCTGGGAAGAAGGAACAAGGGCAAGAGGGGGCCAGAGGAGAACGGTGGAGGTCCATTGTCTGAGCCAGAGGAAGGAGTGCCACACAGCTTCACAGCTAGAAACAAGAGGAGAAAGATTGAGGTGAGTTGCTGTGTCTCCAGGGTTCCAGTCATCTTCATCTTGTCGTGTTATAGGTCTAACTGCTTCTTAATCAAATAGCAGTGTTTACATTTCCACAGCACTGCTGACCTGTATATCCTGCTCCAGAAAAATGATCTAGTCAGACTGGTTTGTACACAGGTGTTTGCAAAAATTCCAGCAGAACCAATCTGTAGGTGTTTCCTATTAAAGAAGCCATTAAGGGTAAAGTGGGGTGAAGCGTCCAGTTTCATGGAAGCATTGTTATTTTAGTCATAAAATCACAAAAAATACAGGCTTTTAAAAAATTCCCCAAGTTAAAGCGCCAATTGAAAAATACTTGAGCTAATGATGTTCATATGTTTTTTTAGGGACATCCTTTGGAAACTGGCTACATTGTAAGTTTTTAAAAAATGCTGTTCTGAGTAAGACGTTTTTTTTTTGTTTGTTTGTTTGTTGTTGTTGTTGTTTGTTTTGTAACCCGATGGATTGTCTGGGGTGTTCTTATACATGCAAATCCTTGTTTCCTTCTTTCTTTCAGTGTGACACTGAGAGTGACACTGGAGACAAGGTGTGTATTTTGCATTCCTAGACAGAAGTGATTGAAGTTTGTATAATTCGGTTTGGCATGCTTCAGTAACAGGGCTGTTGGCACAACGAGTGGCAAAACAACATTAATGACTGTAATTATTAATCATTAGCGTGCTATTAAGTGTCATATTATTCTCCCACTGTAGCCTTAATTATTAAGAATTTATTAAAACACATTGGAATGTTGATTAATTGTCATGAGTGTTGATGAACTGTTTGTTTGAGGTTTTCTTTAGTTTATTCTAATGTAAACTTTGTTTTGTTGGTCATTTCCAGGCTTCTGACAATGAAATGGACCCTGTGTTTACAGTCAGCACAAGAAAAGGTACAAGCAATTACTCAATTTTCTCTCTCTCTCCTTTCTCTATCTCTCACTGTCTTTCGCTCTCTTTTTAACAAACCTTCGTTCAACCCCTTCTGCCACCCCTGAAATGCTGTTGTGCCCCCCAGGGGAGGCACATCTTGCGCATGTTAAATTTCTGATTTAGGGTTAGGGTTTGATGCATTTTAATTTGCAGGAGTACTGTGTGAAGATATGAGTCGTGAATGTGACAAAGACCAAAGCAGTCAGCATAAAGGGGAGGAGGGTTTCATGAGGAAAATATGAAGTGAACAGATAGGACGTTTATATTACATTAATACCATGTGAAATCTTTTTATGAAATCACTTTTTCACTGGTCTTGGTTACTGAGCATGGTATGGTAATTCCAGTCAAAGTAGACCCAAGTCATTTTCTTTTGTCACATATCTGTGTATCATGATGTGTTCTTAAATGTTAATCTAATCACAAGTTTTACAAAGTCACAATCAATGACTCTGAGTCATGAAGGTTTTAAGAAAATGTTTTGTTCTGTTTTTTGTTTTGTTTTTTTGCTGCTGGTCTATGGACCAGTTGTGGACCTGATGTGATAAAAATTAAAAATACTGACATTTTCTTTTGTAGTTGTTGATCCAGCACCCTCCAACATGGGCACATCCATGGGAAAAAGCTGCCCGCCCATACCCTCTCGCTGTGGTGGCGTCTCACGACTGATGGTGACCCCAAGAGTATCTGGCCTAGAGCGAAGCCAGGAGAAAAGCCTGGAGCCACATTTCCCAGAGCCAGTCCCTTCTTCTACCTCTTCTGCCCCCTTCTCTCTGCCTTCCCACTCTCCAGTCCCAACTTCAGGCACCGTGCCCCAGCTTAGTCCCATCAATGGCAACGGAAGTCGCCACAACTGCAGTCCTCCACTCTCCAAACCGAAGCCCTTTCTCAATCGACCTCACTCCATTTATAACATCAACAACAGGTGTGTATTATTATTATTAGTTATAGTGTGGTTTCATCATAATCCCATACATTTATACAAAGAGTGTCAGATTTTACCATCCTTTATTTATAATGGTGTAGTCCACGGGTGCCCAAACTGTTCCACAAAGGGCTGCTGGGGCTGCAGGTTTTTGTTCCAACCAAGCAGTAGCACACCTGAGTTGACAGGTTTAATCAACTGGTCTCCCCCTTCAGACAGCTGATTGGTCAAACTATGTGCTCTTGGTTGGTTGGAACACAAACCTGCAGCCACACGGCCCTTTGAGGAACAGTTTGAGCATGCCTGGTGTAGTCAGTATCGGTTTGGTGCAAGAGAACATCTTTTTATTCAATGCATGGAATTAATTTTATAGTTTAACTAATGCAACCTTCACACCTCATCTCTGGTGAATCCAACAACCTCAGGGAGTACACAGTCTCGCATTCTTTAACATTACAACTGTCTAGATGAGTAATCCACCTTCAACGATTAAAGACCTACCAAACCTCTCCTCAGGCTTCAGTTAGAATCTTGTATTATAAAAAAATAAATCAGTGTGGAAAAAAAATCAGCACAATGTCTTAGACATACCTTCTTAATGTTGGATCTGTTTCTGACTGATTTTTCTTATTTTTGTTCTATCAGGAGCAGCACACCAGTTAAACCAACAACCTCTGCTTCATCCGTTGTGTCATCCTCATCCACCATGCGCCCACCAACTCCCTCTACCAGTGTGTCTCTCCCCTATATCAGGGTCTCTGGGACCTCGGGACCCCTTCGCCCTCCATCCAGAGCTGGTTCAGGAGCCTTGTACACGCCTTCTCCCGGGCTTCCTCCTCCTCCACCACTGCTACAAGGTCCTGCCAACTCAGCAGCATCAGGTTCTTTGAACAAACAATGCTGCCAATCTTCCTGGGTTTATTTAACTATTAGTTTGTGAAAAAAACATCTAAATTACACATTTTGTTTAATTCCTCCATCTTAAGGTTTAATTTGCAATGGAGTAACAGAAATATGACTTACCTTTGAAACTACTTGTGTATTGTCTATTTATTGGGATTTACTTAGATCAGGAATTGTGACATTTAAATTCAAACTCCCACTTGTCTTTCCAACAGAGCGTGAGGGCAGACGCAGCGTCCCCGGCGTTGAAAACAACACGGCTGCTGCCTCCAGCCGCTCCTCTCCTGGTGGTGCATCAGCATCCAGCAGTGCACCGGGATCCTCGGGCCGGACATCTCAGAACCAGCCGAGCATCCCACCCATGGCCTTCCAATTTCATCAACACAACCACCAGCACCAACACACGCACACACATCAACACTTCACACCCTTCCTGCACCCTACGGCTTCTGCACCACCTCTGGTAACATTTTCTCTGCTGCCATGTTGAAACCTTCAGATCAACCTGAAATTTCAGTCTGTCTAAAATATATCATGTTCATTTTCATCTTTGGATATTTCAACCCTTTCAACCCTTTTCTTTTTTCAGTTTGATAAATATGCTGGCAAGATTGATGGGCTTTACAGACATCCTGTGAGTATAATGTCTTCAATATTTTTTATCGGTGTTTATGTTTCTCGGTAAATTGTGCAAAAATATTGAATGAGATATTATCCAGATCTATCCAATAAACTCAGGGACTGTATTACAGTTTTTGACACAGAGGTTTTAAAGCAGACAGTTTTGGGCATTCAAGATACATCAAGACATCAAGTGTTGTGTATGTGTTCTTGTCATTTTCACTTCATGAGAAAATGTTTTGTTTTTTTGTTCTATTGGATTTTTAACAACTGGATTCTTTTACATTTGTTTTATGACCTCATGAGCAACACTGAATACATGGCAAATGTTTGTAGAACAAGGCAACTTAAGGGGTTAAAGATTTCTCCTCTAAAAGCTTAATTATATTTGACATTACTTAGAGTGACATTTTCATTTGGCAGGTATGTGGTGACAGCTATTTAGCTTGGTCTTAAACGTGGGTTAATGTTCTTTGTTGGTCTTATTAAATATGATACAAAGTTCTATTTATTTTGGGGGATTTTGTGATTGTTATTATTTTAAAATCTCCTTTATGCCACTGTGAAGATCCCATTTGTCACTTTTGTGTTTTCCTTGTCATGGCAGTTCTTCCCACAATACCCACCGCCCTCAGTGCCCAGTATCCAGCCTGTGATTCCTCCAACTGGGCCTTTCAGCTCCTTGCAAGGAGCATTTCAGCCAAAGGTGAGAGTAATTGGTTTAATGCCTTGACTCTGACTATTAAATAAAATATAATTTACACACATTAGACTAAAAATAAATAGTACATCAGACATAAAAAACAAAAGCAGTTGTACCGAAATGGAAAAATGTTTTTTTTGATGTGATGTAAGAAGGTTGTGTCTGATTTGTGTGCGTGTGTGTGTGTGTGTGTATGTTGATAGCCTCTTGTCCCTCAGGGAACGGGTCCTGATATATCTGCACGACTTGGTGTTGTGCCTCACCACCTACCCAAAGACCCTAGGGTGAGGACAGTTTGCTCATGCTGTTCACACTGCTCATCCAATGATTCGATTTGTTTTTTGTTTTTTGTTTCCTTTTCTGCTTATTTAAAATTACTTATGTGCAAAGACACTTAAGGATAGCTGTGACATGGGCCTTGTCAGTAGAGTAAGGAGTGCAAAATTACATTGACATTGAGTGAAACATATTTAATTAAAGTGGTTTCACACTTCTGTTCTCTCATAGCTTACTGATCCATTTGGGACATCGTTGAAAGTCAGTAATGTAAGCAAAACTGATGTTTTCTCTGCTTTGGCTCCTTAAATCTTACACTTCCTACTCCATTCACTCTTTGAACCTCTTTCTCCTGTAATCTTGACTGCCACTGGCAGATCCTCTGCTTTTGCACATCCAGTTGGATATTGCTGTTTTTCATATCCCAAAACCTCGACATAACATTTATGGAAATTTATATTCACAAACTCAAAACCATCTGATTTCCATCCACATTCTGAGCCGATATGATGAAGCCGAGTGACATCTGACTCTGTGTGCAACGGCATTTACTGTGTTTATAAAAGATTTATGTAATAACATTCTGTCAATCTTGTCATGTGCAGAAACCAGGAAAATGGTGTGCTATGCATGTGTACGTGGCCTGGATGATTTTGAATCATCAGAAAAAAGTAAAGGTAAGTTTATCTATCTATGCAAACATAGAGTGTAATGTCTTACCTTTATGCGACTATCATCTCCCAGTGGGTCACAATAGACAATTGCTTGGTTTAACGTCTCTGTCTGCCCTTTTGCAGCTGATGCAGGTTGATCCTCATAAGTTAGACTTCCGTAGTGACCTGCTGACCCGTCTTCCTGGAGCTGGGGGTCTTGGCCCTCTGGGTCCCATGGGAGGAGGACTTCCTCCAGCTCATGACCTGACCAGACCTCCTAGTCTCTTCTCAGCTACAGGTGCTGGCTTAATACCTCTGAAGTGGAACTCAGTGTTTTATAAAATTGCTGTCTTTTACAGCCTGTTATTTCAGTATTTTACTTTTCCACACATAATTAATATTGTTTACCTCTGTTACATTTCTTAATTTGCACATTCTCAAGGTGGTACACTGTTGTGGTGTTAGTTAATGAACCATAGTGTGTTCTGTGTGTTTGTGTCTCAGAGTGTGTGAGAAGTTTTATTTGATTTCTCATTTTTGTTTTACTACCTCTCCTGTCCCTCAGGTGCAGTCAATCCATCTTCGGCTACATTCATTACTCCTTCTACACCTCACTCCTCATTCCTTGCACCAACTGCACACTTGGGTAAGAACCACAGTTTCCTCAAAAGGTCTTTTACACTCTTGTACACAAAATGCAGAAATAAGTTCCTCGTAGATTTGTCTTAGCTGAGTGTTTCTGGTGTTTCCCTGTGTTGCTTTTAGACCCATATGGCCGTTCTCCTCCTTTTACCCCTTTGGGAGCCCTGGGGTCTGGTGCCTTTGGAGGTCTTGGCAGTCCAACACTGGGTCAGTTTCATAATTTCCCTCAAAGTCAAACTTATAAGGCTGACCTTGAACAATACCTCTATGTATATGTTTAAAGGATATAGTGAACCTTCAGACTGCACACTTGTGCAATAGTCAAAGATGAGGTAAGCAACAGAAAAATCCTGTTGACTTTGACTTCTTCCAGGAATTTGCTTCTGGCAGGATTCAGATAAATGATTTATTTTGCTGCATTATAGCTAGTTTTTGGTGTATTTTACAGTTTTACACAGTGTTATGTGTGATATGTCAGCCTTATTTGGTGACTTCATCACTTTTTCATGACTCTTTTGACCCTTAATGGAAATGTTTGAAAAGTCTGCAACATTTAACTTTACCATTTCTGATTGGCACAGACAGCTGTATATTAGGACTTGACTATGTTTGTCATTGTCTATGGTGTAGTTTGGAGGCTGTGGAAAATATAAAATGTTCTGGGTTTTTTTTTCTTCTTCTTTTCAAAAGCATGTCAACATGGCTAATCATGTAAACAACCTTTCTTTAAATGACTGTCGACAGTGTGACATTTTACACACTGTTAGAGTTACCTCTCAGTATTTATTCCTTTTTTTTTTGTACTCATACTTTGTACTTGATTCACTTCAATTTACTCCTACAGCCATGTTCAAATGTGGGGACAGTGTTCTTCAGGTTACAAACTTTTTAGGCAAATAATTCAGATATTTGTAAAAGCATACAACAAGATTCAATTAAATCTATTTTTGTTTAGAAGTCTGGTTCTTTTTAATCTCTCATTGTTCTTATATTCCGAATGTGTTGTTGTATTTTCTGTTTGCAGCTGGCTCTATGTTCGGCCCGAAGGACTCTCCAGCTAACTTGCCCACCCCTAACCATCACGATGCATGGAACCGTCTACATGGTGCCCCACCAGGCTTCGCTGTTGGCCCCAGTTGGGCCAAAGGGTCAGACAGAAGGGACGAGAGGGATCGAATGAAGGATGCAGAGAGGAGAGATATCCCACATATCAAGGATGAAAAGGACAGGTCTGTGTGACTTTCAACTTACTTTGCTTTTTAATATAAAGAAATTTCTTGGGTATTCTCTTCTCACAAGCATGTTTTAGTTTGACACCAGGAGCTACATTTAACACAAGCAGTCTAATTTAGTTTATTGTATTAGCAAGAGGCACCCCAAGTCTGTGGTGTACTTTATAATGTATAGTTTCAAAAGAGACTCGAGCACAATCTGTCACAATGGAAAGAAAGAGCAATGATGCACTCTCTGATGTGTCTATGATTTGGTTTTCTCTGCATACAGACACATGTAGTGTCAGTGACTTCTACCCCATACTGTATTTCTTGGTATTTATTTCCCACTCTTTTAACTTTGTGTTGCAGAGACAATATGCTGTATGGCCGACAACCTGTGAGAATGTCTCCAGTTGCCCCGTCTTTCAAACTACGTAGTAATACTCCAGTCTCCCATATCAATGGCCACAGTGGCGCTCCGGGCAGGAGCAGTGGACCTATTGAGGACTTGACACGCAGTTTAAATAGAGACAGAGATGGGGACAAGAGGCCAGTGCCTACAGTGTCCTCACGAGCACTTCCTCTGGCATCTTCATCTTTAGTAGCAGAAAGAGACCGTCCACGGTCGTCCTCATCCTCTGTACTCACAACTCCTCCACCCTCCAATCGCTCAGCCCCATCTCCCTTGGATCTCTACCCGCGTCCAATGGCCCCAACAGCTCATGGCCACCACAGTGAACCTTCCCACTCACAAAGAGATGGTAATCCTCCTGCCTCCTCCACAGCTTCTGCCTCTATAACTTCTTTGTCCCAGTCCAGGAAACAAGATCGGACCATGACACCTGTCTCCAAACCTCCAGTGCATCTTCCAACAGTGAAAGTCAAAGAGGAGCGTAAGGAGGAGCCTGAACACATCCCCATCACGCTGCCTCCACCCATGCCCAGCCACAGCTTTGACCGTCCCAACAGCCATCCCCACCACCCTAGTTCTGGTACTCCTTCTTCTTCCTCTCTATCACTGACTCCAACTCCTGGTGTTCCCCTTCCTCCTCCTACTCCAAACCCTCCTTCCCACCAGCACCTTTCCCTGCTCGACCGCCCAAGAGCCATGGAGGCATATCTGGGTAGCACAGCAGGACCCCCAGGTTTTGTAGTGGGTCCAGGAGAGCGTTTCCCTCATGGTCCAGCTCATGGACCACCACAGGGTCCTCATACTTTCACTTGGGACCCCTGGAGGGAGCTGGCAGCTCAGCAGCAACATCAGCAACGTAGGGAGGCTTTGGCACTTCGATCAGACCCACATCTCGCATTGCGTACAGATCCACATCTGGCTCGACTGCTACAGCATCAACGTCATCTTCTGGAGGCAGAGAGGGTTGCGGCTGTAGCAGCGGCCGCAGCAGCAGCTGCCCCTCACCATCCTCCGACTTCTACCTCGTCTGCATCCAACTCTGTTGTTCGTCAGGAGTTTGGCCTCATGGCTCATCCTTTTGACCGCCATCATCAGCTCGGACCCCCAGGAGGAGGGCTTATTGATGAGGAGCAGCGTGCCCAGATCTTGAGAGAAGACTTTGAGCGGGCCCGCTACTTTGGAATGCACCCACATCTCCCTCACGCTTCTCACCTCTCAAGTCCCTCTCATGCTGCTACTGCTGCTCACCTTGAACAGCTCCACCAAGGCCTTCTTGGCCACCCACTCCCACCTGGAGCCACTGCTGCTTCACAGCACCATGCAGGACTCTACACCCGCCTGGGCCCACTAAACCCACACCATTTGCCCAATGGTATCCTTGCAAAAAGCCCTCCCGGGTTAGTGGGGGCACTGGCTATGGGGGCACCGCCCCCACTTATCCCTTCCATGTCTAGTCGAGCATCAACACCTCCTCGCAGACTCGGAGGGCCAAGTGAGCTGGCGCTGTACAGTGCCCACAAAGACGGAGAGTCCAGATAGTACAGGGATAACACTGGAGGAGATTCAAGGACCTGTCAGGATCACTGTGCTGCTCTTAACCTGCCCTCTCCCTCTCCCCCTTTCCTCTTGCAGACTACTAAACCCTGTAGTCCGGTTTACACAACCTCCCACAGAAAAAGGGGAACATGACTGCCTTGAGGGGTTGGTAGGGAGGGAAATGCAAGAATCATCAGTGTGACTTGGAATATGCCCTATGTTTCTATTAGTGCAATTTAAGGTACATCGTTTCTGTGCATCTTTATTGTTCTTTTATTTTATTCTGACTGTTGGTTTTTACAGTAGTCACTTTCAATAGCTGTAAGAAAGGGCCAAGGACAGATTTATTTAATTTGTCAGGAGAATCACAATCCAAGCAAGATGGATTAGAATTATCTTCCAGAGGCATTTATACAGCTTGGTGAACTCATTAAATAATATATAGCCCTCTACTACATAAGTTAAGCCTGGTATGGTGTTGGTGAGGGTTCTAAAACACAGTGGTAAAGTGGTGCTTTCTGTTCTGTCTCTATGTATTTTTGTCATTGTTTAAAAAAAAAAAAAAAAAAAGACAGTTTTTTAAAAAAACACTATAATGTTCTTTTATTTTATTCTGACTGTTGGTTTTTACAGTAGTCACTTTCAATAGCTGTAAGAAAGGGCCAAGGACAGATTTATTTAATTTGTCAGGAGAATCACAATCCAAGCAAGATGGATTAGAATTATCTTCCAGAGGCATTTATACAGCTTGGTGAACTCATTAAATAATATATAGCCCTCTACTACATAAGTTAAGCCTGGTATGGTGTTGGTGAGGGTTCTAAAACACAGTGGTAAAGTGGTGCTTTCTGTTCTGTCTCTATGTATTTTTGTCATTGTTTAAAAAAAAAAAAAAAAAAAACAGCTTATTGAAGAAACCATCTAATGAATATAAGTAAGCTTTGTACCTCAGTTTCCGGCTTTACCCAAAAAAAAACCCAACCCCAAATCTTCAGCTTCACTGACTATGAGATTCAACCATTTTGGTTTGTTTTTCGTTTTCTAAGGGATGAGTGGTCAAAAGAACTGTGCTAAACTGTGTGAGTAAACACAGTGTTTTCAGAGCTTCCTGTAACTGTTTCCCAGTCTCATTTTGGCTATAAGAGCAGGACCAGATTATGGTAGTCTAGAGGATTTGCCTTTGTAATTATTATTCTTAACATTAATTATCTTCTATAATAATAAATATATTCACTGTTATGTTTTTTGTCATTGTTTTGGGTATCAATCAGTACTCTCTCCCCAGGTAGTAATGTCTCAAATCATACAAACGACAAAGGAGAAGGCTTACTTCACAGAAAACTTTATTGCTTGTGAACATGCAACTTCTGGCATCTTTGAGGATCTCACCATTGACTTTAATGCAGAGAGAAAGGTTTGCCTGTTTGTCACTGGTTGTTTGCCGTATCATATGGGTTTACGGCATACTTGTACATTGAACTGTCAAGTTTCTTCAAAAAAATAAGTTATAGACATGGAGAAGTTGGACATTTACATATGAACTGAGAAAATATAAGGACTTGTGTCAGGAAACAACTCGGCAGTGGGTATCCTGAGAGGAAAAGACTAGGTCGATTATTTTAATATGACCATTTTATACCTTTCAAACCCCTCCCCTAGAGACCACAAAGATTAATTATTAAATGAATTGTTGTTTACCTTCCTGTTTGTCTTTTTCTGTCTGACTAATTATTGAGTCAAACTTATTTTTGCACTGAAGAAGGAAAACCTTTGATACCCAATTATGATAGGAAAACCTTTGATGCCTAATTATGATGTGTAGATTACATTTCTATTCAACTTTACAAGTCTATAATTAAATATTTAATTAAATACTGTATTTCTCATTGCTCCATATCATTTACTAGGACGTATGTAATATTGTCAGGTTTTCATTTATATGGTGTTTCTTGCATTAAATTTTGGTCTAAAAGATAAGCTCAAAGTTTCCATTTAATACTTTTTTTAGTATTTTAAAAGTATCAAAAACATAAAGCAAGCGCTAGTTACCCCCCTTTGCTCATATTTATATATTTTAGATGACACAATAGAATGCAGCTGTAAGATAGTAGCTGTAAGATAATGATTTGATCATTTATTTTAAAGAAAAACTCTTAACCTAAATGAACTAATACTTTCTGTTGTATCTCTGTAGTTAATGTATTAGTACACAGATCTCACCATCTTTTAAACATTTTAAATTTAACTAATATGCTATTTAATTATATATTATATATGCATAATCAAAATTCAGTTATATATATACATTTTTTCTCCACTATTAATGAAAACAGCTAACATCTTGTTTATCAAAAAATAGTTTGTGGGATGAATGACATGTAACATCTTTTTTATAAAGTTAAAAAGTATTATGCCTTTAAAAAATGTTTTGCTTTGATGAAGAGAATATGTTCTTGATTTTTTTTTGTAAGACTTTTCTCAGTAAAAAGAATTACTGTTATTCATTTTTCACAGGGGTAATCATAAAGGACAATAGTAATTCTAATTGCAATAAAGGAAAAAATGGAATATAGACAAAAGGCAAAGCTAACCTCCAGCATAAAAATATTATAGTAATGGCAAGTATAATTTGTCTATACATTTATTTCAAAAGCGCAAAGTAATGTTTATTTTTAAATGTAAAAAAATAACCCAGGGAAACGCAATTCTTTATGAAAACATCTTGAAAAGATCTTCACATTAAAGTTCCTGGAACTATTTCTTCAAGCACGTATTCATAAAGATAGTTCCAATTTATTAACAGAAATGTTAACTAAGCCCATGAAGTTGGAGAAAAGGTAACACATTCTATTTTCTTCAAACCAAATGTAAAGGGATTTCATTTAATTGTTTTAATAATTAATTACGCACTCGTGTGAACCGTTACAAGGCATGTAATGTGTGTTAATATAGACGTGTATTTATATTGCAATACAAATGATAGATCTGTGATTTAAATGAGGTTTACAATCCAAAACACCTGTAAAAAAACATCCAGAAACCTAATTTTAAGTGCCGCGCTTGATCAAATCTCGCGAGATGAGCGGGCTCTCAGTACTTTGTCAGCAGCAGCGGTCCTCCACCATTTCGCTGCGTAAAGTCTCCTCCCCGCGACCGCTACATTCTGCGCCGAAACCCACTCTCTACCGGTCCGTATTTTAACTTCTTCCCACGGACCGAGAGATACCTCGTTGGGTACCGAGAGACAGTTTGGATTACTGGCATTACGGATTGAGTGTGATTTTACGCGGATGACGGCTTCTTCAACGAGAATTTAGTAAAAGAAAATTGGTCGGAAATTTCAGGTAGGTGGGAACTTAAGATGGCGGCTGTGAGAGGGAGGGGGCCAAGGAGGAAGTAAAGGGGGGATTTGAGGAGGACTGAGGTTAACGACAGGACAATAACAGGCTCCCCTTATCCTACCCTTATCATTTCGAAGACGTTTTGTGTTAATTTTTCGCAGCACGTTAACTAAGGTATGCTACGTGACAAACTGAAGATTATGTCATCACTCAAGCTTTTAATTGCACCTGGTTTATATAGTTAAGTTTAAACCATTATTTTCTTGATGTCGCTTCAGAAGAACCAGCTTCGGTGAGAGTTGCGGGTCCCCCAAATTCCCCCATGTGGTCATTGCAATTTTTAAGAAACTTTATAATATAGTTTTTTTTCACGTGTTATAAATATATTTGGAAGCCAAATACAAATCGACCAGAATTTTGTTTTTCAAGAACACCCAATTTAGTTCAGAAATCTGACCCCACGCAATGACGTCACAGACGATTGTTCCCCCTCCAGTCCATGCAGGAGCGGGGTTTTAGGGCGAGTTTTGGTTTTCGTGGGCCCAATGTGAATTAATTTATTATACATGTCGACATCAATAAAATGGCTTTTTTATAAACTGGTGCATTACATAATCGAGGGTGGGATGTGACGCTTGCGCGTTAAAACGAACGCACCCTCATTCTAACTCCTGTAGCCTTGCTAGTTAGCAGCAGTGCCACCCAAGCAGTGTTATTGTGCGCGTGCTAATGTTAGCTTTGAGCTAAGCACACAGCAAAAGCCGGTGTTTTATTCACCTTCACGACCCCAATGACTAACTCTACCGACGATCCAAAGCCTCGACTAAGATTTATTTCTGTTTAATGTGATTTCGTTTCTATTGTACTTGGCAGTGCCACTGCTCTACCAGAATTCCCGAACAGTTACCTGTCCAGCGCCTAACCGTAACCAAACTAAAACCTAACACAAAACAGAACGTACAATTTGGCAGTGGTGATGATACGGCAGTAAAACGTACTAAGACACGTCACCTACGATGAGGCGTTGGGATCCACATAATTTTATTTTAAAAGAAAATCCAATAACCACTCCAAAAGAAATTAAAGTCCATTCATTTCCCATCACTTCCACGTAGTCACAACAAACAAGGACTGTGGAACGATGCGAGATTTTTATCGACGTAGAAGATTAAGTACGAGTTCTGAAAACATCAACTAACATAATTTACAATTAGGACCCCGTTAGGTGAATGACCGGGGACAGCGCGCCTGGTCACCGGCTTTGGCTGTGCGAGCACACGTTGCAGAATTTCGAACGACTGCAGCAAGCGGAACTTAGTTGGCTTCAAATTATGCAGCAGCTTCACGACTGGATTTTAACCAAAACTACAGGATAGCCCTCAAGATCACGGCCTGAAACTGTCGTAGCTCATGTGAAGTAGCATGCCTCAAGTGGTCCGGCAGATGCCCATACTATGTTAAGATGATATTCAGTGATGTCTGTTTTGTGGTATTTTGTTTTCCAGTTTCTGTTTTACTTTAATTTATTCTGGCTCTTGTTTTTAATTGTAATAGTGAAAATGTAAAACATATTACTTTTTTTTTTTTTTTTAAGAATATGTGGAGGGGACCATAATTTCAGCATCCTGGAAGTAGAAAGTACAGAAGATCTGTGTCTGACACCACAGACAGGTGAGAGGTGTTTATTTATTTATTTTGCTAGTTTCTAAATATGTTTCCTTTCTTGTTGTTTTTTTTCTTTCTTTTTTTTTAGTAGGTATGTTTTGTGTGTTTTTATTTTTTATAATCTAGTGATTGAGTTGTTGTTGGATGACAAAAAGGAGGAAACTTTTTTCTATAAGAGAAAATTGCATGTATGTACAACAGTCTGGCTCCCCATTCAAGCTCCAAAAGACTTAAAATTACTAATACATAAACAAGTGAAATACTTTTACATATTCAAATGATTAACTGTTGTTTTCATACTTTGTATGATTCTTAGGTGCAGTGTTTAGCAGGAAAGGCACAGGGGAAGGACGCACTGGGGAGGAGGCGGTGCAGCAGCGTGCCTCTCCGGCTGTGGATTTGCTGGGTGGCAACTCCCAGGCTCCACAGAATGTGGCTTGGGAGTCACCACGGCATGCCCAGCAGCCGGTCGCAGCTGCCTACCGCCCAAGCCCTCCATCCAACGACCCATCCACTGTGCTATTGCCAGAGAACAAAGAATCAGCATTCCTTGGCATGGAGAAAACCCTTCCAACGTCACCACCTGAGAGTCTCTCCATCAACATCTCTGAGGACAGTACTGCAGAAGAAGTTGCTGCTAAGGAACCCACTGTTCAAACTGCTGGAGTTGCAAGAACCTTTCCAACGTCAGTTGCCGAGGACTGTAGGTCCACCGCTGACATACAAAGGCTTCCAGCTGCCCCTGCTCCAAATATCTCCATCACACAGATTGACACAATACAATACTTGCAACAAAGGTCACAGACTGATGAAGAGAAAGGCATCACACTTGATGAAACAAACCAAATTCAGCCACGTGAACTTGGTTCTGGACTTCTGGCTTATGCAGAAACAGAAGAGAAACTCTCCATCAGTTTGGAATATAAATCAGAGACTGCAACAAACATGGAACTTGTTGGAAAAGAGGAGTCCAGTGAGATCATTGTCCCACAGCCACCATCTCAAATCTGTTTTACAGCCTCACCTTCCTCTGTTCAACAATCAAGTGTTGTGTTTAAAGTCCAAGATAGCACAGCAACGGAGGATATGGAGCAGGCTGGCAGGGATTTACTTGTTGACTCTAATCAAATTGGCCACATGTGTGGATCTGGTGCTGTGTGGCAAGTTGAGGGTCACCAAGATCTGGACTCAAAGCCTTCTCCACACTCTTTACTGTCTTCTGACACGTGTCAGGTTAAACAAACTGACCCTTCAAAAAATCAAGATGAAATCATCCAGGATATCTCAAATGATGCCAGTGAACTGCAGAAAAACAGCTCTCTGGACATGGTTGAGACTACTGAGTCTGTTAAGGCACCTCCTGAAACGTTTAATAGAGAAACACAACTTACATCACTTGAAAATCCTGAAATCATTAAAAGAGAAATACTTGATGGGATATTAATATCTAGTGAAACTGATGGCAAAGAAGACAGCAGGGGCCAAAAGAGTTCGGAACCAAGTGAAGGAGGACAGTTGGAGGGCAGCACAGAGGGAGAACAAGTTGGTATGTCAGCCATGTTGTCTGACTTTAAAATAGTGTCAAAGTGTTCTACCACACAGGATAGTTCTTCAAAACAGTCTGTTGCTCCCTCCATGTTCGACACTGGCATAGTTGTTACCCTGCAGGAAGGGCAGGTTGTTGAAGCAGAAACATCTCACTCCTTGAATCAAGTCACCACAACAGAGACGCCAATAGTTGCACTTACAGATGCCCAAGAAATTGTGGTTGTCAGAGAGGGCTCACACATTAGTGAGGACTGGTCTAACATACACCTAAATCAGAGTTACATCCTACAGCGAGAGGATGGCAGTGTCTGTGAAGCTGCCATTGTTAATGAGCTGACTGCGGAACCTAAGCTGTATGAAGAGAGGGTTCAATCACACCTGGAGATGGACTCGCACCCTGTGGAAGTGTACGAGTTCTGTGGTCTGGTGGAAGAAGTTGCTGAGGAAACGGTGTGTGCCAGTAACAGCACACAGATACCACACTCTCCTGGATATGAAGTAAACCTATTCAATGCGCTATTAGAAAATTCTGATGAGTATACAGTCAAACAGGACATAGAGATGCACATTGGACCATCGTTTCACACAATCAATGATGGCAACACTGTTATTATTTCCCAGCAGCCGTTGCATTCGTCAAATGATGAAAATCAAATAGAGGTTCTTTCTACCAGTAATTCCCACGCTTTGTCCATGCAAAACCCCAGAGTAGCTGCTGCTGTCCGACAGCACTTGCTGTTGGATGGTCACCAAGCTGTTCAAGTGGCAAACTCTGGTGAGGTTTGTTTAGTTGAAGTAGCTGCCGTTACATCTGACTCATTTACTGTTGAACAAATGGGAACGAGTGCACACATTTTGGCAGCCTGCTCACAGGTCAGTGCACCACTGTCATCCCAAACTGTAGTAAGCGCGTCTGCTGAAATTCAAAATATTTCCCCAAAACTAGAAACAAAAACTACAGCAAATACATCTGTCACCACAGCAACACAATCACCTGTTGCCATTTCTCCACATGTCCCTGATTTAGATAATTCAGAAAAGATCTGTCTCTTCACACATGAAGGGACCAAAGAATCTACTGCTTTGTCAGTGACTCTACAACAGAATGTTGACAGTGTTGCTGTGTCTACTGAAACCAAACCAGTGACGTTCTGCACCACTCACTCTCCAAGTATTATAAATCCAAAGCTGCTTCTTCTCAAACCAGTTGAAAGTCCAATCCTAAAGACTCCATCCTCACTGTTGGCAGAGGTGCCCAAACAGAAAGGTTTGTCCAGCAACCTGGCCAATGCCCATGGCTCTTGGTCTGACATAGCATCTAAGGAGTGCCTTCCCCAAATTATCTCAACGGCAGACTCTCCAAATGCGTCCGTGGTTCTTAGAGATCAGACGCAGAGCTCTGTCAATAAAACCTCTGCAGTGGAAGCATTGTCTGAGCAGAATGCAACAACTAAATGTGATAAAGAGGCCTTACTTTTTACTAAAACTTCACCACGTGAAACAGCTGCCCTAGATAGTGTCTCACCAATGAGTGACACTCACACTCACGGCATCTTCGAAGCAGGAGATGGAGACGTTACATCCAACAGTCTTGATGACCCTATCGGCCAATCTGACTCTCTCTTTGTGGAGGATGAGTGTGAAGATATGGACCAGGATGAGCCACTTGGAGAAACAGAGGCTCAGGAGGACATTTCTGGACATGCTAGCAGTGCAGAAGAAGAAGGCAGTGATGATGATCCTGATGAGGACAAAACAGAAAGTGAAATGACTAGTCCCATCTCTTCACACAAGGTATTTTCAGGTGTTTTAGTGGATTTCCTTCACTAGCTGATTTTCTTTCCCACTGGAAAACAGTCTTAATCAGTAATGTTCAGAAATCTAATTTGAATGAATTTAACATTTCATACAACACATTTTCTTGAATGTAATTTTTTGCGGCACACCACACCACATGACAATTTCAAGTTGTTTTCTCTCGCATTCTCTTATGTGAGTGATTCATATATGATCACTTTCTAAATGTAGTGTCAGTCTCGCCTTTTGCTCATCCTTCTGCATGTAGTCCATATTTATTCCAGTTTTAGAGCGGTGTGTTTATTCTGTAGTGAATTTTATTTTGGGCTGCATGTTTAAGCCATGTGTGTTTTTTCAGCATGGACAGAGCAGAACAGAGAAAAGGGCACTGTTCCTTAAGGTAAGTGGTGATTGTGAGTCACCCAGAGAGGTTGTCCCTTTTAACAACATTAACAAGCACATCTTGCACTGTTGTTAAAAATATGTACAAGGTTGCAAGTTAAGTCAGTTTTATGCTCTGCATTCAAAGAAAATTAAATTAGTTGTTTTCTTAATTTTGGATTATGATCAGCTACATACTTTGGTCAAATGTTTTTCATGCATATTGCTTCTGTTGTACTTCAGTGAATGTAAACAACCGTAGTAATTTCTGCTATTTATTTCTTTTCAACCTACTTTCACGGTCTGTAGGTAAGACAGTGGATTGCCAACAGGGCTACGTTGAATTCATCACCTGTCTCACCATCCGCTGGTCCCTCACCCACCTCTGACTGGTCAGCACGGCGAAGGGAAAGGTCCTCACCTCTACGTGATCCCCATGGCAAATTTGTTTCTCCTTCTATGGGTGGCTACAGTCCATCCTCTGACCAGACCACTCCTCGCGGTCCACGTGGTCACACAGACATGGCAGAGCTGGCTAAACATGTGTGTGAGCCTCAAAATGCAGTTTTTGTTCTCTTTACTGTTTTTCACTGTAAAGTAATAGCAAGGAGGGATAGAATTTTAATAAATGTTTACCGATGCTTTTTTAGATTTCTTCAGTTCACTGATCACCATTCTGTCTGTAAGTCATAGAAAATTAATTTTTAATAACAGGACTGAATCTGATTATGCTATAATTGCAGATTTAAATTCCTATAGACGTATTTTATAAATATACACTCTGAAGCTGAGCATGTTTTAGTTGAGAATTATTAGGGATTTATATAAATCACTGATATTTACTAAACTAGTATCTCCCTAGTAAACTAGTAACTCCTGAGGGATTAATAAATGCTATCTATCTCAATGACAAAGCAAAAATGTGATGAGAAGAAAAAATTAACCAAAAAGCTATTGATGCATAGACACAGATTTTACTTACTTTATCAACAGATGTTTAGGTCATTAGGCTTGAAGTCTGAAAATTTCTTTTCTTTCTTTCTTTTTTTTTTTTTTTTTTTTTTTTTTTTTTTTTTTTTTACGAATATATATATTTTTAATATATATTTTTACGATATTTATATATGTTAAATGTACCAAATAGGAAGCAGATATCGAGCATCGTACCCAGGCACTCAAGCGAGAGGGTTTCTGGTCAATGAAGCGCCTCACTCGTCTAACAGAACCAATGAGACCAAAAGTTCACTGGGACTACCTGTGTGAAGAGATGCAGTGGCTCTCAGCAGATTTCGCTCAAGAAAGACGTTGGAAAAGAGGAGTGGCACGGAAGGTGGGTGCAGTTGACTTGATTTGATGTTAAAATTTTAAACTTGTTAAGTTGTGATATGTTTCCCTAAGGTTATTTCTTTCCTCTTGTTCTCAGGTGGTACGAATGGTAGTGCGACATCATGAAGAGTTGAGGCAGAAGGAAGAGAAAGCCAAAAGAGACGAGCATGCTAAAATAAGAAAAGTTGCATCCTCTATTGCAAAAGAAGTCCGGTCTTTCTGGAGCAATGTTGAGAAGGTAAATAAAGAGATTTCAAGTCAAATAATTTTTGTCCAACTCTATTCTTAATTAAGGTACACAACATCCTTCAGAACTGCTTTATTTAATTATGAATTTTTGTATGATACTGGAGATCATCTATTACATTGCAATGTTCTCCCCTTGTCAGAGATCTGGTGGCTTTTGGTGGATCCCTCTTGGTCACACCACGTTTTGACCCAAATGCTGAAATGTTGCAGCTGAATTTGAAACAATGCAATAGTTTCCCAAACTATTTTTTTGTCCAGTTTGATGAGGTTGTGTGCAAATCTGCTTCACAGAGAACATTTTATCTTTTTTTAATTATGCTGTGTAAGCCATAAAAGATTTTGCAAGAAAATTCCAGCAGATTTTATTGAATATTCACCTTTCTCTCTAATTCTGAATCCCAAAGTTAGATTTGAACAGGTTGAACAACACGACGTCTAGACTTGGTGAAATAAATGAAGTTGTTGCCATGTAATTAGCTGATTAGGTATTTTCATTAATGGTGATTAATAACACTGATGGGGGGTCTGTCATTTTGTTCCTGTAGGTGGTTCAATATAAGCAGCAATCCAGATTGGAGGAAAAGAGGAAGAAGGCATTGGACCTACAGCTGGACTTCATTGTTGGCCAAACAGAGAAATACTCCGACCTTCTCAGCAAGTCACTCGCTACCACAAGGCCTGCTGAAACTGTGCCTCTGTCTCCCCAAAAATCTGTGCCAGCTGCTGTAGAGGATGATGGTAAGGAGACTTTTTCTGAAAAAACACCTGCACATTGTGAGATAGTTTTAGTGTTGATTCCCAGATTCAAATGGAGATGTTGTCATAGTTACAAACCAGTTGCTTGAATCTCCATTCAGTAGCCACAATTTCTGCTCTGTTTATTTATCAAGGCTGTTGCAAATCCCTGAGCGAATCAACTGTGTAACTCAACATGTGTGAA